GCAATACACGCTGAGCCATTGGATTACGAAGGAGCCAATAACGAGCCCCTTTCCGCCTAACGCCCTAAATATAGGGGATGCCCCTCACGGCAATTGATTTAGAATGGTTTTCAACCTGATTTAACTACCGGTCGGTCGGCACTGTCCTAAGCGAGCAGCATTATCAAGCGAGCAGCATCCAAGCGTAAACTCACAACCGGAATCATAGGACTAGGAGAAGATGGTTTTTGATCACATTCTAGACGGAGAACCCCTGTTTCTCACTGAGTCGTTTTGGAGACATCGCAATTCGCATCATTGCTGCTAAAATGACGAAAAGATGATCTGCCGAAGAGAGCATTACGAGCATCACATACAACCACAACACGCCCACCTTTTAAGATGACACAACTTCGATAGACCAACTCCTCAAGGGGTATCCCATCAAAAGCTTCCCCTCCAGTCAATTTTGACATATGGGAATATAGCTAGGTTACAACTTAACGCACCCGTCTAATTTACTAATTTGAAGCATCCTTTCAACTCTCTAAATATCGGACGAAACCTAACGGAGTCGGTAGAGAGGGTGTCACGAGGGTTATGATGGACCTTTTTGACTTTATCCAACTATTTATCGTCGTCGCCCTGATAACTCGAGGCTCTCGAAGGCAAGACTGAGAAGTCATTACGGCTCAGTTATAACTTCAATTACGGCGTCCCTTCCCGACAGTAGACTATTCCTTTTTTCCCGAGGACTGCCTCTAGTTTTCCTTGCGTTTCATCATCTCTCGATTCCGATCACGAATCTATGCCTTCGATAGCTGGCGTTTTAGGAACAATGGATGGGTAGACGACGAGTTCGAGGGAATTGTCGACGTAACTTGGGTACTTATTGATGGGCAACAAAATTTGATAGGGGGCTCCCTGAAAACGACCGCAATAATGAGAAGATGACAGAAAAAGAAGTATCTGGTTTAGGCGCGAGTTTGCCTTGGCATGGTGGTCGGACCGAACTGTCGACAGAGGAGATATGATAGCCGAGACTGCCGAGGGGAGATGGACAAGCTGAAAACAAGATCGCGATTCGGGAGCTAGTAACCATCGGTTACCGACCGACGAATCCGGAGCCGCCTTGATTATGCGATGATGTTGGCAGACCCGCACCGGTTATCTACGAAAATACGAGAAATAACTAATATCTTGACTATCTATGTAGATCACCCTACATCAAGACCTGATTTTGATTACTTTCGGGGTCCGTTTTCTTACCAAGCAGTATAGCTCGACCGGAAACTTCTACATCTGCTCTATGAAACCGAATTAACGTTGGAATTTGGATCGACGTTGCGTTATAGAGGGATTTCGAGCCTGGTTTACAGATTAGGTATATGAATAATGGAGTATCGATGCACTGGAAATTTTGGGACTTTATATATGGTAACATCTATCGATCTTTACTGAGCAATATGGCACATGGTATGAAGATACGGGAAGTTGGAAACGAGGGACGCGAAACTAGAAATGATAATATCGACATGAGTTTATCATCTTGGTCTCTACCGACACGATCCAACGGAACCACATTTCTGGATTACGACAGACTGATATCGAGCACCTACATCCCTGCCGAAGTTACACAATTATATATCAGAGACGGATGGTCAAGAAAAAAAAAACATTTAAGAAAGAAGGATACTTTATGGTAATTGAGTGGAGCAACTAAGATATTTTATCTAGAACACGACGGTTTCCCTGCTGACTATCTAGTTCTATGGCAATCCCCCGCACTGATGGCGATGACTACTCTAGCTGACGCTTCTTCGTATGTATCAAGTATGAAGTACGCTGCCGCTATGTCCACGGCATCTTTCTAAGGCCTTTATGGTGAAATGGAGCATACAGAACCGCCGGAGAACGAATTTTCGAGAGTTAAGCAAAACGAACCCCGGATTTGGAATTCGCTGGACTGTTTTCTTTGCCATTGATAACCATCTATGTACTCTCCCGGCTTCTTATGATACATAGTCAGGCCGTCTCCCGCTGTCGATATAACCTCCATATTCATAATCACGAACGGGTTTATATTGCTAAGCCATCAATATCTAAGAACGCATTAGCTCTAGCACATACCTACATCCCATACCAGGCAAACGAAATGCTATACATATGGACGAACATGTTGAGTAAGGGCTATGGTTAGGGTTAGGGTTACCCTACCAGAGGAAGACGCGACTGACGAACCAAACCATACCACGCCACTATGGTGTATCGTTTCTGGCAGGTCGGTCTTCGTTCTGTTAAGAGGTGCTGGCAGCAAGTCTCCCAACGATCTGAGAGGTAGACGTGTTCCTCACGAACCCAAGAGATAAAATTAAGATGAGTCCTTCGAATCGACGACGAATATGCTCAAGGCAGTGAATACGAAAAAAAGAAATAAAAGAAGCAGCCACACAATATGGCTTAGGATGTTCACAAGCAAGGACAAAAAAGGCAAAGTCTCAGGTTTGGTTCTGATTAAGGTTCTCAAACATGAGACTGACACCCACTTCTTTTTTGTCGTGTAGCTACACTCAACTTCTAGCCTCAGCTCAGCCAAACGTCTCACGACTCGAGACTAGAATGTGGTGATTCTAGCGCGAACTGAGGAGCAGGCGGAAGGGTTACCACAGGGAACATCCTATTCTCAAGAGTCTCTTGTCAGTATGGTAGGTTCTTTTGGTAGAGAGGGTCTGTGTTCCATTATGTAGGTAACATACGTCCACGATTGTTGCAAGTCTTGCATGCGCGTACAACACGTATCTCCGTATATACAACGGACTAACTAGACACTGTCCTGGACTTCTGTCGATGTGTAGTTCTTCTCATTGTCAATTCCACGGTTCAAAAGGTCGTACCGAAAGGGAAATGAACTCTCTTCTTCCCATGTCGTCTCTTACATGTCCATATAAAATACCATGGCCTAAAGGCTGGTCACAGCCGTCGTCATCCTCGTCGATATGAGAGGTTGGCATGCCATGATGCCCACCCGATGACTTGCCGTTGCCATGACCGGAAGAGAGGGTCTTGCAGAGTCGTGTGTCTTGGTGATCGACATCGTTGGTCGAGATTGGTACTCGGAGCGGACATCGAGGGTATCGACCATAGTGTCCCTGTCCTGTGGTACAGTTATGATACGGATGAGTCTGCTTGCCTGACATTGATAAACATGACTTCGAAAGAGTAGAAGTTGAGAAGGCGAAGAAAGACTAGTATGTATAGTCTTCATCTTTGCGAATTTCTGCAAAAAAGATTTAGAGGTGTAGCTGCTGCCTTATTCTTGGGCACAAAGGGAAAAGGTAGGTATGTTTATGGTTCTGATATATATAGGGGTGGGGCACCTCATTACTGTTTCATCATTTTATGGAATTATCTGGTGATAAAGCATAAAAGCATTAAGGATGAAGAGTTTATTCTTCTTTGTGTTGGTTTGACTGGGTTATTTGCTATGCGAGCTATGCGAGCGGAGTGGTTAAGATTGTGGTATAATTGGTTAATAATATTAAGTTAAAGTAAAATATCATGGACAGTTATGCTCAGCTAATGTTAACTACCTAGCCTAGGTAGCTAGTGCCCTCTATGGCTTATGGCTTGTTAGTTAGGACCACGTAGCTATGGTGTAGTTCCCAACACTCTAGTATATGGTGAGGATTTTCATTGTCATGTTACATCTTCCACAGACATGATAGATGAAGCTGTGTTACTTAGGTAGGTATACTCTCTTGAAACTAAAAGGCCCATGCTTGTGATGAGCTCTATTATCAATATAAATTACTACCACATAGCGATCTTATGTCTATTAAGATGTTGTTCAAGGAGCATGTGACCCCATTATGACCTAGTATATATAGTTTGTAGTTGATAAGCACAACGATGGAATGACTCAAGTACCTAGTTTGATGGGCAGTAGTTAGTACAAGATGTCTTTTCTCTCATTGGCGGCAAAGAACTTGCTTATGACATATTGCCCCTTTTGTAGATAGCGACAAACCTAGGCCATGTTTGAAAATAGGCAAACCAATGCCACTACATTCCTACAGAAGGAGGTTAGGCTAAAGATAAAAGCCATTGGTTCTTACATATTAAGTTTACTTTTTTGCTCACTATATTTATTTCTTGCTATTTCTTAAACTAGCAATTCATGACATGGAAGTTACTATATCTCAATGATAGCAAATGTTATAAGCTTGTTTAGCATAATGAGGCGTTTTCAAAATTGCTTTATAAAGATACAGAGTCTAATAAGTACAATGGACGTTATGACTATCGTGAGTGATCAATTTCCCAGGGAAAAAAAGACTTCTCTCGATTTCGCGGAGTAGGTAAGTACACAGGTACTGAAACAAACCCTTTTATATTATTTGTTGAGATAGACGCAAATCATATGTGTCATACTTGTTTTTCCAAAAGGTTAAGTTGGTAAGAGTAAAGAAAGGTTTATGGTAACATGTATCTAGCCCTGAAATACAGGGCGTAGGCTCCCAGCCGCCTTTTGTATTCTGGTGGTATTGATGTTGTCTAACTCGGAGGGCTTTGGGAAACCTTAAACGTCAAGTAGTTATAATTGGCTGTTGTGTGGTGGTCCGAGAGGGCGCCATGTGAATCCTTCTCAGGGGCCTTACATTATCATCTTAAAAGGTTCAAATAGTTTCACAACTACAACGGCAGCTAATCAAGTGAATACACAACAGATTGAAATACCCTTACAAGTGGAAAGAAGGAGCTTGGTATAGTAACTTTATATATCCGATATTAATGTGACATTGGTTAATATCGTTTCTGGAAACAGGGGGCCCCTATTCCCCTGCAGCAAGGAGAGACGTAGCTCCCTTCTCCTTTTATGCCCCATGGTAGTAGTAGATCTTTTTAGCATTATCAGAGCTGCCACATATATAATGACTGGGAATGTGTTCCCAATGCTGCCGTCACTCAGTATAAGAAGACAGTCTCATCTCTAAGAATGCACCCCTGAGCCCCTCTCTTCTTTAATACCCCTCCAACCTCCTAACCCTCCTCTCAACCCCCTCCTCAAATTCACTCACTCCTCCCTCTAAAACCTTCATCTCCCCAGCTTTCAGCCTATACACAACCCGCCTCCTTGCTGCCTTGGTCCCCGCTCTGTCATCCTCATCTTCACTCTCCTCATCCCCAATGCCCTCCACCACTCCACGCACAAACCATCGGTCGTGACTAATCACCACAACCGCGCCCTCCCAGTCCCTCAGCGCCTCTCTAAGCGCAGCCACGGTCTCGTAGTCAAGATGCGTGGTCACTTCATCTAATACCAGACAATGCGGTCGCTGCCAGAGTATACGTCCCATCTCGAGCCTGACAAGTTGCCCACCGGACAGTCTGCGAACAGGAACATCCGATGCCAGACGTCCGGGAAGACCCAGCTGAGCTAACAGACCACGAGTCTCTCCCTCATCCAGCTCGCCGTGGACTTCTCTCGTTAGCAGAGCCAGAGCCGTCAGCTCCGGTTCCCCTCGTCCCAATTTCAGCAACTCCTCCACAGCATGCTGAGCATAATACCCCAACTTCAGGCGCGGATGCTTCGTCAGCGTCCCCGCAACGGGCCTCGTCTCCTCAACGAGCAGCTTAACCAAAGTCGACTTGCCACTCCCGTTCAGCCCCACCACACCAATCCTATCGCCCACCCCAACCGACAAACTAACATCTCTCAGCACCATCTTCGCCTTGCTCTTGTCCCCAGGGTACCTAAATGCCACCCCCTCCAACGAAACCAGCGCCCCGGGAAACCTCAGCTCAGACGGCCCCGGAATCGCAAAACTAACCGGCTTCTCGTCAGTCGGAACCTCGACCTCCGCGCGACTCGTAAGATGGTACCCGACCAGATCCCTATTGAGCTTGAACCTGCCCCCCTTAGCGCTCGTCTCGAGGCCCCATCTCCCGTCCAGCTTCTTCTGCCTCGACTTAGCCTGGCGGATCTTATTCTGGTCGTCCTTGGCCTTGCCCTCGCGCAAGTTGCGCTGGATCGTCTGCTGCATGTGCTCTTTCTGCTTATCCTGCGCGTCCTTCACTTTAGCCATATGCGTCCTTTTTTCCGCCCGCGCGGCTTCGTAGGCGGGGAGGTCGCCGTGGAAGGGTTCGATGTTTTTGTCTTTGAGGATGAGCAGGTCCGTGCATAGCGAGATGAAGTCCCGGTCGTGGGATACGAGGATTAGGGTCGGCGCGTCGGGCGACGAGGCGAGGGAGGTGAGGTGCCGCTGCAGCCAGATGATCCCGAGCAAGTCGAGGAAGTTGGTGGGCTCGTCGAGGATGAGGATGTCGGTTTCTTGGAGTAGTGCGGCTGCTAGGGCTGTTCGCATCTTCCAGCCTCCTGAAAGGCTTGATACGGGCTGTGCCATGCGAGAGTCGGTGAAACCGAGACCTGTGAGTATCTTCTTCGCCTTGCATTCGACGTCTGCTAATTTTGAGGGTTCGACTTGGAGTTGGAGGTCAGCTAGCATATCTGCTGCTTCAGTTGTCTCTTTGGATAGCGTCTCAGGCGAGATGTCCTCGTCGTTTTCTTCATACCTGTGCTTCATGTTAGAGTCGTATGAACCCGTTTGTTAAGGGGTAAGGGGGGTTATACTGTGACTGAAATTGAGCAACTTTCTTCTCCATCACAGTCAAAGCTTTTCTAGCCTGCATACCCCTAGCGCCACTACGAAGCCTAGCATCTTTATCCTTCAGGAATAGCTCTTTCTGGAGACGTTCATGGTGAATTTTTCGAAAGGCTCTTAAGGTGCCGAAAGAATCTCCACTGTTAATGCCCTTGGATAAGACTGTACGAATAGGTCAATTAAAGGGTTAATAATGATATTGTGTCATACTGACTGCCTATTTCTCGCTGCACCGCATGTTTGGCCGTAGCTCGTTCAATGACTTCCTCTAACACGACCGGCCCCTCACCATTATCAGAGGTAGAAGCCGGGCCATCGTCCGTATTTGCGTCTCCAGTGTCAGTCTGCTGTAAGATGACTACGCGCATCTCTTCTGGTATACCTGGAATGAGCTTCTCGGCTATAGCTTTCAATAAAGCTACAACAATCCGTAAGCTACGGTTTCTATTTTACCAGGGTTAGGGTTGGGGTTAGGGTTTACGCAACTCACTTGACTTTCCAGTGCCATTTCTCCCTATCAAAGCATACCGCTGGCCAGCTTTCAACCTCAGCTTGGCATTGGCAAGAATCTCGATTCCTTCGCTCTTCGCCTTGGCCTTGCCTTTGGCGTTGGTCTTTACCCCTGATGTAACCGTGATATTCAGTCCCTCGATATCTAGCTGTACATCTCTTCATTAGGACTTATATACGTATAATTAACAGTGAGTGGAATATGTACTTCGCGATGATTAGGAGTTCCGATGTTGAAGCGAGTTTGTTTAGAGGTACACAGGATGGTTACGGCGCTTTCTGCTTCCATAGATGTCATGATCGCGACGATTTACTTGAACGCCTTCGTCGCGAATCGGTGGCATAAGGTGAAGTCTTCCACGCTTGGGAAAAAGAACCGATATTTCTTCATGTTTTTAAATTTGATATAAAACAAATACTATATCTGCTTTTAAGGAGACATTAGAGCCGCAGCGCATGTCTTGGAATGGATGTTTAAGATCGTACCCTCCTTTAGATCTATACGGTCTATGCGATGGCGTGGTATTGCATTCTTAGCTGCATAGAACTAGCAGTAGCGCGGATGATTCATTCTGGTTCATTGAGGCATCTTCCGTGATTGGTCAATCAAAGAAGTATACCAACTTAAGTAAGGTAAGTGACTCACGCCGCTTGTTTCCCGTGTTTTAGTCGCTACCTCCCTTTATTGGAAGAGGATAAGGTGAGCATTGAGAAATCTCTACCTGGTTTCTAAAATTTGACGACATTAGCCCTGAGATAGCGTGTTTATGCGACAGACCGATCTACCAAAACCCGCAAATGAGCCTTATCCTCTGTTCTGACCGTCATAGAACCACCCTGGGGCAATTCTACAATCGTGCCATCGATACAGACCTTCCTCCATCTGGCGTCTTCTTCTAGAGTGGTGATCCTGACTACCCGTGCCTCATCGTATCCGACCCCTTCTTCCTCGCCATCGCTACCGGTCCATTTCATATCGATGTGCTTTCCTCCATCATACGCTTGCATCATAATCTCCATGGTCTTCTGCCCGCTTACGGCCCCGAAGTGGACGAGTCTCAATTCACCGTCCAGGGGTCTGCTGGCCGGCGAAATCGTAAATGTCTTCTCCAGGTTGGATACCATAGCAACTAAGATGTATGCATGTCGGTCTCGGTCAATTCTCTGTAAGTGAGATCCGTCTTTCGTAGAAAACTCAACGACAGCATTATACGCGTGGCTCTCTTCGAGAAGCTGCTGTCCAACCATCTTGAACCGCTCAGCACCGTATTTTCGATATTCCGGCGTATCGCTCTCCCAAACTAGCTGGCTATGGAAGCCGTAGCTAGCGACAATACCGCCGTAGAGGTGAGAGATAGCATTAGCCTGGCTCTCGAGGCCTTTATCAGACTTCTCGACGGTAATAATACGAGAGCCAGGAGGGAATTCTGCCTTGAAAGAGGGCAGAGGCGCAGCTTTGCCTTTGAACAAAGTGCGTAAACTCTGAACTAGACTAGAGGGCTCAGGGGATTCAGTAACCTTGTTCGCCAATTTATGTTGCGAGTGGAAGTGCGCATTTCCTGTGCCTAATGGCAATATTGCGATTAAGGGGAGGTTAGCTCCCGCGTCCGATTCTTCTATCGGTGCTCTAGCATTGAGAAAATCAATGACACCGCCATCACCACTAAGAAGGACCACGGTGTGTTGTACTGTGGCCTGGCTGGAACCTCCGAGATCCCTAGCGAAATCGCGCACACTATCAGCATGTTGTGTGATAACGAGATTATAAATATTCGGTCTCGATCGTTCCGCCAAATCGGCCCATGGTTCCAACGCATGAATACCCAGGCCCTCTAGAAGAGGTCGGAGAACGGAATTGTAAAAGTTTGAAGCGAGACCCGTCCCGGAACCGGTTGACACGACGACATGGACATGCTGTAATGGTCCGCTCCGTAAATACCCCGGAATATCATCACTTAAGAATGAGACCTGTGGAACACTTGTGGTCTGAATTTTCGATAGATTAAACGAAGGCCCATGTTCCCCGGCCTCTTCCCCTAGGCTATAAATGTCGTATGATTCGGGCTTGTCTGTTCCCTGTGGTCGTCTCAGAATTACAACAATCTCTTCAGATTTAACCGAACCAACATCGCTGCCTAACCCGTCTTGTCCGGTGTCGGCGGTGACACCATTGGAATTGTTAACAGACATATTTCGTTTATGCACGGAAAACTGTGTGTAGCGCTCTTTCAAGCGCTATCCATGAATATGTTCCGATTTTTATTAGTGTCGACGAGACTGCTTGTGGTGAGAGGTGAAGAGGACCGAGTGACCCATCCATGCTAAAGAAGTAAGGAAGAGGATCTAACGGTGGAAATAGGCGGAAGCCCGCAAGATCTAGATTAGTAATAAAAGGCAGGGTGGGGTCTGTGATACGTGATAGTCAATTATAATTAAGCCTTTCAGGGGCTTGGAAGTCGTACAAACAGACCAAACCCAGGATACCTTCATGATGTGACACATAAACCTCATTGCATAATCTTAGGTCATTGTGCGTTATCTTCGACTCCGTAGGGCTGAGATTGACATGTCTAATTGGCGCAGTACCTATGTTGGGTATTATAGTGGGGCGTTCGTTGGCGGTCCACGGGTACGTTCCGGGGTGGTGGGTATTCACTTTTATCATGGGAATACCTAGACAAGCATAAGCAGAAAGCAAAAGGGGTATCATTGACCGTACTTAAAATCAACCGTCACATTCAAACTCCAGACCTGCCCTAAAGCTCCTAATATGGTACCAAGTTACTGCCATTTGTCCTCAGCGTTCTTTTGCCTTCGTCTGTGGACCCCAGTGCTCTGTTGGGTTCGTTTGATACCTGGTCAGGCCGGCCTTGGATGTGTCTCGCCCGAGATTTTGATTGAAGACAATCTCTAGCTTATCGACCTCGTTGTGTTCCTTGTCCTTTATAGTTTCATGCTTCGCTGCCTCATCTTTCTTGCCTAATCTGAGTAAAGTGTATGCTGGGGTATTTTCCTTGACTTTCTCGGCTTTGATAGGATGCTGACGAACCCATTCCCGCATAACATCCCAAAGAACTGACCATGGCGCATCGGTCTTCAAACTGCCCGGCTTGCAGTGGCTGCGAGTGACGTGATAGCCCAAGTGACGCAGAGCACCTCTGAAACTGTCTTCATCAGGACAGATACAGTGCACCACGCGTGCTAGACCTGTCGGGTGGAAAAAGAACGGGTATGGTTCAACCGCGGCAAATTCATCTTCCCTAGAACTCTCCAGATGATCTTCCGGAACTGGCAGGAATTCTTCAAGCGCTGTCTGGAGCATCCCCTCTATACGCGGCTTCGTGCCGTAGATGTCGTCCGGGGCATTGGGTAACTCGTCCAAGATCTTCTGGATGAAGTCGGTAGAATGCAATAGCCCACCATACATCGGTCCCGCTAAGTGCATCTTGGAGTTGCACTCCTTGCAAAGTTGATCGACTGTAGGCGCCAAGGCAAAACCATGCTTGTAGAATACCCCCTTTCCAGATTTGTTAGGAGCCTTCCTATGGCGAGCTAGAAATTGCGTCTCCCAAGCTCCGCACCCTTGGTCGCAGTTATACACGACCATTGTCTTGCCTGCAAGAAACTTCACCTGTGCAGGAGATTTCCTAACTTTAACGAATACTCGGGCGTAGTAGTCGATTGACAAACTTAGGAGAGGCTCGATGGCCAGTCCGTATCGTGCCGCTGTTGAGGCAAGACTATGGAGTATTAGACGTAGTCCAACTTCATGAGAGTAAAACCCCTTCACAGGCACACCACCATAAAGGGCAAATCCCTTCTCCGGATATCCGTTTGACGCCCAGACAGCCGAGTCCGTGCACGTAACGCACAATAGGCCGCCATCATCTCGAACAGCATTGAGTGCTGCGTCGAAAAAAGGAGCAGCAGTTCCATAAGGATCCAAATCGATTACATCGTATTTCTTGTTCGTCTTGTTCGGCTTGTGAGCGCCCTTCTTATTACGATGCTTGTCCTTTGCGCCATCATCTGGTTCTTCTTGAGTAAGCAAGGAGTACATGTGCGCGCGGGCGTCGCCTGACGTAGCATTCACTTTAGACTCGACTCCATTATGTTCGGCATTACGCCTGATGGCTTCCACTGCTGTGGGGCTCAAATCGTTTGCAGTAACTGATGTAACAAATGGTAATTCCTGAGCATATCGCAACGCCCGGAGTCCTGTAGCTGATAAAGCATCGAGAATGGTGAATGTGGGACCAGGTCGTTTAGTTTCGCTGGTCTTTGCCTCTTGTACCTTGGTCGATTGCTCATCTCCAGCAGTTTGATTAGCCTTAGGTATATCACTGGATGTTAAATCACCATTGCTGTTCTGAGTGTTGTCGGAAGATTTCTCTTGAGGATTCTCTTGAGGACCCTTCTCGTGGCCGTTCTGTTGATTTGAAGGGTTTACATGCGCCTCGCTCGGTCGAACCACATTATCCTCAGTCGCATCAACTATAGATGTATCGCTCTGTAGAGCCCCTACTACCGCATCTACCTTCTCTTGCTTTTTTGGCTTGTTGCCGCCAGTATCAGACTTCTCGCGTTTCCTCTTAGCTACTCTATCGGCATTTGCGGGATGTTTCTTCGCCTGTCCGTAGGCTTTAATCGCGAGAACAGTAAGGTCACGGTTGAATTGCTGGATAGGATTGTAGAAAACTTTTTGTTGCTCTTCGACATTGTTGAGCTTCTTGCCCGAGGCATCTGTCGCCGAGAATGGAACTAGGATTCGAGCCAGCCCTTCCTTAATTTCTGTAAAGTCTTGTCCGTCTCGTGTGATGATTGGAATCTCGGTCGTCGCAGCCGAAGTACCGTTTTTAGTTTTCGAAGTCATCGTGTGCATAGTTTGAAGAAAGAACGGATTAAGGATGAATCGATTTGCATGCCTTATCACTAGTCGATAAGATGCGAATGAGAGTGAAAATGGCATGAAATAACCCTTGAAGGCAGTAGCATTGAATTATCTACCCAAATTTTGGTAGATTGCGTGAGAATGTTGAAAGGAAGTCTGCGATTTTCTTTTTTTTTCTTGGTGGGGTCTATCTAAGCTCCATTTAAGCTCCGTTCTAGCTCTATTCCGCCCAGGGGGTACTTCCCCAATTCTGTTAAACTTCAACCTTAAATGTCCACTAATCCTGGGGATCTTGCACTGAAGCAAGCGCCCCTAGGTATTAATAGTATTAGATTAGAGAATTCAACTTCCATAACGACTACCTACTCCGACTCATATCCGTCCTATTCATTGGAAGTAACGAGACGAACAGGCAATTAGTTGGAAGTAGCGACTTCGTTAGGCAGGCATCTTATTCAACGACTTATCTTATCGCTAGAACACAACCTCGAGACCCCAAGCTCCCCATCCTAATCTCCGAACATCATCACATCCATCTCCTCTATAGATCTCATAAATACGAAAAGCACCCTAGCTTTCAAAATATTGAGACGGGACTTTTCTCAACCTGCTATATAAAATACTCCCATCTTAATTCGTCTCAGAAACATAAAATGTGGAAAATCCTTTATGGCACAGTTCCTACTCGATCAATCGTCTAAGACACGTCCGGCCCTTCTACGGCAACAATTGCAAATGCTACGTGAAGTAACGCCACCCCGTTAAAGACAGGAACATGACATTACAACCCGATGAAAGTGAAAGTGCTTCAAGAATGATAGACATGCACTCCCATTCAGCGTTCCTCCTACATATGACTATCTTATATAAAGGCAGGTTAGCAGCTACCGAGGTACTATCTTCTCTCCCTCAAGCCTACCCGAGACCAGTAATATGACAATAGTTACAATGTATAACCTCGAGAGCCACTTCCACAATTTCTCGTACGTAGAGAAGTCATACCCAAGGCCATGTGCTTCGGATAGGAGCAATTACGGCCGGAAATGGCATTCCCTTGGGACATCTCAGCTTTGAGATCTCACTCTCTCTTCTCTGTCTTTCTCGTAAATCAACCTCACTCCCTCTACCTATAGCTCGTCTCTGGAGATGGCTGCCACCACGATCTACCCCTCTAAGAACTCGAGCTCTCATCGTTCTTCTATTCCACGACTCAACATTGACGCGGCGATGTCTTCTCAGCCAGCTCCCGCACCTGCTCCTGCACCGCCATCCCCAAAGCCAGGCAGCAGTCATGGTAGCAACACTCCTAAGAAGCCTGGAGACCCTAAGAAGGAGACATACCGGCAACTCTCCCACAATGAGTGGGCTCAGTTTTGTCGAGGCATTGGTGTGTTCAAAGACGACGAGAGCGAGGAAGTGGTTCGTCCAATCAGTTTATGGTGGCCGCCAAAGGGGTTTAGAGATGGTCTTTATCAAGACGTCCTTGTTGAGAAGACCAAGTTCACCTACTTCTTCCATATTGTATCCACAATTACGTGGGCCTTGATGCTCATTCAGATAGCAATGAGCGCCGTTTTGACCGCTCTCGGATCCGTGGCAACCTCATCCGCAGTCAAGGAGGGGACAGCAATCGTAAGTCGTCTCTTCTACAGTACTACTCTTCGAGCATACGCATATCAAGCAGTCGTTGAATACAAGTTTCATGATACCGATTTCTAAATTCTAATATCGGACTAGACTTCCATCGCTGCTATGAACACCTGCGTTGGCGGAATTCTAGCCCTACTACACAACAGCGGTCTGCCAGCCAGGTACCGCTCGGATAGAAATGAATTCTATAAGCTCGAAGAGCACCTGAAGTCCATTGTCGACACGGCCCTCGTCCCCGCGGATCAGGACATCAACGAAGTCCTCGCCGATTGTTACACCATGTTCCGGGACGCCAGGCAGACTGTCCTGAACAACATTCCAGCCACCTACACCACCGCTCCGAGAAGCGATAAGAGACTCGCTGAGAGAGCCTCGAGGATGATTGATTCGAAGAAGTGAAAGTTGATTGATATATAACGCCCTAATACCGTACTCTGATACCCTGATACCCGACTCCTAATCTGATCCCTCGACGCATATGCATAGCTCGACTCATAATCCCGGGAAATTATTCTAACTCGGCGAAGGAGATGTTTGGGAGTCTTACTTTCGTGTTTGCTTGCCGATACTACGAATTACTCTTGCGTTTAGTTGTTATGGTGGTGTGATAATCAAAGTTGGTGGTTATACAGAGCATCTTAGTAATTAGAGCTGGCTTATATAAGTAGCGATTCTCTTCATCGTTGGCCTTCTAGGGTAGACGCAAGAGGCGTGTCAGAGGCGTGTTTCATGCAGGACGGATAGTCTAGGCATAATTGACTTTTTAGATCATCGATGCTCTACCTCTATCTATGCAGTGTTTTGCTTGGGAAAATATCTTTTAGCCCTGTCTCTAATTCATCGATTTTTCTGTCCTAGCTCTCTAGCACTCTCAATACCGTAAATCTTCGCCAAAAGCGTTGAAAGAACATTGTCATTGAATAATCTACTAGTGTATTCGTACGTAGCGGGATCTAGATTCTAGGCTGTAAGTCGGAAGCCGTATATGCATATGCCAAGGGCGCCTCAAAATCAAAAACAGCCAGGCCATCCGTCAAAACAATACCGTCATCAATCCAATTCGAGCATAATACGTAATCACATACGCAGACGTCCTTCGACACCTCACTTCTACCACGTATCCGGGCCGAAATGACTCCCGTTCGGCACGGTATTATACGAGCAAGCCTGCCAGTCGCAGCCCTGTTTATACACCTCCGTCCCCCACCAGCTGAACCCGTCCATCCAGCCGGGGTATATGAATCCGAAGAAGACGATGACGATCCCGAAAGCAAGTCCCGAGTCCAGCGCCGCGCTGAGCGTCATCGTGTACTTGGCCCACCAGGCCGAGGCCCTGTTTTTGATCAGGTAATTGAAGATGTAGCAGACCACGGCCCAGACGGAGAAGTTGAGGCCGGTCGCCGGCGGGATCCAGCTCAGCGACCCGAATAGGACGGGCAGGTTGATCTTCCGAACGATGCTGGATTTCTTGTTGCGGCCGTACAGCCACAGCGGTATCGGGGCGATGGCGCCGATGAGGAAACACCATACCAGAGGGCGGTATGTGGCGTTGGGTCCGAAGAACTCTGCAGGTCCGACTACGCCCCACAGTATAGAACCGTTAAAGTGAACTCGAGCGATCGGGCAGGTGAACCCGTTGATGGCTTGAGGAGTACATATTCCCGGCACGTTAACGAACATCCAGTTAAGCACGAGAATTTGTGTTATTGAGGAGACGACAGTTGCGACCATCTGCACCGAGAAAAGGAGCCTTGGCGGAATCTTCATATAATGTCCTAGTTTCAAATCTGCCGCGAACTTGATGCCTTGAGCGGATGAGATGTAGCCGTAAGTCACGAAGACCATATTAGCAACAGGTCTTCCGGGAAATACTACACCGCATATGAGCTGACAAATAAGATAGATGCTACTATGCTGATTTGTCACCGCCATGACGATACCGATGGGTATGAATAGCACGGCGCATATCCCAAGAGCGAGTAGTAGCCCATACCATGGTAAATGAATGGGATAGCTATTTACGTGTAAGCGAACAATCCCAAGTATCAAAACAAAGTGGACTCACTATTCGACGACGAAGATTCCTATGACCGTCATTGAGACACAAGTCAACAAATACCATGTGATTGGCGCGTCTTTATATTTCTTCATAAGGCGGTTGTGAACATCTTCGTGACTCAAAATATTGTCGAAAGTCGAACTCGACCTTGCGATGCTAGGTTGATATCCGTTATGGGCTCCTCCGTTATTTTCACTTTCGAGCGGTTGATAAGTTGGTCTGCCGTCTTCCTCCGCTTCCTTCAACGAACGCTTCCACTGAGTGTATATATCCTTGCCATGCCAGCAAGTAGTATGCGTCAGAAGCGATGCTAACCCAGCGAATTGAAGGCCGTAACTGAGGACATAGGTGATCGGGAGAAACACCCGGCTATACTTCGAATACGCTTCTCTATCGAAGAGAAAATCCGCTGTCAAAATTTTGCTAACGTCGTATATCTTGCCGGTATTGTCAAAAACAGACGACGAAAGAATCGGCATATAAGACGAGTAGAATAGGTTGCAATAATATCCAATCGGCGCAATAATCCACATCACTATCACTAAGCCCCCGATGACATTCATGGCGGCCCAAAATGGTGTTAAGAGAGGCGATCCGATATACGCAATCTGCGCCCAGTCAAACGTGAGTGGAAACAGGCCCAAGCCGGAGGCCACACCAAAAAGATTCGCGACTACAGGATTATCCGGGGCAAACCAAGTGATCACGTTGAAATAACTTAACGCTGGCATCAATAAGCCGGGAAGGAAGTAGAAGCAAAATCCGGATATCCAGACGATGAAGAAGAACCTCCACCTGCTTATCGTCCACCCATTTGCGGGCTTGTTCTCCTCTTTATGCAAGGTGGTAAACATAGCGGCAGACATTAAAGTGCCAGGCCAGATCATTCCGGCCGGGCGTACTAAGAAGCGCCTTGTCAAGCCGGCGAAGGTATAACCCAAGATTTGGGTGGAGAGGGTTAGTAGTAGTTGGTAGGTAATGCTAACATCTTGTTTATAAAATTGGGTTTGTTCGACGATAACGTCTGTCGCAAACGCAAAGCCAAAAGACACGTTACTGCTCACGTATACACAGCTGTGCTCTTTTTCATTCCAAGAGCCTTGAGCTAGCCACAGGCGGAGGCGCCCAAGCCGACTCCTCTCTTTAGTAGTGGCCGGCGCATGTCCGTCTGGCCGATCTATTCGGACGCCTTCTTCGAATTCCTCCCGGGGATCGTCCGGCCGCTTTAGAAAGAAGTCCCATAAGAGACCAAGGGGATGAACAAGCAATAATGCTATGACAGGTGTAATCGAAACGCTAGGGTATCTCAAGGAGAAGAAGAGATTTGTGGAAGAGCCAATTATAGAGAATAGGGTAGATAATATCCACATGCGAGGAGTATTTATGGATAGAGAGGTATTATCGGTTGGGGAGACCGAAGCACGGACCTGAGGATATGGAGAATTATCGGGAGGGTCTGGATCGGATCCATCGTTCGCATCTTCGGAACCCTCTTCGTCATCGTCGGCGGCCGAGCTATCCGACTTCACATCGGGGGCGAGGTCGTTTGTCAAAGGCCTTTCACCAATGCTAGAGCGACCCTCGGGACCATCGGCTACTGTCGACCCTCCGATCTGCTCGGATTGACTCTTTCGTCTTCGACTTAAGGAGGACGTGCTTGTTCGGAAGGTTGTCGAACGACCGGCGTCGGCAGAGTTATGTCGCCTGGAGTGGTATATTTCCGCGCTGGTTCTTCTATTCGGCGATACTAGGCTATCACCCTCAGTATCACCCTCAGTATCTGAGCCGCTGGTCTCGGGATGTACAGGTGCGGCTCCGTACGAGCCGTTTCCGAACCCGGGCGAGGAGCGAATCAAGAGGGGGGCTTTCGACATGATCCTCGAACCTCGTCGGCTTCCGACGGCAGGATTATGATTCGCCTCCTCGTAGTCGAGTTCGGTGTATTGGAAGTCATGGCTCGAGCTCGACGGAGAGCGAGGAGTACTAATAGGGAATCTGGATTCGGGCGACGAGGAGGCGGCAGTATTTGTATCTCGGAAAGTTAGCGGCGTGGGTTGCGTGGGGTCTGAGACTTGGACTGGATCCGCGCCTGCGGATAGGCAGGGTTGGGCGGAGCTCCTGCTTGTGTTGGTGTTGATGGGTCGCAATGGGAGGATTTCAGATTGGTCATTGTGGACATCTTGGGGGTCTCGAGGATCTAAAGGCATAAGCGACGAATTATCCCTGCCATTTGAGGAAATCGATGGCATCTTCTTGGCCAAAGGTTACGTAGTGGCCGCAGCTGCGATGGCTTGGTCATTTCCAGTCTTATCCAGTCGTATCCCACCCGGGAAGGCGCACTTTTGCGTTTACACGAATTACACAGGTAGTACCTTCGGGGCTACAAGAGAATGTAAGTCTAATAAGTGGATTTTCTTAATGAAGGTTGCCGCCGAGCGGGAAGAGTGGAGGTTCGAAGTTCATGTTCGAGCTATCCGAGGTACCCCTACTCTTGCTTTAAGCATGCACGTGTATGCAATGATACCTGTGCTACAGAGTGTAGTACTTTCGAGCCGTGCCGGACGGACAAGATCGGCTGAACCGACGTTGTACCTTATATGTTTCCGATTTCCCAATAAAAGTTGAACAAGCCTAGATATGTTGACTTTGTACCTCTGCGAATTTTGTGTAAAGTGAGAAGGGCATATAAGGCTAATAGCGCTGCAGTTCTAGTGTTACAGCAGGAATTAAAGAGAGTGAAAATAAAGCCAAACGAAACCAAAGGCGGTTGTGATACACAAGCTACCTGGTAAGAGGACCCAGCAAGGCCCATGTTGCAGGTCCTAACGGCGTCGGAGCACGCTAGCTGATAGAAGCATCAGCACGCTGCAGCTCGCCCAACTTGTTGTGCAGAACGGATGAGGCACCGGACCCAAGAAGGGACGCTGCTAACCACTAATCGTATTTCGCTTAGGTGGATCTCCGTTGCATGTCTATGTTGGTTCAAGCAGTCGTACGTACGATCAAGATTGATTGATTAGATTACGATGGATAAGATGAAAAAGATAATTCTGGGTACTAGGTAGGGATAGTAATGCACATCTACTGCGAAATCCGGACGTGTGATTTTCATTGTTTGAATCGAGTACATGCTGGAATACTATATTGTAGCTTGTAGTGTGTAGTACATACCTACATATGCAGTATACCCCTATACCTTGAGTTGCAATATTGTACTAATACTGCCGATACTCTTAGTTTAGTGCAGCTATAACGGGCTAAAACGGCTATAACGAACCATTTGACTCAATAAGAAAATAGAATGGCATGAGGTGTGGTGGACTTAAGGTAGTGAATCTAAAGGTTGTACGACCTGAGATTTTAGCGTTAGGTTAGTAGGACACTTGACCAACCGTAAAGTCGAACTATCCTTTTATCGAGATCCATCGCTTCCAGTTGTTCTACAAGGAATATCTAATTCTGCTAGTACCTGATAACACCACCAATAACGTAATTGCATCGATGTGGTCGTACGCGATGCACTAAATTGTGCTGTGTAATGGGTTGTATTGGATACGAAAATTCTCACCTTCCTGGCCTCCTGCCTTATCCCGATTTTTGTGGGGGTTTATTCGGTCACCGCTCGTTCCGAATCATAGCCTCCGGCCCAACCGTCGAATCAATCCAGGTTTCATCCATCGCGCAGGCAGACGGGAACGCGGGTCAACCCGATGATACCTAGGTGACCTCATGACACATAGTGCAGAATCTCCATCATAATTTCTATCACTTTTGAAGCATGTCACAGGGGACAGACATGAACTCATCAGCGCTTAGTGCCGCCAAGTCGCAGTTACGCTCGTTAATGAAACAGCGACTGGCGAATCTCTCACATGATTCCATCGTAGCTCAGAGTGAGTCTCTTTTACATGGCCTGATATGACATGAACAGGGGCTCCATGTACATACGAGTACATCTAGTTGACCATAGATGTAGGCTCAAAAGTTTTCCTGTCCTTGTCCAAGTTCAAACCATATGTGGATGCGAAGCGAATTGCGGTCTACCTGTCCATGCCAGGTGGGGAGATCCTGACGGACCCCATCGTTAGGCATGCTCTATCTTCAGGCAAGCAAGTCTTCGTACCTTACTTACACAAGTCTGGTTTACAACCGGGCGACGGGCCGACTAGGCTGATGGATATGGTGAGTCTAAGGGATATTGAGGATTATGAGTCTCTACAGAGGGACAAGTGGGGGATTCCGAGCATTGATGCTGCTTCGATCCACGAAAGGGCACGAAGTGTGGGCGAGCTCGATGGAAACAGGTCCGAGGACGTCTCCCTCGACCTGGTTCTTTTACCCGGTGTCGCCTTCGATATTGACCCACATTCTAAGGCTATCCGAAGGCTGGGCCACGGCAGGGGCTTCTACGACTATTTCCTTCATCGATATACGTTGGCTGCTTCACCCGAGGAGAAGACATCAAATGGTCGACCGGCTGTATTACTATATGCCCTAGCATTGAAAGAGCAATTCCTGTTCCCATCATCGGGGGAGTCTGTTCCTGTTGGTCCCCATGATCAACCGATAGATGGTCTGTTTCTCGGAGATGGCCAAATCAAAGAGTCTGCGAACGAGAACGGCGATGCAGAATAGAATCAGTACATCTTGACCAATTTCGGATATCCATAATCGTCTGGTATTTATAGGCGGCGGATTCGTTGCGAACGTTCGTCAAATCGTAATCTCCATGAATCAACCTCCAATTATCATCCACGTCCTTCAACAACCTCCAGCCTGAATCCTTTCATACGGCTTCCTGGATCAACGACACATTGTCTCCCTTCAACAGGATTTGCCCTACAAAAACATTAGTTGCGTACAAATCATTAAGTCGGACGATGAACTAAGATCATACCTAACGGTCTTCGTTTCTCCTCTGAGTTTGTCTTCGTAATCTGCTTGACCTCGACCGCATCATCAATAACAAGATTCATGAACTCGTCAAATCCCTGTGTATGCAGCTATTAGCAAAGAACGAAGAGACGTGACTGGTATCGCGGAAGCTTGTTGCGTACTCTAATTTTGCCCTCGATTCGGATTGACAATTGCTCGTACAGCCAGATCTTAACGGTCGCGTGTGTCTGGAGTAGCTTGAAGATGAAATTGATGGGTGGGAGCAAGATCTTGCGCCCACCGCCGCCGCCACGACCAGCCATTGTGGTGTACTTAAAGGGAGATTCTGTGTCGGGTTCACGGAGTGTATTTAACGAGCGAATATCGAAGTTTGGGGAACGTAGCGGAAGTATGCGTGAAGGTTTAAGACACGTCTATTGTCGGTTGGATTCTCACAATAAAATCCGACGAGGCAGAAAGAAGCTTGGAAGGCTGAGGCGGTAGGGTAACTGCAAGTGGAGCTAAGAAAATATTAGCTAGATTTGATTTGAGCATGGGCTAGGATGCACCTAGAACCCGTGCGCCACAATTCATTGACCCCTCCAAGTCAAGCCACAGATTGAGGCATCTGGGAAAGCTCCATACTGTTCAGGCTCACATGGCAACCAGAGCAATGATGTTTCCTTGGATTATTTTCTTGGCCCCTCTTTCCCTCCTACGCCAACACGTATAACAAAACCTTGCACTTTAAAGAATTTCGCCAACTTTTTGAAGTCTTGCGAAGTTTACCTTCCGCTTTTATTATTAGGATCCTTTCTACCGTCGTGCATTTTCTGGCGTCGGTGCATCTCATTCCTACTTCTTATTTTGACTACAACTGCTGAACTTGCGACCAATCCCGATTGACGAACCGCTTGCTCCTACCGACCTCCGTGCCCACCCCACGGCCGTTGTCCCGATCGATAGAAGTTGCGCGTCATGGCCGCCAGCGATGCGCAACCGGCTTTCGGGCCGGAAGAGGTGCTTCAAGCCATGTTGACCATGAGGGGTGGGGCTACAGAGAAGAGAAAGAAGGATGCACACGAGTACCTTGAACTTTTCCAGAAGTCGGTCAGTATACATAGTCGGATTTGGTCACGCCAACTTTGGCCTTGGCGTACATCAGTACTGATATGATATGGCGTATAGCCGGCAGCATGGACCACGAGCATCACGATATTACAGTCGAATGCCGAAGCAGACGTCAAGTTATTTGCGGCGACGACGCTCAGGGGAAAGGTTAGTCACTCACGAGATCATATTGCATCATGGTAAGCTGGGCAGACAACGAGGCTGACTGAGCAACAACACAAATAGATTACATACGATCTCACAACTCAAGTGCCTGCAGCTGAGATTCCGGCCGTGCGAACTCAACTACTAGCACTCCTGAAACGGTTTGCGCCGGGACCGAAGCCGATAAGGGTGCAGCTATGTGTATGCCTGGCTATCTTAGCCATACAGATGCAGGAATGGAAGGACGTTCTTCCCGTCGTGGTATCGTCCCTCGGCAACGACGCCGAAAGCCACACCTGCATCTTGGACTTCCTTAGAGTTCTACCGGAAGAGGTGACCGAGGGACGCAAAATCACCTTGACAGTACGTGGACCGACGCAGTTTAATACGTCTAATACGACCCCTGCTCTTTTATCCTCCGGCGACGTTTCGTTGCGATGATTACGACTCGAGATGAACTACGATCTAATTGATTATCGTTTAGGACGAAGAACTCGCCCAGAGGACCAACGAACTGTTAGAACAGAATGCTCCGCAAGTCGTGCAACTCTTAATCAACTACGCTCACTCATCTCGTAAGATCCAAATTACCTTATATGAAAGGACTTGACTAACATGTGTGAGCAGCCGCTTCCGCTACGAACCCTCAGCTGTTCGATTGCATTACCTCGTGGTTACGCGAGGTTCCTGTGAACGACATCGTCAAATCCCCGCTGCTATCTATCGTCTTCAACGCTCTCGAGGCCGATTCCTCTTTCCAAGCTGCCGCAGACTGTATTTCCACAATGGTCAGAGAGACGAAGGAGATAGACGACAACATTGAAACTATTCAAATACTCCTTCCGCGAATTATTGCTCTACAACCAAAGATTCAGAAGGTGGTTGAGGAGGAAGACGTTGACTCCTACAAGGCCCTTACTAAGCTATTTGGCGAAACTGGATCATCATGGGCTGTTGCCATAGCCCGCGAACCCACCCACTTCAGACCCTTAGTCGACGCTGTCCTTGAGTGCGCAGCGAGAGACAAGGATAGGGAGGTCATCGAATTCACCTTCGACTTTTGGTATGATCTTAAGCAGTACCTAGTCTTGGAAAAATACATTCAGGCCCGCATGAATCTCCTCGACGTCTACGCGAAGCTCGTTGACGTTCTGCTTAAGCACTTGGAGTATCCCGTGTCCGAATCTGGCAACGAGAAAGATCTTTTTGACGGGGATAGAGAAGCCGAGGAAAAGTTCCGCGAATTTAGACACCTTATGGGTGATACTCTTAAGGACTGCTGCGAGATTATGGGTGTTTCTGAGTGCCTCGCGAAGGTTCACGATGCTATCAAAGTATGGATGCAGAAATACGCTAGCTTGGCGAATGATACATCCGTTCCCCATTGGCAGCAACTAGAGGCCCCCCTATTCTCCATGAGGGCTATGGGCCGCATGGTTACCAAGGACGAGAGCACAATTCTGCCACAGCTCATGCCGCTTCTAGTTCAAATGCCGGCTCACGAGAAGCTACGTTTTGCGACGATTATGGTCTTGGGCAGATACACCGAGTGGACCGCTGCTCATCCCGAATTCCTTCACCCTCAATTTAACTACATCATAGAATCTTTCAACGCGAATTCGAAGGAAATCGTGCGGGCTGCCGCGATGGCGATCAAATACTTCTGTACTGACTGCAAGCATCTCCTAAGCCAGCAGGTTGTTCAACTCCAGGAATTCTACAATCTCATTCTAGATAAACTTCCCGAGCTCAGCCAAGAAGAGATCACCGAGGGAGTTGCGACCGTTGTCTCCGTTCAACCGAAGTCCGAGATCTACAGGCTTCTAAAGCTTTTCTGCGATCCTCTAATCGAGCGATTGATGACAAAGGCGAACAACGCAGCAGGCAAGGACGATAATGAAGGGAAGCTCGCGGTCGCCGACCATCTTCAATTGATCACGCTATTTGCTCAACACGTTGTCGTCCTTCCCCCAGTCGAGCGTGGCGAAGAGGATCCTGCTGTTAAATACTGGCAGGAGGTTTTCCCGATCTTATCCAAGGTCTTGGAAAGCTTCCTTAACTTTCCTCCCATCTGCGAGAGAGTCTGCCGATGTTGGAGATTCATGGTGATCTCGCACCGAGGCGCCATGGCACCTATTCTTCCGGATATGGCAAATCAGTTAGCAAGTGGATTTGCTACATCAAGACAGGGATGCTTCTTATGGGTTACCGGAGCGATTCTGCGCGAGTTTTCTGACGATCGAGAGCACGTAGACCCGGCGATGACGGAGGATATCTACGTCTTCTTCAACGCTCAGGCCACCAACGTCCTACGCTTCATTACGGAGGTGCCGTCACTGGATCTTCCGGACGTCATAGAAGATTTCTTCCGCCTAGCCGTGGACGGACTCTTGTACTACCCTCAAAAATTTATCCCTTCGCCCCTATTCGAACCAGTGTTCGAAGCTGCTTACTCCGTTCTCGTCCTGCAACAACGCGAGCCTCTTTCCGCTACCCTACATTACATTCGCGATGTCCTTGGATGGGGTACCGCATACCCACCATCATCCTACGAACATCTTTCGGCATCGGAAGCTCAGGTACTAAGAGAGGCCGTGAAGCGTCTCGTCATAAAGGAAGGAGAGATGTTGGTTAAGCGCTTGCTCGCCGGCATGATGATTACTTTCCCGAAAGACTGTTTTGCGGATGCTAGTGGTGCCCTTCTCACGTTATTCGAGATATTCCCGAGTGAGACGACAACATGGGTAGACCGTACGCTCCGATTACTACCTGAGGGCACTGTCACATCGACGGAGGTGGACCGTTTCATGGCTAAGATTAGAGATAGACTCTCTACCAACGATTCTGGAGATGTCCGACAGATACGCTCGATTCTGCAGGACTTCACTAACACCTACCGACGAAGATATGTCGCGCCTCGTGATGGTTTAGGGGCACTCGAGGGATCGCGTTTCCGATTCTCAGGTAGCTTCTGAGATTAAGTAACTGAAGTCGTCCCTTTCCGCACCATCTAAGAGGAGTAAATGGATATCACCGATGGGGGTCTACGTACGATGAGGGGCTCGATGCCGACGAGTTAGACAACGAGATGCTGTATGATGGCTAAGGGGTGAATGATTTGGGAAATGTTTATTAGTCAGGACCTTCCTGCAGCTGTGTAATCTGCAGGAAAAAAAAGTAGATAGGTATAATCTCAGTTCGTTGGGTTCGGAGCGGTGGTGGCGTAGATTCGGGAGTGAGACGGGATGCAAAATGATACCTAACAACAGTAGCTCTGCTATGATCGCAGATCGTCTAAGGCGGGTCGTCGCCCAGAGATTGATTGTACATATGCCAACATTTACTTAGCAATAGCTATTCACAACTATTGCGAAGATTCAAGAAATTGGCCGTCTTGGTAGTACTAAGGGCTTAATCAATCAATATTGTGGTAAAGACAAATACGACTTGTACAATGAAGTATTCACTTACTTCGTATAGTAGGGCATTGTTTAATTAAGCAACATGTTGTAGCGTGCGATTTCAATTTCTTATTCCTTTACTAAATTTTTCATATCATCATTTTTCATGAGGTGCCGCGAAGCTGGACCTCCTTTCCCATCTCTCTGATTACCTATCTATTCTAGATCCGTTTGAACCTGGTTGATTCTGATTTCAAAATGTTGCCCTGATATGTTCATCTTCATCCTTGAGCCTCTGATTGTGGACCATAATCTATCTCAATATCCCAGTTATGTAATGATAAACTTAACCCTCTAATTCAAAGTGGCCCATTGTGTCTAAACCTGAGATTCATAATCCCAGTTCTCCCAGTACTCCACCGGTCCCATCATGTCCCCGGAGTCAACGGTACAGGAAGAGAACGATGCAATCTCGTAGTAATCTCCAAATAATCCTTTTCATTCTCCTCCGTAACAATCCCATGCCTCACGAAAAAATCAATCATCACCATAGCGCAATTCGTCTTAAACTCGCCCCGCAGCAGCGCCTCCTTGACTTTCGGCACATCCCACAGGTAAAACTCCTCCACCTCGTCGTCCATCGGCTTCGGCACAACCGCCTCGTCGACCTCCATATCGTACACGTACAATACCCCCGGTGCCGCGACCCCGGCCTCGGGCCCCGTCTCGGTGACCCCTACATACGTGACGGCGCCGCAGGCCCGCGCGCGCTCGCGGATCAGCGATTCCGGGAGCGAGGCCTCCTCGGCGGCCTCGTGCACGAGGCACTCGAGCGATGACTCGTGCGCTGCTACGCCCCCCGCGATCGACGAGTCCAGCTTCCCCGGGTACGTGTGCATCTTGCGGCTGCGGCGCGGGACCCAGATCTGGAGGTCTTGATCCCCTTCCCCTTCCCCTCCCCCTTTGCCTTTGGAGCGCACGTACATCGTCAGATGCACGCCCAGACACGCGATCCCGAAGAGCGGCGCGGCGGCGCGCCGCATCTGCACTGTCGGGTACCGCGCCCCGATGATCCGGTAGTCTTCGGTGGACTTGCGCTTGTTGAGGGATTCGAAGATGTGCTGGTCCTTGGCGTGCTGGACGACGGCGGAGAAGGCGGTGTTGCTGGACCCGCGCGGGTCCGTGCCGTTGGATGGGTCGAGGACTTGGACGGTCCGTGGCCGGGCGCCGGGTGGGCTGATGGAGAAGTGCTCTGTCCAGGGCATGGCGGCGACAACGGTGGGGTGGATGAACCCGTGCGGACGCGGGTCCGAGGGTAGTAGGAGCTGGTAGAAGATGGGGTCTGGGGCTTCTGCGTAGGGGGTGCGGGTGAGGTCGATGTTGGGGAAGCTGTGGACATGTGAGCTTTGTGGTCTAGGTAAGCTACTTAGGTGAGCTAAGTAAGCGCATACTTGTCGCAGGCCTTGATCAAGTCAAGGTAGGTTGTTGGAGGCGATGCCATTTTGCCCCTGAGTAGCTCTTCGGCTAACCCCTTTACTGCCTTCTACAATCGATACCTATCACGACTCCGACTTCCGGGTTGGAGACGAGGTCTAAGCTTATACGGAGTTATTAGAGTTTTTGGTTACGGAAAGCACTTGATAAATTTACATGAGTCACCCGGTGTACAATAGGAAGCTGCTTGACTGAAATTGAAGTTTATAATTCGGTAACAGGATGAGGCTTAAAAATGACGCACAACCGGGTTCTTGAAGGTATGATCAAGGTGAGTCTTATAGAGGATTATACGAAGGTCAGTACAGGGCTAGTTCCAAATTAAAGAGAATGATTGTCAAACAATGATTGGAAGGGTTTGGGTTTGAAAATACATAGAAAAGTATAACTTGTGAAGATCAATTAACCATGCGTAACTCTCCCGTCCAGGTGGAATGATGTTTTGCAGTGCTGTATGGATCTGTCACCTTAGTATGGGGAATAAAGAATAGTCACACCGAAGATAGCGTGAGTATATCCCATCAGCCCGTAGAAACTATAACCGGATCGTACCTAGGTACCAATCCACATCGGCAACTTACCTGGATTCCATTAATATAAAACGATGCTCATGTACAACTTTTATAATGTGTAACAGTGGTCAATATCGAAGAACGAAGAGTCACAAAATACCAAATACTAAATACTTCAAAGTTAGCTTTGAGCTTAGGTGAGTTACATTATTAATACATGGCAGGGCTAGAACCCTCGCAGCTTCCTCGATAAGCTGAATTATTTTACACGTTTGCCTTTATAGGATAAGAGCAGGAACGATAAGGGAGAGAAACAACCCACCAACCCCACCAGACCACAAAAATTCTACTGTATACAAAAATTGATGTCACTTGCAGGACGAGGTGCCCCGCTTAAGCCCCATCTGAGTGTGGCCTGTCCGCCTGTGAATTTTCTCCTCTTGTACCTTACCCCTCCTTCGACTTTTGCCCCGACAAATTTTCCTTTCCTTCGAAGCACACAGCTACGAACAGGCTGGTCGACGGTGGTTGCTTGCGACTTTTGCACTTAACTGCTTCGTTTCCTTCTTTTTTTCCATACCCCTACTTCCAAACGCTAATCGATTCTCTCTAGAAGAGATCGTTGGTGATTTGTATGACAGAGAAGTGCAATTAAGCCCACTTCCCTCAATACAAATACCACCCCGCCTTCGCGCATTTATCACCATCGTCAGTTGAATAGAAACACCACATAGAACGGTTTTCGCATCAATACCGCCAAAATGGTTAAGTAAGTTCATCACTTCTTCATCTTCATCTTCGCCTTCTTCCATATTTGTCTACGGTGCAGCACAATGCTATCTCACCTAGCTTCATTTCATCTGTCTCTGTCCCGTCTTTGCGCGCAAAGATTCATCGCTCACGATGCCCAAAACAACCCCACCCGGAGATAAGAGCTCCGTTACATCCATACCTAGTTACTAATATGACACTCCGAATAGCTTCACCATCGACGAGATCAGGCAGCTTATGGACAAGCCTACCAATGTCCGTAACATGTCCGTCATTGCCCACGTCGACCACGGCAAATCTACCCTGACCGACTCTCTCCTGGCCAAAGCCGGTATCATCTCCACCGCGAAAGCTGGTGATGCCCGAGCTACGGATACGAGAGCTGACGAACAGGAACGTGGTATCACTATCAAGTCTACTGCCATCTCCCTATATGGCAACCTACCCAGCGATGACGACATCAAGGATATCGTCGGTCAAAAAACCGACGGTCGAGATTTCTTGATCAACCTGATCGACTCGCCCGGTCACGTTGATTTCTCATCCGAAGTCACTGCTGCTCTCCGTGTTACTGATGGTGCTCTCGTCGTCGTCGACACCATTGAGGGTGTCTGTGTCCAGACTGAGACCGTCTTGCGACAGGCTCTCTCTGAGCGCATCAAGCCCGTCGTTGTCATCAACAAGGTCGACCGTGCTCTTCTAGAGCTTCAGGTCTCCAAGGAGGATCTTTACCAGACCTTCCTACGAACAATTGAGTCAGTCAACGTTGTTATCTCTACCTACCTCGACAAGTCGCTTGGCGACCTCCAGGTCTACCCTGAGAAGGGAACCGTTGCTTTCGGCTCAGGTCTTCACGGCTGGGCCTTCACCATTCGTCAATTCGCCATCCGATATGCCAAGAAATTCGGTGTTGACCGAAACAAGATGATGGAGCGTCTATGGGTGAGTCTTGCCTGGGATTATTTGTTCTAGTTATTCTAGATGTTCTGTCTATCTCTTCGTATCATTTGCTAACCCTTGTACTAGGGTGACAACTACTTCAACGCCGCCACCAAGAAGTGGACCACCAAGGGCACCCACGACGGCAAGCAGCTTGAGCGTGCTTTCAATCAATTTATCTTGGATCCTATTTTCAAGATTTTCTCTGCCGTCATGAACTTTAAGAAGGACGAAGTTGCTACTCTGCTTACCAAGCTTGACCTCAAGCTCCCCCCTGCGGATGCTGACAAGGAAGGCAAGCAGCTCTTGAAGGCTGTCATGCGAACTTTCTTGCCCGCTGCCGATTCTCTCTTGGAGATGATGATTCTTCATCTACCTTCCCCTGTCACCGCTCAGAAGTACCGTGCCGAGACTCTATACGAGGGTCCCCCTGATGACGAGGCCGCCATCGGTATCCGAGACTGTGACCCCAAGGGTCCTCTCATGCTTTACGTCTCCAAGATGGTGCCGACCTCTGATAAGGGTCGATTCTACGCCTTCGGCCGTGTCTTCTCCGGTACCGTCCGATCCGGTCTTAAGGTCCGTATCCAGGGCCCTAACTACACTCCCGGAAAGAAGGAGGATCTCTTCGTCAAGGCCATCCAGCGTACCGTCCTGATGATGGGTGGCAAGGTCGAGCCCATCGACGATATGCCTGCCGGTAACATTGTCGGTCTGGTTGGTATCGATCAGTTCCTGCTTAAGTCTGGTACCCTCTCCACTCTTGAGACCGCCCACAACCTTAAGGTCATGAAGTTCTCCGTCTCTCCTGTCGTCCAGCGATCCGTCCAGGTCAAGAACGCTCAGGATCTGCCTAAGCTTGTCGAAGGTCTCAAGCGTCTGTCCAAGTCTGACCCTTGCGTCTTGACCAAGACCAACGAGTCCGGTGAGCACGTCGTTGCCGGTGCCGGTGAGTTGCATCTCGAGATTTGCTTGAAGGATCTCGAAGAGGACCACGCCGGTGTCCCTCTTATCATTTCCGACCCCGTCGTCCAGTACCGTGAGACCGTTGCTGGAAAGTCAAGCATTACCGCTCTTTCCAAGTCTCCCAACAAGCACAACCGTCTGTACATGGTTGCCGAGCCCATTGACGAGGAACTCGCCAAGGTTATCGAGGATGGCAAGATCGGACCCCGTGACGATTTCAAGGCTCGTGCCCGTGTTCTAGCCGACGACTTCGGCTGGGATGTGACCGATGCCCGAAAGATCTGGTGTTTCGGACCCGACACCGTCGGTGCCAACTTGCTCGTTGACCAGACCAAGGCCGTACAGTACCTTAACGAAATCAAGGATTCAGTCGTCTCCGGTTTCCAGTGGGCTTCGAGAGAGGGTCCCGTTGCCGAGGAGCCAATGCGATCCGTCCGATTCAACATTCTGGATGTTACCCTGCACGCTGATGCCATCCACCGTGGCGGTGGTCAGATCATCCCCACTGCCCGTCGTGTTCTGTACGCAGCTGCTCTGCTTGCCGAGCCTGCTCTCCAGGAGCCTGTCTTCTTGGTCGAAATCCAGGTGCCTGAGCAGGCCATGGGTGGCGTCTACGGAGTCTTGACCCGCAGGAGAGGTCACGTCTTCAACGAGGAGCAGCGCCCTGGTACTCCTCTCTTCACCATCAAGGCTTACCTGCCCGTCATGGAGTCTTTCGGCTTCAACGGCGATCTTCGACAAGCTACTTCCGGCCAAGCCTTCCCTCAACTGGTCTTCGACCACTGGCAACTACTACCCGGTGGATCTCCTTTGGACAAGACCTCCAAGGTCGGACAGATCGTCGAGACGATGCGCAAGCGCAAGGGTCTCAAGGTCGAAGTACCCGACGTCAACAACGTAAGTACAAAATTCGTAACATTCCTAACCCGCACCATACTGACATTAGACAATAGTACTACGACAAGCTATAAAAGGATTCGCCCAGTGCTTGATAGACTACTACCTAGTGCCATTATTGGCAAATATCATGGGACGACTCGGCGCGTTGCATCTGGGTTTGTCGCATGGATAATACGATCCTATAGTAGATCGATAAGGAATGACATGCGGCCGTGGATACAGAAAAGCTACGCAAAGGCATTGAACGCGGAACTTTCATTAGCTGTCGTACATCGGGTTTGCTTGTACCATGAAGAACAGAATTGATCATGATTTTAAAGGAATGCTTTTTTCGGTGAAACTGTGATCTTTCATGATTTGACTACATCAAGGATATTATAGATTTCCTAGGATTCTAGAATTACTTGCCCATCTCCAGTATATTCTTCCGACGAAGCTGTAGCCAACCCCCCTATACTCTATATACCAAAAAAGTAAGACGTATCTCTTTACCTAGGTACCTACCTTGGTATTCCGGATACATATCAAATTCAAACACAACACAAATCTCGCTAAAAAAAAAATCAACGTTTATGAGTATAGGTAACTAATAATATTAGATACTCTCATCCCAATCCCAACGCAAAGAAAACTAAAAAAAGGGGAGAAAATATGCAGTTCAATACAGTTTTCGATGGCGCCTATGCAGCTAAACCAGTAAACGTTTGATGATGTGTTCAGTCCCTTTCTACGATGAATTCCATTACGCCCTGGTTATGCAAATTGCTAATTTTTCCGATGCATGAATGCCACCTCTCTCTCTCTCTCTCCTCCCCCCCTCTCTCTGTACGTGTCTGTCTGTCTCCATCTTCCTAGTATCTTGATATTTCTCCTTTCTTTCCTGTTTCTCATTCTTCCAACCTTCCCCCCTTATCACTTATCCATCACGACGACCCCAAGATCTTGGCGTACGCGTCCTCGACCTCGCCGGCCAGCTCGAGCAGCGAGACGATGACGATCTGGTGCGTCAGGTTCGGCAGCCTCTCCCTATGCAAGCCGATCCACTCGAGCGGCGGCGTCGCCTCGCCCATGTCCCTCAGCTGCGGCGTCTCTATGACGGGCGGCTCGAGCGCCGCGTACTCGTACTTAGACTGCGGGACGTTGACCTCAGCCGTGATCTTCTGCTGCCCTCCTTGCTTCCCCCCTTCTCCTGCCCCTCCCTTCTCGCCGCCGCCACCGTCCCCCGTCTGCTCCGGCACCCCGGTGACCTTGATAGCGGACATAGCCGGCAACTCCCTACCCCAGGTCTGCGCGAGCGCCTTGCTGTGGTTGGCCCACATGCCGCGGATGTACGAGATGCGGCTGTAGTTCCAGCCGACCTCGACCTTGCCCTCGAAGGAGCTCTTGAAGATGTACTCGATGTGGCGCGACGCGGGCGCCTGCCACGTCTGCATGCGCGCCTCCACCTTGGGCACCTTGAGGATCGTGCCCCCGCGCGACCCCGTCGCGCTCGCCACCACGTCCTCCACCGCGATCTCGCTGACCGCCTTGGGCGCCGACGCCCGCCGCACCCCCGCCAGCCCGATCCGCAGCTGCCCCAGCGTCAGGCCCAGGCTGCTGTGGATCCGCTTCTCCTCCATGTTCGCCGCGAACTTCGCCTGCGCGTTCAGCGCCTCCAGCTTGAACACCTGGTGGTCCGAGAAGGTGCTCGGGAAGATGCCGAGGTTGAGGGCCTTGAGCGTTACTACGACGTCCGTGTCGAGGGATATAGGGGATTTCGTGTCGGATTTGTCGACGTGCGGCTTGCTTGGGCTGGGTTGCAGAGCGGGCGGTTGGCTGCTGAGCGACTTCCGTTTCATGAACTTCTCAATATCTCGTAGCGACGTCTCGTAACTCGCTTTCCGCTCCTGCATGAGTTTTTGGATGGCTTGCCATAAAGCGACGCTCTGAGAAGCCGATGTCGTGGTGCCAAATACCTGGACGGCTTCTCCGTCAAGGTTTGCCACGAGTCTGTCGCCTGAGGCGTTCTTCTCTTGGCGCACGTTGTACATGAGGAATTCCATCTTCGTGATATCTGCGACTAGGAATGCTTGGTAGTCAAATGCTGCCTTCAACTTGAATTGGCTGAAGCTAATTGAAGCCTGGATCCTCGGCGTTTCGTTTAATGCTTCCTCTCGTTCTGGCCATTCGATTGAGGTCCGTAATTTGAAGTCCTGAAGAGCAACGAACCCGCTTAATCGGCCGGTACAATCGATACCAATGCTTGCAAATCCTAGGCAGAGGTTTTGTTCCCAATCCGACGTCTTCTTTGACGAAACCCAGAACTCGGTTATAGCGAATTTGGACTTGCCGAGGGATTGACCCAAATCCACAAGAACATCCAAGGAAGCGATGGAAATTGTAGCTGTCCAGGGGAACGCCGCCGTAGCAGCCACCTGTTGGTATCTCTGTACAAGATGGCCCTGAGCTATCGATTCTGCTGTGACCGTCGAGACGGGCGCCGTATTTGATCTTACTTCTCTCGGCATCCAGATTTCTCGGAAGAGTAAGAAATCTTGTAGTTGTTTGGCGTTGATAGCCACTTCCATCGGGCTTACTTTCAGAATAGCAGAAACGCCGCTCGTACCGCTGACGTGTTTGCTATTCATCATCGAAAGTACGATCGATTCGACTTGGAAGCTACCAGTGGATTCCCTAGAGTAGACATGTTGTACGGACATGTGGAATCCAGTGAATGTGCCGGAAATGGCGAAGAAATTCCCGTGTTCTGCTCCGTGGACTGTATTCATGGTGATATAGATATCCTCGAAGCGAGCCGTGGCTGCAACTCGGCCGATAGGTTGGCAACTGAGCGTAAATTCCTGCTTGCAAATGCGCAGACCCAGATTTAGTTTCACACGTCCCAATACTGCGCTTGGGTCTGCTGTGAGAATATTGTCCTCATTGGTGGACTTTGGTTTATCTTTGTCCTTATCCGCATCTTCACTTGGTCTTGTCGGTGAAATCGGTGACTCGGCCGCGTCGTCGCCAACCACCTCTTTGATGCTAGTGGTGATATCCATAATGAGGGGAACAATAGTTGGGTAGAGAATGTTGCGTGACGGAGCGATCTTAATCTCTCCATACAAGGTCGGGTCTTCTTTACCGTTGTCTCTATATTCGGTCTTCCAGGCCAACCCAGGGGCGCAAAGGGCCATGCTGCTGCCCGTTTCGTCCGTACTGAACTGTCCGTATTTTCCAGCTAACATAGGCTTGGACCCAGCTGAAGTAACTGGGTCATCTATTGGCCTTTTACCGGTAAGGTGTACCACAGCACCGGCAAAGTCTGCATCGATCAAAAGTGATTCAAGTCTCCTGCTTCCAAACAAGGAACGTCTAGTCTCGACCTCTTGATCAGCGAGCCCCGTGACTGCTGTGACCGGCTTTTCTTGCATGACAATTGGCGCCCAATGTTCTGAAGCTTGTTGGACGTTCTTCGCCGATAGACTGATGGAATCCTGGAGATGGGCTGCTGGGACGATGAAAGCAGAAGTCAAGCGTAAGTCTAAAGATTTTCCTACGGCCTGGAAGGCTAGTCGGCGAGCATCAACTGTCGAAACGAAGGCAATATTGAAAATCACCTCTGGCAGGAGCGCCGAATTTAGTGATCGACGTGATTTATCTTGACCTGGCGGAACCATTTGTAGTTGGAAATCTTCTATGGTTAACTTCGCCGAGTTTTTCTTGCGCGTAGCGAATTCGATCCGTTGGAATGACAACACTAGGTCTTCCTGGCCTACCGTAGGCTGATTCAGGGGGGACACAAGCCAGCATACTTGAATGTTCTTGATTTCGAAAGAATACATGACGGATGAGAGGAATGAGTCCAGGATGTCGCTTTCTGTCTCCTGCTCTTCATCGTTGATAGCAATGCGGGGCTTTGATTGTCTCAATTTCCGCAAGTATTCAAGTTCTCGTGAAGTATCGAGGTCCTTGATCTTGTCGCCCATGTAGCCGAGCACGTCCACGGACGTTGACACAGTATCTGACGAGAGATTTATCTCAAACGCGTCGGATTTGAAATCAAAAGACCTCACCTCTTTACCATCTTCTGATTCGCGGTTTGTGGCAGTAATCAAAGCGCCAAAGGCAAGATTTCCGCAAGATTTCATTCCCATAGTCTCCGATCCTTTTTCTATGTTGAACATAATCTGGTGAAGATTAATATGTATCTCTGGATTCTCGAGAATGACCCCCTCGTCTAGTTTGTTCGCAACCTGTATTTGCACCGTATCCAAATGGAACGACAGGCCTGCACGCAATTCGACGTCTGATTTGATTGGTGCGATACCGAATATTTTAAGCCCAGCGAGACTGCCGTGAACGGTGTATGTCAACTTTGGATCACTAGATTTCGGTGACGCTAATTCTGGTGTTGGTTCTGTCGTTGAAGTTCCTGTGGAACCAAATATTTCGTCGATATGTCCTTGTATAATCTTGACTTGCTCCTGAAGATCATTGATAGCGTTCGAGATTTGTGGCCGGTTGAGTGCAGTAAGCAAACTATAGACGGCAGAGGCATCTAGCTCTACAAGCTCTAGTGAGAATAACGCGGTGACTGAATGCTCTTCTGCAGACGTGTGACTTGTTATTCGACCATTCGTCGGGGGGATCTGTAGTAGTGAAATGCTACGAGGCGTATTATTGACTTCGATCTGCATATCATGAGAGTTTTCCTTGATATCAAAATCGAGTATCATCTCTTTACCATAGTTGGCGGCTATATTTGCTCGCGCAACAACACCAGAGATAGTGTAGGTAAGAGAACGTAATAAGGGTATGGTGATCGTATATGAGTCCAAGAACATCGCTAGGTTGCCCTGTATTGTTGACAACCGTCCTCCCTTACGCTCCTGGGGTTCAGGAGACGGGTTTGAAGGGAATCTCTGTCCTAAGGCGTAAAGCTGCGCTACTTCATCCTTTACCAGCAGGTCCAGGACCTCGGCTAAGACGATTGGATCTTGTCTAACAACAAATTTGAAGTCTTGGCTGCTAGCTGCTGCTTTAATAGTGTGTGTGTCGAATTGCTTATCAGATTGCACATCGTGTACAATGATAACGCTGGGGTGTTGAAGTCTTGCGGTAGCGAGTGCTTGCGAATGGCTTTTGACCTTAGCAGTAGCCGATTCGCACCCTAGAATAACATTCGTATTCGTAGAACCCCGCGCTCCGCTGTTTGTAAGGATTGATAGCTTTAGGTCGCTACTTTGCAATCTAGAGCTCAGGTTAATAGCTTCAAAGGAGATCGCACTTTCTCCTAGGACGCACACCACATGGAGCGGGCGAGATGGTTTGTGCTCTGCTATATCTTCTTTCTTAGGCTTTGGTTCTTCAGACGTTGATGAATCTGCTTGCTTGTAGAGTCGGAGAATGTCGTCCGCAAGTTCACAGAGTTCCCAGTTAGTCTTGATCCATGCTTCGCCACAGTATACATTAACAAGTGTCAGGGGCTCTCCAGTATCAACAGGCTTCTCATCAAGCATTTCAATGCTGTTGTTTCTCTCTTGGACCCTGACAGTGAGTTCTAAGATGACTATCTCATTTTGCTTTGGGCCGGGATCAAGCACAAACTGCATCTCTTGGATCCTGGCAATAGCCATCGTGGGAATCTGACTAGAGGCATTCGAAGTTGGCTCGGGAGCTTTGCCAAAAATGTTATCCAATAGTACGGCATGTCTGGGGTCTTCGAGATCCCAACTACGCCACCGCTCGAAAGCTGCGGTAACTTGATATCTTGCATCGCCAGGATATTGCGAGAACCCGAACAGACAATCTCGCTTGAGGCTCTCCTTAGCGTCGAAATCGAGAGCAGACCACATTTGGCGTAACCTTGTAACGAGCTTCCAGGAATCGTAGGTCCTCAGATGCTGGGTTGCTGTCCGTAAGATAGCTGAGGGACGAACGACGAAAGGAGCGTCACTCGCTTGCTGTCCCTCAGTTATAACACGATATGTGAACTGTTTCATGCGTTCATCACCAGCTGAAAATGTGTCCGAGAAAAGGGTTGCCGTTTCAGACACAAGTATATTCGTCCTGTGAATTAGCGAAGCAAGGTATTCAACCTTGCCCGAAGCTGAAGAAGCATGGACATCACCAATGTCGGCGTCGATATAATTCACCTCTTTTGAGCCCATAGAGACCATAATCCTTTCTATCCTAGCTAATACCGCGGCTTGTGGCATCTGGTCTAGATTTGTGAGCCTCTCGGCAGCAGAGAGTTCCATGGAAGCAAGACGAAAATGAAACGATAGTTGAGAGCTGCCGACGATAGGAGTACCACTGGCGTCCTTGGCGGGTAAGCCAGACCGTGTAGCAAGCACAAGTGACTTAAGCGACACGTCATACTGGTCTTGTGGCTCTTGGGAAGAATCGTCGGAATCAAAAGTAGAGCAATTCAAGAACCGCAAATTCGCCTGGGGTAACCGCAGGATAAAATCAGTAACCGTTCCGTTTACTCGCGTGTCTTTTTGAGAATCGAATATGTCGGTTACTGCTCCGATTTGGAGAGTATCAAGGATATCCTCAGGGTCAGAGGGCGAAAAAGATCGTATCAGAGATGCTATGCACCGTAAAGATGGAGTATTGAGGAAAACACTAATTCCGGAGGGGAGCTCAAGGAGTAGACTCTGGTGAGCGTGGTCTTGACTTAATTGGTCAGGATGGAAGTTCTCTAAGCTAAAATCGGAAGAGCCGAAAAGATTATCATCTTCGTTTTCTTCGATACTGCGCAATATGGCTTCTTTAGTACCTGGTTGGACACTCTGTAAGGGAAAAGAAGGAGCAAAGTATTGGCTCGAAAATGATATGGTAGTATGATGTGGATCTCTCCTGTCCCCGTGTTGCCCATAAGCACTCATTGGCGCCGAATAGTGCGTAGAGGAAGTCGGATGTTCGTGAACTTGGGCGGTTTGCTTCGACTCGCCACCTTTAAGTAACGTGGGACTAGCAGTACGGCCAGAAACCCGAGACTGTTGAGCCGTTCTGACCGAACCTGGTCTTAAAATACTACCATTGTTCGAGCTAGACAGCGAAAGAAACGAGCTTTTCCGGCGAAGCTTTGCAGAGTGGTGCGAGGAGCCTAAAGACAACATCGAACGGTTGTCAGCAACTGAACCCGACGAAACTGGTTGAGGGACTGAAGGAACGCTTTGTGCCGGATTGTCGACGACGTCGGGCGTGAAGTCGCCTAGGAGACCTGGAAGTAACAAGAAGTTGGTCCGATGCGTCCGTTGGTCATGGCGACGTATTAATTCTTGTTGTAATTGTCTCTCCTGTGCAAAGTCGTACTTCCGTCCAATAAGTGCAAAATGTATATTGGTTCGGACGAACACATCAGTATCGACATGGGAGCGAAGTCGTGATCGATGTCTTGTAGCGGATTCTGAATTGACACAAGCAATTTCAAGATCAGGCACCTTGATATCGGCACGTCGGGAATAATGCGTCCTCGCCCAATCGTTGAACTGTACGTCCAATGTCCCCGTAGAGAACAGGAATGCTGCCTCGTCCACGTGCATCCAAACATGGACTGACTCAACAAAAGCTCGCAAAAACGTCACATCGTACATTATTATAGACGAGTATGGTATTAGGGCATTTTCGTCATCATCGAGGGAGAAGCCGAATGCCTTTCCTCCTCGTATAAGACTAGCTATAAAATCGGTCGAGCAATCACCAGTGACAGCTCCGACTTTCAAGTCCCAGTTGCAGAGATACGTGGGCTCAACCGGCGGCAGACCAAACAGGCGATGTCCGTAGATAGTAATACCGTCAATAAATAGCTGGGTGCTCGATATGGCACTCATTGGGCTAGTGGCGCCTTCGTCGTCGTCTCCAAGGGAAAGACTTAATGGGCTAAAACAGAGCTCAAGATCCATATAATAGTTCGTGAAACGGAGATCGATGGCCAGAGAGGCAGCCTCTATGGGTATATGACGTTTGGGGGAATACATGTTGGCGGGCAAGAAAATCTTTGGATCATCAGTACGGACGCTCAATATGACGTCCATATCGTTCGACTTCTTATGCGGAGGGCGATCTGTTGACTGGGAATCTGGCGCCGCTTCTTTGGTTCGTAAGGCTTCTTGATGCTCGTCTAGGGTTCTAAAATGGACGTGATCACCGAAGTAATTGTCTTTCAGCTGTAAGAAATATCGAACAAGAAAACCGTAAAGAAAAGCCGTAGGAGATTGTATACCAACGTCGAGGACAAGGGTATCAGTGTTTGCAGGCGATGTCGTTGAATTATAATAGTATTTCCCTTCGAGAGTTAGACTTTCAAGGTGTCCTATCTCTTTCGAGGGCAAGAACGTCGCTTGAGTGTTCCATGGAGGAACATGTAAGTCAACGCGAAGGGGTTCGGCCGTAACTTGGAATGGTATTGCGTTCAGCGGGGGTCGATAATTATTTATCGGTATGCAAGTGTCTGCTACCAAGCATGGGCTAGAAATCACTAAATATGTGTTCTCCTCAAAGTTGGTGGGATCGTTGACGATGTTCACATCATTGACGTTGAGATAGAGCTTCAGACTGCGAAACTTCAAGTTCAAGAGGTATTTGAAAGGGGTAAAAGTAAGGTATTCCGAAGGTGGCCCGCTGCCCCAATCGTCTATGAGGTCTGTGAGTAGGAATATGTGATCTCTTAAAATGAAAAGCTCAAGGCCATCACTGTCGATGTTGAAGCGCCAAGTCCGAAGGGCATTCCACTTAAGAGGGGTAGACATATCACAAGATATTTGCTGGCGTCCAGATTTCCACAGGAGCCCATGATTAACGCTCGTTGAGATCTCGGTTGCAGGAAGGTCAATCTTTAACGTATTCGTATACCCAGTTGGCCTGGCAAGCATGTCCATTATATACGAGACCGTGGCATTTGGCGCAACTTTAATATCGAGCCACCCACAAGGACGCTGTTCTGCTGCTGTGGTTGCGGCAGACTTCCGATCGCGACCCCTTTCTCGCCTACTCCCCTGCTTGCGGTGCTGTTGCAACGTGAGAGCTTCCTTCTTCCATCTCCAATTTTTTGAATCTTCGCGCGTAGGCACTCTAAGTATGATCTCTTCTTCAAGTTCTAGATAGAAGTTGAATTGTGTAGGCACCCGATATGCGCCGGGCGGAAGTTTCTGCGCAGGTACGGCGTCTTTGCATAAACCCGGGAAGAATACCCTCTGTAGTTCAGCTCGCTGTCTATCTGCCCAAGGTCCGTAATGGAGTGTGCCGCCTTTCAACGATAGGCTGATCGCCCAGGCTGGCGCTGTGATCCCATTAACGTTATCCGAAGAGCCATCGCCGTTAGAGGAGTGTAAAGCGCTCTGCGGTGTGACTCTCCCAGGAACATCCCACAGTATTGTTACTGTTGCCTCAGGGCTCTCAGCCACCGTATTCACACAGCCATACTCGACCGACGACCATTTAAGCTTGTCATCTTCGTCATCGTCATTGAGGTATCGAGAAAGCCCCTGCCATTGGTTAGAACCAGGAATACGAGTGTCAACTGGCTCTTCTCCGCCGTCCCCGCCGTCTCGTGAGGTCACTGAAAAGGACTCGACAGATTTCCTCCAATACGGAATCATGTAACGTAATTGGCCAAGCATTTTACGGCGTTGTGCTCGAAAGAATCGTCTATTTTGGACAGGATGGGAGTCCTTAGCCGTCTGTTGATCTTTATGTGCCTTGGCGAGTTGCTCTTCCTTATATCCTTCGTTCTCCCTCATCTCAATTACAGGCTCCTCGAGCTGAATTTTGAAGAGTTGTCGGTACGGATCTGGAGTCTGACAATCGCTTGCGTCAATTTCCCCCGACAAAGATTTAGCCTTCGCGATTAAAATAGACTTGGTATTCTCATTTCCCATAACCATAGCAGCCTTATCACACCTGAAATGTATTGGGAATATCTGTAGTAGCAAGGGAAGATCCTCCTTTTCGCCTGTCTCACGATTACTGCCAGAGACAGAATTAGAGCTGAAGGTCCTCTGGTGATGAGTTTCGAATCCATTTTTCTCGTCAGCGAAACCTATACCGTTTTCCTTGTGATGATCGGCCTGTTCCTGGCTATTGCGTTGTCGATGTCGCAATTTGGCAGAGCCATTCTTGAGGTCATCAGTTCCGTTAAGCATATCGGCGGGTTCAGGCGGAGGGCTCTCGGTCATCGCATTGAGCATTGAGTCGTAGGCAGCACTCCGGTTATAGACGAACCATTCCAATCCGGAAACGACAATATTGACACGGCAGGGGAGCTCCGGCTGTTTACTAGCGTCCAGCGCAATACCGTCTTCGTGCTTCACGTCTTTTTTCCCTGCGCCAATTCCAACATCCCGCACTCTACGCAACCAATATGACCAAGTGATATGCCCATTCTGGATAAGAATCGTTTCGTTATTTCCGTGATATCGAAGACCGGTGAAGAAGACTCGTCCACCAAGCAAGGACCACTGCAAGGCTTGAATATCGATATAGATCCGATAGGTATGCCACGTATAAGTGCGAATTATGTACGAGATGATTGAGGCGAATACTCTATTAAAGTATAGCAGGAAAAAGACAGCACTTCAACTGAGTTAGGCGCGTAACGGACAAATATACGGATACAGAGTATGGCCTGGATAGGAAACTTACAGGAAACCGCAGACAATGATATAAGCTAGGAATTGGCTTTTCTCTTGGTCAGTTTTGATAACTTTCAATTGTGTTACGAGGTATATGGCAGCAATACGGCTTAACCTACCCATTGAAGTCGCGCCAACCTGGCACGAGAGTGTGAGCCATGATAGCTTCAAGACCCCCCGACCCCCCAAACACCCCCTACGATTTGCGACGCCTAGGTTCTCTCCAAGATCTTAGTTATTGAAGGCATTGAACCTCCAGCCGCGGATGTCGGTCGAATTGTAAGGCCTCCACGGAGGAGTATTCGTCCACATTGAGCATATGTCGTTTTAGATAGCCGGCTCGACAAAGTTGACGAAGTTTCGAATAACCTATCGCCAGATTGATTAGAAGGTAGATCCCGATCCAACGGTACTTGGTATACAATTAATAGCAAAGGAAGGCTAGATCTGCATGACGCGCGAACGAACAGGGGTTAGACGGTAGACCGGAGTAAAAATGCATAAACGTTATTGGTGGATCTCCTTTCGCACTAAATCAGCCGTCTGACCCATCGTTATCGATAAGTAGGCATCCACATAAGCTCTCATTTAGGTTGCATTGCGATGTACGTTGCGGTACGTACCTTGACTGGGTTCATGGATTTCGAGTCTTGAAATGATCAAATGACATTTCAGAAAGCTTCCCGAAACCCTTCGCTCCTCTTTAGAACACTCAACTTCCCACGCGTCGCTTTTCTTCCTTTCGCAGCACCACAGCTTTCGACCATGCGCCTTTAGATCTTCCGTCCTTTATGTAGGCAGGACAACGCATCTTTCCCGGCGTCCGCGTCTCCACCTGACAACATGGCTGGAGGCACCGGCCAGAAGTTCACTACGGCTACCACCATCATCGCCGGTGTCTTCTCTTTGGCCGCAACCTTCGTATCTATCGTGTAAGATATATAAATCCGTCTCTCTGTATGTCCGGAGGTAATAAGTACTGATATGCTACTGGAACAGCTCAATATGGCTTCAACTGTAAGCCCTCCCGATCATCCATTTAACTAATACACCCAGCTAAGCGTGTGTACAGAAAGAACTATCGAAAGCCACTCTTGCAGCGATACGTCGTACGCATACTATTAATGTGAGGATAATTCGAAGTATAATCTGATATTTGTCTGACATCGGTATCAGGGTTCCCATCTATTCGATAAGCTCGTGGGTTAGTATGGTGTCCTTGTCAGCAGCAGCATTCTTGGATCCTGTTAGAGATATATACGAGGTACGAATCCAACACACCCACTAGCTTTCCCGTATCTAATTTTAACGAAAGGCCTTCACGATCTACACCTTCTTCCAACTTCTCATCAACTACCTCGATGGCGAAAGGGCCCTCATAATCATGGCACACGGGCGTGCCCCTGTACACCACCTATGGCCCCTAAACCATGTCTTAGCGAAAGTCGACATATCTGATCCTCATACGTTCTTAGCCGTGAAGCGAGGGATACTTCAGTACGCGTGGCTCAAGCCTATATTAGCCTTTGCCGCGATTATTATGAAAGCAACAGGTATATATCAGGAGGGGTACATCGGCATCTCGTCAGGCTACCTGTGGAGCGGGATCATTTACAATATTAGCGTTACGGTCAGTCTGTATTCGCTTGGTCTATTTTGGGTCTGCATGCACAATGACCTAATCCCTTACCGGCCCGTTCCCAAATTCCTGTGCATCAAGCTCATCATCTTCGCTTCTTACTGGCAAGGGTTCTTCCTCTCCATTCTTGTTTGGCTGGGGGCTATTCCGGATGATGTTCAGGGGTATACTTCGGACAACCTTGCTGTTGCCATTCAAGATGCTTTGATCTGTTGCGAGATGCCAGCGTTTGCGGTGGCGCATTGGTATGCCTTCTCCTGGCATGATTATGCCGACAATACCGTTTCCTCCGCTAGACTGCCCGTCAAGTATGCCGCGAGAGACGCTTTCGGAGTCCTCGACCTTATCGAAGACTCGAAACAGACCTTCAGAGGCGATCAGTACAGTTACAGGATATTCGACTCTAGTGGAAAAGTTATTGCACACGAAGACTCGAGTTCACGGTTTGCAAGGCTAAAAGATGGGATGAGATATAAACGAGGAGGTGAAGCCAAATATTGGATTCCCAAGCCGGGCGAAGTCAGGGGAGAGATGAGCGCAAATACGCCGCTCTTAAACTCCAATGGAGGCCCTAGTGGGTCAGGCAATCCAACGCCAAAGTATCAGCATGGTTCTACCGACGAGACCACACTAGATCCTGACGACGAGAGCCTCTACCACAAGGCACGAGAACTAGAGTTTGGGGATTGGAATGTGAGTTCAACCAATATACTTGATCGTCTTCTTATTGATGTGTTTTTAGTATCCTGTCGTTACTGCAAATGTACCAACCAGAGAGCGCTGGATCTCAAGGCAACCGGCAGTGTATCAATCAAGTACTGGAGCGTGGCAAACAACTCGTACTCGATCATCCCAGAGCATCAGTAACAGACCCGCGGAACCAACGCCCCCAAGTGCTGAGACCGTCATTAGCAAAAAGAAGAAAGGTAAACAGAAACACAATAAATTTGCACCGAAGCCTACCCCAGAGCCTGCGGCTGTCGTTGCAGAAGAGAGAGAATCGGAAGGCCCTCTAGGGGCGCCCCTGCTCTCGACTTCTGAACCTCAAATTTTAGAGGAAGAAGCGGAAGAGGAAGACACGACGTTTAAGATAGGCGAGTCGACATCCGAAGAAGTTACCCCTGGAGGGCAGGAAGAAGAAAGACGGTGGGGAGGCGATGGAGCAGATCACAGTACAACAAGCCCGATTTTCAGCACCGGTGAGGACGAGTTTCGGAACGTTTGGGGCGGCGACCGCTTGTGATTTTTAAGACTGTTTTGTCCTTTTGCGCCGTAATTATTAGATACCCTGGATTTTCTGTACGGCCGTTCCATACCGGTATGTAATTAGAAAGCAAAGTGAAATATTGAAAATTGACACCTTAGCTGTGTTTTATCCTCGCCAACTCTCATGTCGACTGAAGTCCGAGGTACTAGCATAAGGTAGTAGCTTCCATCCCGGTCATTGTTACTCTTACACAATTGGCTCAGTCAGGCACTACCTCTCTGCAAATACCCGTTCCTACCTGGCATTGATGTCTCGGACTAATAAAAGAAGTGGGCCTCAATATTAACCTCTTCATTCAAGCGTGAGTTTATTCTAACCTCATCAACACTCATCACCAATCCCCAAAGTGAGCATGTACGAATCCATCATAGCTTACACTGAGAAAGTACCTCTAATACCTTCAGCTGCTCATCCAGAGCGGCTTCTTTACCATCCTCGGCTTTGTTGATATAACAGCAGGTTGAGATGACCTCTACAATTTGTTCCCCAGCCTGATGTTTCATGCTCGCCAACGCCCCATCGTTTTCAAGCAAGTCAGATAGTGTCGGTATGTCAATGACAGTAGCACCAGGCTCTACTGCTTTGGCCATTTTCTCTACCAAATCGTTTGTGGTGAAACTTGTATGAACATCCGCCATAAGCTGCCATAATGCCAGCTCCACGAACAAGCATCCTAAAGCGTAAAGATCGAAACGCTTCTGATATGTCTCTCTAGCGAGGCCTCTTGCCTGTGGATGCCGATACAGCTCAGCACTAGGCTTACTCTCAGGCAACTGGGTGAAGGCCACCGCGGCGTCCGCCGTGTCAGGCCGTGCGTAGTCATATCCCATGACTAGGGGCTCGGAACGAAGAAAATCTTCATTCTGGGATCCTTCAGGTGCTAAGAAGATGATATTTTCCGACGTGAGACCTTTATGCATCCATCCAGCAGTATGAAGCTGGAGTATTGTCTCGGCCAGAGCTCGAGCGATTGCAAGTCGTCTGCTCAGCGAAATGGCTTTTTCCTCCGAAATAAGCTGCGAGAGACTCTTCATGCTCAGGCTAGATGTACCCTCTGGTAGGGAGAAGACTATTGCATGACGACCAAGACTCTCTCCTGGGTAATACCCGATGCATTGGGGAGATCGGAACGATGTGTGAGAAAAAGACATAAGAAGAACAGCCAAACTCTTCATCTGATCTTTATACTTTTCCCAGAAGGTTCCCTCGGCAATTTTCCATTGGACGATTACCTGACTATTGTTGTATCTCGCAAATTCGATGCCGGCCAATTGAAGCTCTACCCCCGACCACGCCTTTAAAGACTTCTTAATAACCTTCAATGGTGGCATGATACTCCGAGTTGCCGCCGTCGCAACTGGCTGGACCTCATCTTCTCGCCGATCCGCTCCCAGCGTGAGCCTTATCTGTTTAACATAGGCCGCAGCTCTAATTGCCCTCTCACTATTGCTCAAGCTCATACTGCTTCCAAGCATGTCCCTGAGCTCTATAACCTCTGTGGCTGTGGTTGAGAGAGAAACTAGGTTTCTTAGCAAGCGTGTATCTTCGACGCGACGACTTTCCCGATCTATAGAGTCAAGAAGGGATTCGAGTTTGTCTATGAGATCATGGATTTCTCTAATTATGCGCTTCGCATTGTCCTTGCCGGTAGCAGCCCATCGCATGCGTTTCATGGCTCCATTATTGGCTTGTATTATCTTGCCGCTGGTGCTATATATCTCTGGCTTCAACCGAGATAGTAGCTTTGCGAGCCCTTGCTTGGGTGGTTCTGCAACAAATGCTCTTTCGCGCTCTTCGATCGCCTCCTCGGAAATGCTGAGCGCGTACTTCTTGGCAAGTTTATCCGCCGATGTCACAAACGCAGACAGTTGCTCTAATAGCATCGTCGCCAATTGCCAACTCACTCGCGGGCTAGGATTAGCATCTTCTTCCAGCAGCCCAGCTTTCCTAGCCCAGCTTATCAGGCGGTATTTCTCAAATTCCAACCCCGCCCGAAATAAGCCTCCGTCTTCTCCAATATGTTGAGCGGTATTAAAGAATATGAATCCTTGGACACAACCCTGGAAAAGCTGGAGCGCAAGAGAGGCGAAGCTAACGCCGGCTGCTCCAAGGTCCATAGCAGTTACTTGAGACTTCATATTCTGGAAGCAATTATTCATGAATGTCTCTAAAGTACCGACCGACAGATAGCTGAATGTCCTCGGCATAGCCTATATCAATGTGACCTCTCAGCCCCAGCCTCATTAGGCCCCCAGAGATCGTCCATCGAATTGGGAATGCAGCATGATACATACAGACGTGAACCATTGAAATCACATATCACATCGATGAACATTTTACGATACGCCAATGATATCGCTATGAATAGTAACACACTGTGCTGCTCCCAAGCCACATATTCGACTTTAGTCACCGCTTCTTTTACAATACGACAGATACGAATGATTAATATTTTCTATCCCCCCTCTCATCTTTTGGTAATACATCATTTACTCCGACGCTACAGGTGAGCGGATCTGGATAGCGCGATTGCTTGATACCTACACCCAAGTGCCATTGATATTTGTGGGTATAATACATACTACCTCAAGTCACTAAAATAAAAAAGTACTAACTAGCTGATATAAGTGTTCTTAGTTTTTGAGATATTCTGGATCACCGATTTAGTTCTCTTCTGTAGCATTAACCCATCATGTTCCCAGGTATTCGTACGCTTTTAGGGGTTCCGCGCCAGCAGCCTGTCCTTTCTGAGCAAGAGCTAGAAATAGGGCTGGAGAAATTTTGCCATGTGCCCAACTACAGAAAAGGAGATATACGAATTTCTGAGAGTCATGTACAGCGAATTCAGGTCATTTTGAAATATCTCGATCTGAAGCATGGGCGAGATAAACAAGAGTCACACTGGCATTTAAGGCCTCGCACTTATTCTATCCTCCGAAATATTGGGTGTCTTGACACGATGGATCTCTTCATCAAGTACCAGTTGAACGACTTTCATCTCCCCTATAACGAGCAGACACTGCCAACTTTCATTAAACGATTCGAAAATAATGATTTCCGGCGTGCCTTCCTAGATATCCAAAGTTATTTCCTCTTCGATTTCAAAGGACTCGAAATCGAATGTTCAAAACACAAGCATTTCACGTTCCAAACTTCTGGCGATGCTCATTTTGCCTCACGCAGGATTCTTGGCCAAGGCGGATTTGGGTGAGTTTTCGGATTCGAGCTCGATAATTTTCGCCGGAACTGAGCAATATTTAGGGCTGTTGATCTGGTTGTGAGTCGACTCAGCCTCAAACGGTACGCGCGAAAACGAGTTGTGAGAGGTCGCGATTCTGATAGCAACCGGAGAGCCCAAGCCTCTATTATAGAAGAGTTAAAACAATTGAAGTGGTTAAACCATCGCCACCTAGTGAAGATCATCGGGAGTTACACTGACAAAGAGTATATCGCGTACTTGAGTATGTAACATCGAGAGTTCTTGTCTCTTCCTTTTTCTTCCTTCTATTCTCCTTCTAACCTGGCTTGAGAGCGAAAACTTCTCAATCGAGTTAACTAAATAATTTTTGCTCCCGACACTTGTTTGAAACTCCCAGAATTCTTTCAAGGATAAGCTACTGACTCCCGATATTGTAGTGTCTCCAGTTGCTCACGGCACACTCGAACAATTCTTAACGATGACTGGGTTCCTACATCCTGGTCAACGCGAAATGCTGCGTCAATTCTATGGCTGTCTTGCTGGTGCCGTTCATTATCTTCATAATAACTGCATCAGACACCGGGATCTCACGGCCCGCAACATCCTAATTTATGATAACGGTGTCTACATTAGCGATTTTGGTTCCGCTTATAGTTGGGCACACCAACCAACGAGTAAGACGCAGCACATGGATACTCCTGTCAGCCCAGACTATATGGCTCCTGAGGTTGGGAGGGGAGAGGAGGTAGGATCATCAAGTGATATGTGGTCTTTGGGCGTCGTTTTCCTCGAAATGACAACAAGGCTACTAGGCCGGAGAATCGAAGAACTAAGGCGGAGGATTTCTTCACATGCTCGTAAAACTAAAGCTGTTCCCTATATATACGCCAACTATCCCGTCGTAACGTCTTGGCTGGAGGTCCTTCGTCTCGGCAACACGATATCGGAACATGACAACGAACCATTATTCTGGACACAAGACCTTCTCAGAATGATGCCGGGAGATCGCCCATCATCACGCATATTGATGAAGGAAATCCGAGACTCATCATTCGTCACTATTTTTTCTTGCTTCAAATGTCATGAAGACTTTCAAGATGGTGGGTTCGCCTATGAATCACCCATATTCAATCTCGGACAGTGGGAAGACATGATAGACATGACAAACACCACCACCGAACTATTTCAAGACGGCATTTCGGTGCAATCTCTGGTCACACCATCTAATTACCGTAAGAAACAAGTAGGCGAAGAGTCGGACGATGCTATTGAGTCCCCTGAAGCCCGGGATTATCAACAAGACCAGTGCCTAGATATCACCGGGGAGCATGACTCTTACAGCGATGTGGCAAGTGAAGACTGCTTGTTTTACGATTCCTATGGATATGATAACTCATGGATTGACGTATCCAAGCACCCTCAGCTTTCGTTTGGTGGCGAGGATATACCTGCTTCGTCAATATACGAATCCTCTAGAGTGTCCACTGATTTAGGTTGGCACCAAGACCCTAAATTACCAAACTGGAATCCAGAGGAGTGTCAGACGATTCCTCGTCCTGTCGACCAGAAAGATCTGAGAGACACAGGGCTTGGGTTTCTAGAATACGACAGCGGCTCATCTGTATGCCGCCCCTTTGATGAAATTTCAGAATATTCGGGATCTGTCTTCGACGAGGACGAATATCAGAGCGTCTATTCTACAGCGAGGCCCTCGCCAGAGATCACCCCCAGAGACGGAAACCTCAATATACATGAAGGTGTCTCGGGATATTTTAAAGCGCCTCCCGAACTGCGCTTAGATGATGAACCCTCTGATCGTTCTGAGCTTGGAGACGGGCTAGGCATTACAAATGCCACTCACGTTGAACACGTCAAGTCTAGAGCCCAAAGATATGCGCCTGTTCAAAGTAATCTATCTCATGATGGCAGGGGAATTTCAAGTGAACATCAGATCCTCCCAGTTAGATTCTGCAAGACCGCAGGAATTGGTGGAGCCACTGTCGACTCTTCCGGGATGGAATCGAATGTCGACATATCCCTTGTAGACGTACCGGCTACACCACCGAAAAGCATAGCGGCCGGCCTCGAAGAGCATACGACATCAGTAGAATCGGAGCAAAAACCACGGCCAACCACAGCAGATGAATTGCATGCTCAGAACAAATTTGAGAAAATTGCGTCAAATCATACCTCTGAAGGCGGATACGCGCTATCCCTCAACGCTACTACTCTCGCCAATAAACCTGAACCTACAAGACGTACAGCCAACCTCCCGAAACCGATTCTTCCGTCGTCACCAATCGAGAAAATGCACTGCCTCTTGAGACGTTACTATTTCCAGGGCAAGTCCAAAGCCGTACGGTTGCTTTTCCAGCACGAGTGTAATCCGAAAACGATATACTTTCCTTGATATCTTGGGGACTTTTCTTACTACTCTATGGGGCCGTAGAGGAGATATATCAAATAGGTACTTGGACGAGTAATTTTGGGCATTCATTGAGCATGGTGTCGGCGTTTGCGTACTATCCCTTAGGTGTATTGATGTAGGTACCTGCAATAGTTAAATGATTTTCTTGAAACGACGAATGCTATTCTATCGTACCCAAGCACCACTTCCAACTCCCTCCACCAAGTAGTTCTCGGTCAGGAGTTCCCGTTTAGACTTATCGTAAAGCTTAATACACATCAAAATCACCAGTCTCAAACAGCCATGCTCACAATTTGAAAACCAGCATCAAGGCGTCCACTTCTAGGTTCTAACCGGGTCATAGAGGTACCGCATAGACAAGTCCCTATATATGTATATTGTATACGCACATATATATACGCTCCAGTCTACCGTACAGTATATACACGAACTAAAATCTCTTCCTTTTATATCTACACCGTTACGCATACCCGCTTATTCATACTCACATTTCCTACCAGGTATGTACGTATGTATGTAAACAGGTCATTAAAACCGTAGCCATAGCCGTCAACCAATCTCCAGATCCCCACACGCGCGAACTACGACCTACGAGCTCTCCGTCGCCGGACTCGGCGGCAAATCGCCCGTAGCCCAGTCAACGGGCTCAGAGCCAAGGACGAAGTCCATCGTGCCGCCATTCGCAAAAATATCATCCCACGTAACCCACGACTTATTCCAGCTCTGCCCGTTGACCTTGAGCGACTGAACATAGTACGACTGTGCGCCGCCGCCCGTCGTCGTGATAGCGAGCTTCTTGCCGCCACCTAAGTCGATAGCCAGGTCGCGGAACCAGGGTGACCCGACGAGGAAAGTGGCCTGGCCCGTAAGCGGGTACAGGCCGATCATGGACCAGAGGACCCAAGACTCCATGGCCCCCGCGTCCGAGTTTCCCGGGAGCCCGCCGGGGGTGGGCGCGTAGTAAGAGTCGGCGGCGTAGCGGCTCTGCTTGACGCTCAAGTCCTGGCGGCCGACGAAGTGGAAGAGGTAGGGCGTGGTGAAGCTGGGCTCGTTGCCGGGGTTGAAGAGGGTGTGGTTGAACTGCGAGTTGCCGGAGCTGACGCCGCCCTCGAAGAACTTGTCGAGGCGCGCGAGGAAGGTGGCGTTGCCGCCCGCGAGATCGATCAGCTTGTTGATGTCGTGGTGCGCGTTGAACGAGTACTCGAACGGCAGCGCCTCGTAGTAGTCGTCGCCCCAGTAGCACCCGCCGCAGCTGAGCGGGTCCTGCGCCGTGAAGTTGCCGTCCTCGTCGATCGGGCCTAGGAACCCGGAGAACCCGAGCGCGGTGAGGTCCGGGTTCCATTGGTTGCGCCAGTTGCGCGAGCGGTTGAGATACTTCTGCGCGTCGTCGTCTTTGCCGAGACCCTTGGCCACTTGGTAGAGGCCAAAGTCGTTGGCGGCGCTGCAGCTTGTTAGTCTTGCACGGTAAGTATCGTGAGATCAGGGGGGTAACATACTATTCGATAGCCCGACTAACTGATCGCCCGTACTTAGTGGTGATGAAGCCGCGGTCTATCCAATCCGGGAGCGCGCCTCGTCCTTCCTTAGTCGAAGACGACGTATCTCTCGGGTCGTTATTGTTAGCGGGGACTGTCTCGGCATCGGTTACCATGGCGGAATACGCTTCGTCCCAGTTAACGGCACCACGGACACCCTTCACGTAAGCATCTGCGAGGACGTTGTCTCCGTTAGAGCCACCTTGTGTCGCGCCGTTGAAGAACGAGGATCGTGCATCGGGCAGGAAGCCCTCGTTCCTCCAGATGTCGACGAGAGAGCGGATGAATTCCTCGTACGCCACAGGCTGTAGAATATGGAAAAGAGATGTTGTGCAACGGTGCTACGTCCGATTAGATTTTGGCATTCATGGTTTGGAATGCGCCCAACTTACCAGATCCCAAAACGTGAAGATGTCGTCGTAATAAGGCTCGGTCGATGACCAAAGGGGATTCTCGCCTGTTTTGTTGGTCGGGATGAGGGACATATGGTACAGCGACGAGTAAAGGAGTTGCAGTCTCGTGGTGTTGGAGGTGTCCGTCGTAGTGATCTTGGAGAGCACTTGGCTGTTCCATGCCGATTTCACGTTGTTTTCTAGAGTATCTAGCGATGTTCCTGCAGGTATCTCGGCATCTACATTTGCGCAGGCTTGGTCGGATGAGATGAACGATACTCCTACTCTTGATGTAACGTTTGCGCTGTCGAAGGTAAAAACAGCACCTAGCCTAGACTCGGAATCTTGTGAGGAAGCGGTGCTATAATCTTGTAGGTCATCGCTAGTCGAGTCATTTCCGAGGAACGTCTTGAACGTTGCCGCTTGATCGAAATAGCCGCAGAAATATACCGTCCACTGCGGAGCACGGTTCCATCCCTAAATAGTGTCAACAAATCCGTCCATCCGATCCATTCAACGTCTTCCACCAATTCAAGACGTACATTATCATAAGAACCAGATCCGGTGTAACGAACGCCATTGTCGGTCGTCGTTACCGAGATGTTACCACCCAAGTAATTTTGGCCAAGACCTTGACCCCTGAATGATGGAAGAACGTGCGAGACATCGACGATGACGTTTGAAGCAGCAGCATTTCCGGAGAACTGGTACTGGTATAATCCAGCCTTGGCTGTCGCTCCCAATTCCACGGTAACGTCGTTGGTCAGGCTTGACTTATAGTAGCCAAGCCGCGCCACGTCCGCCGCGCTTCGGTTGACGCTCTGATCGGCCAATGGGTTGTCGATGGTGCCGACGGCGGGCATCTGCGAGACAACGCCGTATTTAGGGGCGCCACCGGTGCCGCTCTCGTGCAGCATGCTAAAGCCGATGAAACTACCGGTCGACTGGTAGCCCGAGTAGCTATCGGATCCGGTGTATAAGTCAGGCCCCAATTTTACCATCCCGAACGGCAGGCTGACGCCAGGAAAGGTGTTGCCTCCATTAGTAGTACCGGTCTTCAAGAACAATGTTAATTTGAATTTTCCTCTTTCTTTTTTTTACCAGTTTGAGATCTTATAGCAGGCTAATTCAATTTACGTACCAGAGGTAACACAAATTGACTCAAGTCCTGTTGTGTTTGGAGATGGAAGCTGTGGGCTTCGGCGAGCGCCACGCCCAGTGCCATGCCGGCGGAGGGACGCATCGTGACGGCGTGGCTTTGGTGTCGGAGTTGGTCGAATTGGCTAGAACCAAAAGCACCTAATATCCAAACACTGAAAAGCAAAGGAGTCAAGTTACTCCATGGGCTGGTAGATATCTTAACGAGCGACTTTAGGGAGACCGAAAACATCAAGGCAGTAGTAGTCCCATTCACATTAGAGAGTGAGTGAATGGGGAATAGTGAATAGCGTAGCAAGCGAGTGGCTACCTAGACGGCATAGACGATGTTTCTGGCTTGGTTCTTGGGGCTCCTGACGACATAGATCCCCCGAACCTACCTGAGCTACCTAAATTTGGACCTATCCAAAGGAGTAACAGAGCCACGGTGCCTAGGAATCCTTGTGGACCGGATTGCGCATTCCCGCTGAGTGGGAGGCTGCAGCGGCTGCAGCTGTAACGTTGACCAAATTTGCTGGAACCCTGCATCTAATGAAAGTCGCCAGGGGTCCAGCTAGACGAGGCGCAGTGACGATCACCTCCCCGGAAAAGGCATGATCAAGGCTTGGCAGCTAGATTTGAGGCTGCTATTTAGTAAGGCAGTAAGGTTACCGAAGACACTTCATTCATAATAAATATTGACGTGGAGTGTTCCATCATTGAATAATAGGCTGAGAACGTCATGATCGACGATTCTAGTAGAGAGGCTGAGAAGCAGAGAGGGTACTCATGCTGCTACCGTATGTAAGCTGGGTACACTTCGGTTCCGGCCATCTCAGGTCCCCCTTTAAGATCGGCATGGCCTGCATAGTTCGTCTATAGGGAGATTTCAATTTCGGTTGACCTTGTCATCTGAATTTGCTGTGTCGCGCTTGTTGTGTCGCGGCCTGTCAGCCAGTCACCCTAAACATACGAAGGATCCTTAGTGTCAACTAAATCAACTAAGTTCCAAGAGTGGCAGGTCTCGCCTGTGGTGAGGTGTGTGGTATTCTACCGAAGGGTGCAGCAAATCGTCGGAAGCTCTAATAGTTAAAAAAGAAGCTTGACGAGAACCTACCAATGATAGTCATGACAACGTCCAGGTGCGTTGATCTTGCATGAACCGATTTCCCGAATGCCGATTTGGTGGTGGCATGGGCAGCATACATGGCTATTATTGTTATTATAACTTGAGTGTCTGTCATACACGCCTCTCAAGATGCCTAGGCAGTAAAAATTAAATGTAGGAAGCTATTCGTTGATGCCAGAATTGTATGTTATGCCTCTTTGCCCAGCTGGAACCGAAAAGAAAGACTGAGTCTTCATTTTGAATAGGTAGGCACATGTGGATTTAAGATACATCGTTACCATTCGCTCCTAACACCCATACCCAAGTACCTGAGTAAGGATCAGGGGTCGAAGTAGTTTAAATTTAGGTTATTCGTAGGTACCCGCGAACCCAATATCTATTCAAAGACCTCACAGACCTGGAAGGTGTAGTACTCGAATAAATACTTATAGTAAGTAGTACCGGAATTGATGCGCCATTTCTACCAATATTGAACGATGAGAGATGTACTACGTAATACATACATACCTACTATGTACGGAGGAGGGAGTGATGCTGTTATATGCATACAGAAAAGAAACCTACCTACATTTGTGCATAGGCAGATCATCGTCTAAAATAGTAAAGCGCACATCATGATCGGAGATTTGACTGGCCAATATCAGGAAAAGAAGCAAAATATTACTTTAAACATTAAAAGCCGTTTATTCATATATAAAATCATCTTGTACCTGTGTATATTGACGATTCACATACCGTATTATCGTTATAAAAAGTAAAGCTGTGGTTGATCGTGACACAAGTACTCAAGTACCTATCAGTTATCGGTCGACGCACGTTGTCTGATTGGTTGTTGTCTTAAAAATACGCAGGTACTTGAATATTTGGCGGGGTGGTTTAATTGATTAGAATCTCCCCTCCAAGAAAAATGCTTAACCCCACCAGGGCTGAAACTCTCGACGTTTAATGGCCCATGTCCACACTCAATTCCTTCTTTCATCTTTTCTTGCTCACCGCATTCAAATTCTGCCAGATTTATCTTCGCACTCAACATTAGTGACGACATTTGGCAAGTAACGCATTGCGCATTCAGCAAGATGGGTCGCCGACCCAATCCGATAATTGTCGAATACTTCGAGCGCGGTCCGAAGTTGAATGACAATAGCAATCGCTACCATCATAGGTGCAAGGCTTGTGGCGAAGATTTTCCTAAGGGTCGCAGCGATAGCTTGACCGCCCATCTGCTTAAGAAATGTCCTGCCATTTCTCAAGCCGACCGAGTCAATGTTTGCCTAGCATTGAATGGCCTGAACGACCCTGCAAAGCTCACGAACGCCACGAATGGAATGAATGCTACGAATGCTACGAATGCCACTAGTTCCACTAATTCCACGAATCGCTCTCAATTCGATGGTCTCCTACACAAGGACTCTACTCACGGCCCGATTTCCCCGTCTCTTCCGCCTGCTGCTCTTGCCCCTGCTCCCTCACTGGAGCAACCTCAATCCCAAATTTGGACGCCACTTGAGACGCTGGCTGAAGTGTCTCGTCAATTCGAGGCTAAAGACAAGCATGATGACCACGTCGAGACAACCCACGAGCCTACCAATGATGTTCCAACAACGGCATCAACTAGTGCTCCCAATGCTCCTCCAGCCGCGGCAAGTGCTTCAAACACATTCGAAGTTCATGAACAGTTTACCCTCGATCATCCACCTACAACTGTCAGCGGTCATCCCCAGAACGATAATGGAGGTACGTCATGAAAGGAAAACTGGGATTACCTAGGTAAAGTACATACTAACAAGAGCCCTACCTAGATGTCGATTTACCAGAGAAGCCTCTGGAAATTGCCGAAAAGCGTTTGCGAGAAGCCCTTCTCAGAGAATTTCGTGGCCATGACCATGAAAATGAGACACATCTTGCTGCCCAGTCAGCGCTATCGGTTGCAGCCGCAGCAGCAACCGCCCGCTTAAACAATACCCAAATCATCGATCGCCAGGTGGATTACCAGATGGATCCCCAATGTCTGGCAGAAAGGGCAACCCAAGAACAAGAAAGACATGCCCAATCAACAGATATGTTGATTAATTACCCACCTTCTCCGGAGACACAGCCGGCTTCTCAAGCGTATTCAACCGCTTCGACCACACCTTGGGATGGTATGACATATATATCGGAGGATATTCATGCACCAGCAACCGTCAACAATCACGGTCACGGCTTAGTTGCAACATTGAGCAAAGGTGGACGTCGTATGAATACGGAAAACAGCCATCATGGAAAACATCATCATAGCCGAGCGCGTTTTGATGATACTCGACGAAAGCAAGTGCAAGAAGTCCGAAGAATCGGTGCCTGTGCGCGGTGCAGGATTTTACGAAAGATATGCTCACCAGGCACGCCGTGCGAAACATGTAAAAAGGTCTCCACGCCGAGAGTGTGGAGAACTGAGTGCATCCGTGCCCAGCTCTGTGAAGATATCGCTTTATACTCGGCCGGGGTCCAGGCTGTCATGTCCCAAAAGCGGATTAACGGGTATAAAAGTACCCATGAGCTAGAAAACTGTGGGGTAGTAGTGGAAGTATCCCACTTCCCTACTACTGGAATTAAGGTCGCATTTCAGGTTCTTAGAGGAGTGGCCAAGGATGGTGGGGCAGATAATGCCACCACCCATCGAGCCCTCCTCATCGATAACAACGCTGAGGATATCGCCGGGAAAGTAGAAAGTTATATGAGGGACGCTCTGCCGGAGCTTATCCGGCAAGAACCATCACACTACATCCGAGTCACTCTTGACACGGCCGTGTCGGTTGCGACCCAGACCGGCGATGAGCTCCTGAAGAAAGCCTTAGAGTTCTGGGGGGTTGTGGAGCTCATGGACAGAGAGCGGCAGTGGACCATGTGCGCGTTCTCACCAAACGGTGATGGCGAAGAATATTGGATAGACGATACCGCCGATAGCGAGGCCTACACCAATATTTGTTTACAGCTCACTGCGGCGGCGGAACGTAAAGCATCCATTGCTAGTAGGAGTTTGCTTAGCGAAATCCAACGCCGCCTCCAAGATGGGAAGATTAAACATGGGTTTCCCATGTTCTTGGTCGTGATACTCTTCCTGAACTGTATCGAGAAGACGACTTGGGCTTTCAAGGTGTGGGAAGAGGAAAACCTTCGTCCCAAATGGCCCTTGGAGAGACCGCCCGGCAATTTCACAAAACAAGGACAGACACTCGCCGATCTGCTGAGAGTGCTCCTCAAGGTCCGGAACTTCCTGCCCAAGTTAGTCGCTACAGATCCGAATTCTCCAATCAGGGCCATTAGAGATGGTCGTGTGGTTGAGTACTTTCAGCAACTAAGAATCACGCAAGCCTACCTCGAGTCTCGCCAAGAACCTGACAATTTCCAGCCAGAAGATTCTCGTTCATTGGAGTTCTTATACGGTTCCAAGATTCTTCTTCCGGAATAGAAATCAAGACTCTTTCTACATTCCTACCCTACCTACTAGGTACTAGATAAACATGAGGACAACGACGTCTCACGACCCTCACGATGCTTACGCTATACTATCGACAAACCGCATTTTCCCATTTTTTCACCATCGGCGTTACTTGGAAGACAAAAGTTACAGTTCTGACCAAGATACCCCATTTTCCGGTTTTTTCAAACTCCCTCATCATGACTGGAGGGAGATTTGGCTTTTTCTTCGGCTTTGGCTTTGGCTTTGGCTTTGAAGCCTTAGGCTTTTCAGTACCCTCCCTTGGTCATAAATTGGCCTTGGGTGTGGGAATATGGTCCCAGATTCATTACGTACTCACTAATTGACGTATTGCCCCCCTTTCCCCCAAATATTATGATGTGTTCTTTGGTTGTGATTAATTGTGCGCGTGATTATAGTAATAGAAACAGTAGGTTTCTCGTACGCTAGACAAGTTCCTGCCAACCGGTCAGTAAACATGGTACCTAAGTTAATGGATCGCATGGACTTTACATTCCTTCATAAACAGTCCATCTACTAACTTAACCAAACACCAAGCAACCGATGTAAAGCCTTTGTTGCAATCGCGATTATCTCATTCATAATGTACCTGCTCAGCTCCAAGACTACAACAATGCCTGTCTTATATCTTATGTCCTATGTGTAATGTCCTAATCTTTCACCATCCTCATCTTTCTCCTCCCTTCTACTTTCCAGCTTTTACACTCCTTCCACTCTTCTCTCTTCTCCTCTTTCCCTTCCCCTTTTCTCTCTACTTCACACTTCACACTTCATTCTTCCTCTTCATCCTCCCCACAACTCAGTACCTACAAATTATCTCCCAACTTCCAAGCCCTGAGCCTGAACTCGAGCACATACGCTTCGATATCCGCCAGCAGGGGGAGTTGAATCGGGGGCCTAGCCGCCACGAACCGCTGCGGACTGAGAAACCCGGCGATCCTATAATCTCCATCCCCATCTCCATCCTCACCTCCTTCTCCTCCTTCTCCGTCTCCCTCTCTCCCAATAAGACTCGCACCACTCCCTTTCCTCCCCACCCCCGTACGCCGTCTAACAAGCGCCTAGCCCGTCGCCGTACGTTCCAGGGTCCCGGGCCCAACACTCGGCACCCCACCAGCACCACCTCCTCCTCCACCGCTGCCCGCGCCGTTGCGCCTCGGCCTCTTAAAGCACGCGAACTCGCTCCTGCTCTGCTCCCTAAGCTTCTTCAGGACCTCGCGCATGCCGGGCAGCTCGTCCTGGAGCCTGGCGCGGGCCGTGTTATCCGTCTTGCTGTCGAGCATCGAGTAGATCTCGCCCTGGATGCCGGACGCGCGCTCCGTCGTGTACTGGCTGAGCGTCTGCGCGAAGAACTCCACGTCCAACGTCGCCTGCATGAGCGCGCCGAGGTCGAACTTGGGCCTTGCTTTCAGGCTCTCGAGAAGCTCGCGGCTGATCTGCTCCAGCAGGTACGAGATCACCTGGTGCGTCATGCTCGGCGCCGTCGTGGATACTTGCGTGTGTACCAGCACGAGCGTGAGGAGGGCCTCGTAGACGTACGGCTTGACTTCCGATGGCTTGGGCGGCGCCCACTTAGGGTCCGCGAGGCCGGCGCGGATGATTTTGCGCAGGGCGTCTAGAGAGGGGCGCGTGTACGTCTGGAAGAGACGGGCGTCAATTTGGCCGAGTACGTCCTTGATGGTTTTAGATTCGTCGGTTAGTTTGACGGAGAAGGCGTTCTCGAACTGGCCGTTTAGGTTGGGCACGACTTTGGTGCGCAAGGCGTGAAGGTTGCCGAGGGTTAAGAGCATACGGACGTTCTACGTAGATTTGTTAGCGGTGACTTTGATACATGCGCTATAGTTTTGAAGGGACTTACTCTGTCACCAGCGTCGACGGCCCCCGAGCCAACGAGCAGGGACGCCCTATCGCTGGCGGATCCGACAACTAAGTCCGCATCGGTAGTCCATTCATCATCCGCCTTCTTAACCGCGCGCTCCGCATTTTCGACCATTCCGCTGAGTGCCTTGTAGAGCGTCGTGACATACTGACTTCGCACCATCTGTAGGAGTTTCGTCGGCGGCGCGAGGACGATATCCCCGGAGCCAGACTTAGCCATTGCCTCTGGGATGTAGAGGATCTTCTGCATCCCTGAGAGCAAGGCGCCTTCGAATGATGCGAAACTCGCCGGCATGCGCGTGACGTCTCCCATCTCCTTGGTGCGCTTCCAATCTTCGACATACTTAATGTTTTCGGCGTCCTTATTCCACGCGGCGCACAACGCCGTAACGGACCTCTCGCGCGCAGCGCCGACCAAGGTCCTCAGCATCTCGAGCTGTTTCGCATCTTGTTGCTTGACGGGAGCCACGCTCGCCATCTCGGATGCGCCAGAACCCACTAAGCTAAGCATCTTGGATAGATAGTGTACCCCGCTGACTGAGTTGGAAGTCGGCGGCCAGAATGCGAACTTCTCCCATGATTCTCCCCTTTTAGGAGATGGAGGAGGTAGATTATTCGCATCAAAGTTGAAACGAGGGTCTCGCGCATTAGTAGGTGTCAAACCTGCTGACAAAGGAGTTCCGGGCGAAGGCGGTAATGGAGAGAAGAGTAGCGAGATATCCTCAGGGGGAGCACCGGCAAAGAATTCGAACACATGCGTACGAATCATATCAACCAGTTCAACGGTACCTTTTTGTAAATCAACAGTTCCCTGCTGTGAAAGTCGATGATGGTCACGGGATTCGCCATTGTAACCCGTGGGTAAGGACTTCTGTGCCTTTCCATCGATAAAGCTCTCGACAGTCTGCCAGAATTCTATAACCTCTCCTAGGATACCCTGGGCGGACAGGAGACTTGATAAGAAAGCTAGCATCTTTTCCCATAGCTCGATGACGTCAGCGGAATCCAGTCCGGTAGCTTTGCCATCAACAGATTGTCGACCAAGGTGTTTCAGATGGGAAGCCATCATCTGAGGTGCTGGCTTTTCAGCGTTTGCTAGACGACGTCTGAGTACTTCGATCTCAACCTTTGCACGTTCGCCTGCCGATGCTATCTTTCCCTTGAGATAGTCATACCTGCTTAAAAGCCATACCCAGATCGGGTTGTCATCAACACCAAGTTCTAGCAATAAGCCGATTAATTCCATATGTTGGTCTTGCGGTTGGCCGGCCAGAGTTTCTGTTCTGTTCACCGTATGGAGCGAGGTAAGTCTCCTCCACACGTCGCGTTTGAAGAGTTGGATTTGTTCCTCGACGTCATACCACATTCTAGCTGCGATAAGAATTTGGTATGTTTGCGTCTCGCTCGGGGGTGTTGAGCCTAATTCTTCAACAAGTTTGCGCGCTTCATCCGCGAACCTTCGGGCGCGCACATACTCCTCTACCAAGGCCTCATAATCTTTTCTCTTAATACTTTCGGCAATATTAGAACTTGCTTCAATATATTCTTTATAACGATCAAGTGAGGTTGAAACGGTCTTGAGATTCTCCTCTTTCTCCCGGCCACCAAGCGCCGGACCCCACACATCTTCGGCCTTCGCCGCGACGTCTAGCAAGGGCGTCTTGATACCCATGACTCCATAATCACTCTCTTTGATCAATGCGTTCTTCTTTTTGGTGATATCGGGGACAGGAGATACCAATGGATTTGGCCCAAGAGCAGCGCCACCCTGGCTGTTCCTGAAACTACTCCTACTAGCATGTCGGGAATGGCCACGGGCGCGAATGGTGGGGGATGGAGGTTCAACGCCCCTATACTTCATTTCTTTGTAGACATTGTCAATTGTAGCCTTGGCTCGAACAAATCTCTCGAAATTGGACTCGACAAGGACTTTCAGGGATGCAGATTTCTGGTCAATGGATTTGGATAGCACTTCGAGACCGTTTAATAGGGATTGGGTATCGGCAGTCGCATGCATTTGGGATAGGAACAAGGCAGGAGAGAAGCTCGTAGATGATAGGAGAAAACGATTCCCTATAAATAGATTGGTAAGCTTGAACCAATAGGCACTATAATCACATCAAACATACGCAGGCGGATATCATCTTGAACCGGCACTCCCAATTGCTTCAACGTTCTCACGACACTATCCGATGTCCCTAACGGGTCAGGCTCGTCCTTCTGGACCAAGTTGTTCACCCCATTTGCTGATTTCTCAGATCCTTGGATAATACTGGCTCTATTGCTGACAGCTCGTTCGAGTGCTTGGTATCGAGACTTTCTCCGATTGATTTTCCGCTTCTTCTGTTCCAGTTCACTATCTGACTCGTCGCTCTTGTTATCCTTCTCCGTCGGCCATTCGGTGGGGAATGGTGTAGACAGCTGGTAGAATTCCAGCACGTTCCTGTCGAAGTCTGCCATGGTTCCTACACGTCCTACACTTCCTACTAAGTATCCGATAGTTGCCTTATGGCAATAGCGTATGGCCCCTTGCCAGATCCTAGGACTATCCCATCCGCCAACGTCTACGGGATCGTGGTAATTGGTTCGTCTCGTACACTCTCACTGAGAGTGCTAGGCCGTAGGTAGGGGAAAATAGGTACGGATTCGTAGAGATATAGGTGTTAACGTGGGATGAATGGAGGTGTTGTCGCATAGAAGAGATTATGTAAACGGATATTGCGTCCGAGCAATTGACATCAAACTAAGACACGGACCCCTGCATAGCACAATGCAGCCACGGAATGCAAGGCATTATGTAATTGGTGGCTAATGCAGGTATCGATAAGATCGATGTTACGTAGCTGTCGGGAAATCTCTGGTGAAAAAACCAATGAATTCGGCTCAAATCTAGACCCACATTTGCTGTTATCAGATCTTTCAGAAGCAACAGCCGTCCGTCCGATACCACCCGAGCCGCAAAAGTGCTTCCAAGGTTCTTTGCGAAATCGAAACCGAACCAAGTCCCACGACGACCGATTCCTCACGCCAGCATTTTAACTTTCTTCAGGAGCCCACCAATTCCTACATATAGCTCCTACGTATACCTAATCGTATATAATGCTGACTATTCGAGCGGCCGCCGCACCTTTACGGCGCCAATGCCTATCGGCTGCCCCTCGAGCCGCCGCAACTCTATCCTTCCAGGTGGGCGCTCAGCGAGAACTTTGGCCCAGGTCGCACGGTCGCTAACCAATCCCTTGTTAACAGAACCGAAGAGGCTACGCCGACAAGGTCGCCAAGTTCACGGGTGTAAAGGGCTCTGATGTATGTGTTACGATTATCTCATGCGACTGCTGCCGTGCGAAATTCGATCGAGGAAAATCACTCAAACCTGGTCTTGGACTTGGCATTGGCTAGTTGATGTCATTTGTTTGGAGGATAATCACTAATAAGGTGGACTATAGGGCCGTTACCCGGTCAGCATTATCGAGGGCGATGGAATTGGTCCCGAGATTTCGCAAGCTGTGAAGGATATCTTTGAGGCTGCTAAGGTTGGTTGACCGTTCGCCTCACCCCGAAGCCAAGAGACACGATGCTTACACTTCTTAGACGCCTATTAGCTGGGAACCTGTCGATGTCACTCCCAAATTGGTAGATGGAAAAACTACTATTCCTTCCGAGACCATTGAGAGTATCCAAAGGAACAAGGTCGCCCTTAAAGGTCCCCTTGCCGTAAGTCTATAATCAGCTGTCTATGCGCGCTACGACTAATCTATTCTACAAGACCCCTGTCGGCAAGGGACACGTCTCGCTCAACCTAACACTCCGACGAACCTTTAACCTCTTCGCCAACTTGCGGCCATGCCGTTCCGTCGCCGGCTACAAGACGAACTACGACAATGTCGACACCGTCCTGATCCGAGAGAACACTGAGGGTGAATACTCTGGAATTGAGCACGTTGTGGTTGACGGTGTCGTTCAGAGCATTAAGCTCATCACTCGCGAGGCCAGCGAGCGTGTCCTACGATTCGCATTCCAACACGCCGAGGAGATCGGCCGCAAGAAGGTCCGCGTCGTCCACAAGGCCACCATCATGAAGATGTCCGACGGTCTTTTCCTCAAGACTGCCCGAGAAGTCGCCAAGGACTTCCCCACCATCGAGTTCGACGCCGAGTTGCTGGACAACACCTGCTTGAAGATGGTTACCGACCCCCTACCTTACAACGACAAGGTCCTCGTCATGCCCAACCTGTACGGTGACATCCTTTCCGACATGTGCGCCGGTCTGATCGGCGGTCTTGGTCTTACTCCCTCGGGCAACATCGGTGACGAGTGCTCCATCTTCGAGGCCGTGCACGGATCCGCGCCGGATATCGCTGGCAAGGGTCTCGCCAACCCCACAGCTCTGCTCCTCAGCTCCATGATGATGCTGAGACACATGGGCCTGAACGACTACGCCAACAGGATCGAGAAGGCCACGTTCGACACCCTGGCGGAAGGGAAGTCGCTGACGGGCGACCTGGGCGGAAAGGCGAAGACGGGCGAGTACGCGGCGGCCATCATTTCCAAGTTGTAGATACCTCCTCCTCATCCATCCATCATACATCCATAGTGGCGTCCATTAGAAAGGGAGCTGGGTAGTTCCGCTTTGTAGAGTGTATAACAATGGGAACGAATTTGCATGATTGAAGTCAAGCTGCGGCTTAGGTACATTGGTGAATGGTATAAGCAGCAGGATCGTGAAACCAATATTTCCATCCAATAGTTACACCTAATTCAGAACCTAAACGGGATTTCTGGTGTAGTGAAAGGGGGTCCGTCCAAAGACTCTTTTCCTTCCTTCTTTTTCAGAACCATCACTATTTCTCCCCAATCATGTGTCTCGTCGTTTCCAACTCTACGTCATGGGGATATTGAAGGAGGAATCTTACCCGACCGACATGAAGGCTTACCTTCTGCCACCAATAGAGGCCGAGTAAGACATCAGCCCAGTATCTCAGATCAGCTTTCGCGCCGCATGCCAAGCTCAAATCCGATCTACCTGACCCTGTCCTATAGCCATGAATTGCCTATGAAACGAAGGGATCCGAAAGCAAGCACGTATCAAATGCTTAAACAAGATCGTCCGTACGTCCGTCCGTTTTGTGCTCCCATCAACCGGCACCGAGTCAGATCCCCCTCAAAAAATCCTGTCTGCTCTTCTCTTTTGTGATCGAAGCTTGCCACAGTCGATACACCACCCAATTTTCTTTACTTGGTTCGTCTTCGGACCTATATCGTACCATAAAACTGTGCTCTCCGCGTATGTATGCGCCAAGGGTCTCAGGATATGTATGTCTTATCTCGCATGAAATTTCTTGCGGCATTTTCTTAATGTCGGGATCAGTACGCGCGGGCTATCTATCATCTTTCTCGGCGAACTGAATAGGTATGATAGGGGGGTAGGTTGCGTGGGGATGTGGGTGAATAAGGGGGATAATTGGACAAGCTATACGGCTGTAGATAGTATCATAGATACCTAGTAGATAGATGGACATACAAAGTCGTCGGTTTTCTTTTTTCTTTTTTGAAGCTTAGACGAGGTTACCGAAAGACGAGCTTGGGAAATCACGATCGCAGTTTTGGGAGGTTTGGTATAGGGCCTCATCCTTCACTCACTCATCTGGCTTCTCTCACACACGTGCTGCAAGTTATGGCTGATATCTAGAGCACCGCCATCAGTATGTTTAATAGAGAGAGAGCGTGTGCATTATTAAGTAGCGCTCGGGCATCGAAGATTTCTGCATCATCCCCTACCTATTCCCTAGGTACTAATGAGGCGACGAAATTCAAAATGCGCGCCATTTAACTTCCCCGGACTGTTTTTATTCGCTAACGACTTGCCTGTCGTGCATGGTAATATCAGGAAAAGCCGCGTGTCGCCTCGTAAAAGAACTGGCTAGCCGACTGACTGACTGACTGACTGGTTGGCTCGCGTGCTCCCGGACCTGCAACAGCGGGTAGCGGGATTCGGGCTCCAAGCCGAACGGGCTGGGCCGCAAAGCGACATCAACCTTCACGCGTCCTTCACGCCATTGCCGGATAACCTCCTAGTAACCTCCCGTTGGTTCGAGGAGGAAAGTTTCAGCGAAGTAAACCGCGTACCAGGGTTTTAATTCTTCTCGAGTGTTTCGACGGTGACGTATTGTCAGCCCGTCATCGTGGAGAAGACGGTTTCATTCGATATATTGCAGCCCTTTGAGCAACAGTACACGAGATCCGTATCGAGATTGCTTACCAGCGGTGCAGGTCGTGCAACACTTCCTGGGAGATAATTGCACGCGGTCAGAAACAGCCTCGAAACCCAATGTGTTCGTTGACCTGTTTACCTACCCTACCTAGGTAGTGTCACGGTCTGTCTCGATCGAGCCAGTCGGTCTCCAGGACAGAAGCTTCCTCGCGCAAATATGATGGATAGACTGGTAGGTAAATGTACCTTATTTCGAGACTTGCATGATCACGAAATCTTCTTTCCATCTTGCAGCTTTTCCAGCGTGTGATCGGGTTTCTATTCTAGGGAAATGCCTCAAGGGGGTGTGTACGTTATCATGAAATACTTCCCTTTCCCTATAGCTGGTGACTAAAAAAAGCCTCGGGCAGAAAAGTACTCCCGTAGACTAGACAATAGACGAATAGCAACGTCGCTAAGAGGGAGCATTAGATAAGGTATACATACATGGCCGCCTAGAAGAAATAATAGATACTCATCGGGCACTCTGCTTGAATAGGTATTTTCAAGTTCGTATTCGTCCAATAATAGATATTCATTTCAACCCCCAACACATTGGTGCAACTTAACTGTCCAGACCGCCCAGACCGTAGTGGTAGAAACTTGGGGTTTGGGGGTTTGGGATTATGAGACACGGGGAAGTCAAGTCTGTCAGTGTACTTTTAGCCTCCTCTCCATGTTTAGACATTCTTAATTGGACATCATCATAAACAAGGCTGGGGAATTGAGGATGGAGGATGGAGTAGTGGAGATGGCTATGTAATGTAATGTAAGGCTAATTATGCAATATGTAATCATTCAGGAGACATAATATCGGGGCGACGGGAAAGCAGGAAAAGCTCACCGAGAGAAGTCGATCCTCTCAATTGCGTGTCCAATTCTCCGCCTATCCGCGAACTGATGCGAATTTGGCCTATGCAACTTATGCAACTTATTTTGTAGGCTCGGTCGTTTCAAGGTCGGTGCGGAAATATCACGGACATGAAAAGCCGCAGACATATACGGAAGTACTTGTCTAGTCCCGGTGAGGCTAGACCCCGGCTTGCTAGAGATATGCTGGCCAATCACGGAACGTCGGGCGAACCATTTAGGGAAATCGTAGGCAGGGGTCTGCACATGTACATCGTACATCGTACATGTTATCCGGTGGCCGGCACTAACTGCACTAACACAGAACCGCACCAAGAAATCCAAGGCTTCTTCTCTTTTCTTGTCTTTCGAGATCATCCCAAACGATTTCTCGCGCTACTGTACCTAGAGAGGCATGTACTGTAGATCTACAGCTCTCGAGGCTTCTTCTAGAAGAGAATCCTGTGCTAGGCATGTAGAAGATGTACTAGACAAGATGAACGAGACATGGACGCCCTGCCTCTTTTTGCGTACCTGCCAAGCTGCATTTCGCGAGCAACCCATCACGCATGCTTCGAGATCGAAAGCAAGATCAGAACACCCTTAATTATGAACCTTCTCTGCTGAGAGTTTGGATAGGCAAGAAGCACACTTGAGCGATTTGGTGGGATCGGCGTTCTATAATTGGACGACCTTCCCATGTCCTCAGTGTTCCATTTTAAAGCCCGTCAGCAGCCAAGTCCAGTTAAGCCTTTTTCCCGTATCTACCTGCTGCTAACGTCGATTAGCAGCAGATTTAGAGCCCCCTCTATACCCAACTTAGAAAGAGCACTTTCTCGGTCTTGTTTTTAAAGAAGGATGAGGAGCTTGAGGAATAGAGGAGCTATGATGACGATATGCCAACACCTGGAACCTCTGACGATGTACGGATTACATCAATCTCATACCGCTCAATTAGATAGGTTACCAGATTACCAACTAAAGGTGTGGGCGTGGGCGTATTAGGAATATCTCGACCGGTCTTTCAACAAGCGGAAAGCCATCACAGCTGAATTGTGTAGTACGTGTAGGTCAGGTTGCATCATGCATAACCCTCACATATGTCGCGTGACAGTTCTAGCAACGCTCATCTTTGCCCGCGACGAAGGGTGGTCATGTATTAAGTACCGTCTTTGTGTGGACACGGGGGGGATGAGAATGGGATGAGGATGGGGGTGTGCGGTAGGGCGGTCTGAAAGTTGGTGCAACTATTCCCAGCAGCCGAACAAATGACGATCATGAACATCCAAAACTTCGGGGCGAACATGCTTACAAGGATTTTCCGTCGAAACTTGGGGATTGGGAGCTTCCCTATTCCCTCGCGCACACCCCCCGGGCCCCTTAGACCCCTACATCCAACTAAGACTTCCAGCCAGTCAGCCACGTAGTAGCGCCGCATCGAGTAAAGCAGCAGCCGAGCGGAGCCCCAAAATACGGTACCCACACGAGGTAGTCTCGCGCGGGTGCGAGAGGGTATTTCCGAATCCGTTTGGCTGCGTCCCAGTTAACAAAATCACTCACCCGGCGCTCGGTTTAGTATTATAATTATTATTACTGGAGATTACTAGAGATTACATTATACCTGCAAGCTTCGAGCCGCGCGGGCGTAAGTGTACATTATACTTCTCTATATTAGGGGTCCAGCTAGTCTGAGGTAGGCACGTGTATCTGTGTATCTGTGTGTTCGAGGGGGTTGAACAGGGCGAACCGGAAAATTCGGTCCTTTCGTGAACATTATATATAGCTGTCCCGTCGCCTCCTTCGCAACCTTTCTCTTCGTGCTCTGTCATCAAACACTTCCTCAAGACCAATCTCCACTCCCAAGCTTCTTCCTCGACCTGCTCTTCTATCTACATAACATCTAAACCTCCTAACCTAAGTTCCTACCTATAACTTAGCCCCTCCAAAACCTACCTATAAACACATTTACATATCAATTCAACAATGCCTTCCGCCGTAGATATCAAGCAGATCGTCGACACGAAGCCCCTGGCTTTCACCATCAAGACCGGAAATGGTCGATGGCAATGCCAGATCCACAAGGACAGAGCCTCATAGTGAGCTACCCTGCTCCCCTTGTATCCATTACCTAACGAAACGGAAAGCTAACATCATCTCTTCCCAGCGAGCGCGCCCGCACCGTCAGAATCCCGGGAATCTCACGTAGCGACTCGGGCCTCTCGACCTCGTCGACCTCATCGACGAGCTCGAAGGCGTCGCAGTAGACGTCCTTTTCCCCAAATCCCAAATTTCCCATCTCGTCACTCCGCGCACATGAGATGGGATTTTGAGAATGGGGGTAGGGTGCTATCCCCGAGCGCAACCCCCGTTTTCCGGCATTCCGTCCACTTATCAAACCCCGTCAAAACAACCCCCCATGTTCCATTTTCTCTCTCGGGGCACACGAGCATATTGCTAGATTGGTCTTTTCCTGTTCTCGATTCGGAAACTTCTGCCCACGCATATCCCGCATACGTACAACAAATCCTACCTAAAAAAATGCAATCCAGAAAAAAGTAAAAGTTGGGGGCCCCGCCTGATTTGCGGCATTATCTGGGAAAAACACAATCCTTCCCCCCCGAAGCGGTGGTTCGAAGCTGACTCGGCTGTCACATCCATCAGCTTGTGCGACCCTAGCTGCAATTATCATCCACACGTCTATCATTGAACTTCGAATAGAGCCTTGAGTACATGGTATAGATACCGCTCTTAATCAGATTTGGAGAAATGCGGGATGAGGATTGGGGGAGAGCGAAACTACGAGGAGGAAGCTGTCGTATCCAATTGGACGGTGGGGGGAGGACTGCAGATCAACTGACCGACGCTGTGGAACGCCCCTTTTTTGCTACAGTACATAACACTAATGCTGGGCAAATTCCGCTGTCTTACGGCTCGGATTTGACTGGACGGAGGGCGGAAAGCGGATACGCGGGCAAGATGGGGATTACTCTTTACCTTAACTATTCAAAGACAGTAAAACGAAGCAAAAACTAGCAAAAATATATATATCATCTACCTATTGTTATCAATACCTTGTCTCGTTCGCTTTTCTAGGCTCGTGACACTTTTGCTAGATATTGTTGATCCTTCGTACGAACCATTGTCCGTCTTCGTATGTCCGGGTTGCCCGAGATGGGTATCCCGTACGACGTCGGTGTTAAGTTACTCTATGTCGTTTTCCCCTTCCTTTAGTCGCTCGTGTGAGGCGTTTTCGTCTGCATGTACATACCCAATTTGAACAAAATTATGGGTAGTTAAGTTAGTTCTTTGCGCGCTCATTATCATCCCTTAGATCTATCCGGACCAAAGCCAGACCAGACCAGACCAGACCAAGCCAGATGACTAAATCGGTGGCGTTTGTGTCGCGGATTGGGGACTGGGTGGGCCTGTCGAATAGGATTACTGCCCATCAGGACTATTCTGACCGGTGTCGATGCCGTGTTCCGTGCTCAGCGTCCGTGAGGATTCGGATTACTTGATGGAATCTCATCATGTTGTTGGGGTTGGGAAAACTTGATTATTCCCGCGAAGCCTTTTTGGCGCGAATGGGATTGTTGGGAGTTCAATGTACGGGTATGTAAGGGCTTTGGCTGTGATAATACGATACAGATGACAAGGACTGACTGTATATAGATCTACTAGTCCCAGAGTAAGTTGTGACTTATTCTCACTTGCGACCTCGCACTCGAGTGTCTTGAGTTATCTTAGTATCCCGCTTGAGACTACCTATACAAGACTTGAGTAAAGAACCATTGAAACACTACTGCCTTCCACAATGGTCTCGGCTCCCGTCCTACTCCCGAGTTAAAGATCGAGTTAACTTTGGAGAATCCGGGGTTTGACGACGCCACGCTATGTTGAACAACTGCTGCTTATACAACTTCATATTGTTCCTGTATATGCAACCTCATTCTCACGGCGGCCATGGTGCTGCACTCATTATCATCCACATACGCCGAACCTAGCCACGCTATCACTGCGCTATAGGCTTTGGGAGGCGAAGAGTTCGAGTGTAGGCAAACAGGTCCGAGATGATGATACTCATGACCTCCGATTTTGAGGTTAGAGGCCGTCTATGGTCAAACTCGTAACTATTATCCATTCGTCGTAGTTTCTACGGCTATGACTATCTTATGCGGTAAGGACGTGGCGCACGTGGGTGGTATCCGTCCCCCCTTTATCAGTGTGCAGGAATTCATATAGTAGCAGACCGAATAGTATTAAAAAACGCGGCAGCCGACATCGTCGTCCTCCGGATCTAAGTCGGCGATCCGTGATCGTGGATCGAACCAAACTCCAGGATATTCTCGACGATCCTATCTAGTCTTAGTCATTGCTATGGAGACTTCGTCGAAAGGCGATAGGTGCCACGTAATATCGCGAGATCCTTTGATATGGGAACTGTTTCCCTTACACTATAAACTTGGGTCTGTTCATCTTTCCAGATAGTCAAGTATAGTCTTCCACTAGGAAGTGCCATGTGGTTTTTTATCAATGCTCTTCGGTATACTTCTTATCTATTTGAAGTTAAAAAGACCGGACGTCATTAAGTCTAATATCGTGAAGCTCACCCACTTTTAGAACCCTTATGACGTACGGACGTGTTTGTAGTATTTTGTCACCTAAACACGTCAAAATATCTGTAATTTTAATAGAGGCTCAGCTTACCGTCAACGATGCAAAGGCTATCTCGAGCAGACTTGACAGTGAGATGTTCAATTGAAGTTTCCACTTGCCGTAATTGTACCTTGCATTGGACTTCCTGCGGGTCAGCGCAACTGCCGCTGTGGAATAAGGCCGCCAAGCTTTTGTTGGTAGTTGTCTTCACTGCCTCCAAAATTAGACATTTCGTGATCATCTCGTGAGGACTTCCCCTATTTCCACTACTTTTGATTCTCTTTCCTGTTTTCCTCTCTCTTTCGACTTAAGCACTTATAATAGTATAAATCTATATTTATGAACATGCAAGAAGCGCTGGAACTATTAAACATTAAGATTGTCAATTATGACCATTGCGATTCAGGAGGATACCGGAGGCTTGGACGGCTCCAACTTAGAACGTAGCCCAAAATTCCGAATTCTAGGTAGTATCTTGTAGCTAATTGCCCTATCGAGCCCTTCCTACAAGTTTGGACTCGATTCAGTGATACATGCTCATCTCATCACCTTAATGGTTGGAAATGGTTCATGCAAGGGCCCAGCTTTGACAGCTCTTATTGCCATTGAACCTTGATAGGGGATAAGATATTTCAAGATAGACTTTGGATAAGTGCATATTACCTACCTAGGTACGTCGATGTACCCATGCGGGGCACGTATATACAAGGACGCTACTTGCATGTACATGGGAGATACGGATTTCCCATTAAGGGTCCAATTGTTAGATCTTTCCCTGTTTGCCCAGGTACCCGTCTAAGACTCAACGTTTCCAAGACATGCATATTCTGTTTGTAGGATGTCCCTCATTAAATCTAACATATCATCAGAATTATTAGGATTGGTTTATTTGATTATTGCGAAGCTATAGCTACCCTTCGTTCTTTGCGTTATGTACCCTTCAGCTGCCAATATGCGGGTGGATTATTACAGTTCAATGTCCCTCTTTTCCCGGGTCTACCCTCGACCATGGCGCAGCTCATTGGCTTACAATCATTACGCAATGAGGCTTTGAGTTTGAGTTGCGTTGGGAGGTAGCGATTATGCCTTCCTTTGAACTTTAGAGGTATATTACCTGCTTTTCCTCGCTTGTAGGTACCTACAAACCTTATCCTCCTAAAGAGGAGTCTGGGGTGCCTCATTGCGACTCCCTCCGCTATCCTCCGTCGTAGCGAACCAACTCTTTCCTTTTTCTATTCTTCTACTTCCCCTCCCCCCTCTTGCACTTTAAATTCTTCTCTTACTTTCATTCCTTTTCTTCTCGCTTCATATTTATTATTTTAAGTCGGCCAACAATCTCGTTTGCGGGTGTCTGCATCCTTCCTTTTTGTTGGCTCACGGCTTCGGCTTGAAACATGCCTCTTCCCGTGGCCGCCAAGGGTAAGTAGTCCAAACAAGGTCATTTGTACTTCCTGTTACCCCACGTCAATCATTGCGGATCACGGATCACATTAGAAATACGCCTGCCTAGCAGTCAGCTGTAGTGGCTCGAGTCCAGTGGCGAGACAGCAGACGTACAACAAACGAACTACGCAAGCTATTCTGTCTATTTTCAATCCTGATCTTTAGGCACCATTATTCTTAGCAATATTCTTCCCTAATGATTTTCCACAAATCTTGTATCTCAATCTACAGTTTTACATAGTAGAAGTCTTTCGTTTGTTCTCTCATTTACACACAATCAAACCCCACCATTTGCATCATGCCTCCTTTTAACCATCCTGCCGTCTCAGTCGGCGTCATCGCCCTTTCGGTCGCCGTCGCAGCTGCCATAGCGGTTTACGAATCACCTGAGCTACAGCGCATGGCGAACGATCTTCGACGCAGAATCGCTATAGCTCTCCACGCTCTCGGCGACAGCGTTACCCCTCAAGAACGAGAGAACCTTTTCAATAGACCCGAAGATGCCGAAGGATTCTTCCGATCCCGGGGAGTTGATATAAACGCCGATGGTGACATGGGTGTCGATGCCGACGATGAGACCCGCCGACGACAACGAGAAGAATTAATGTATTGGAATGCCCTGCGCGAGGAGAAGAGAGCTCAGGAACAAGGCGACCCAGAGAAATTTGGAGGTTCACGGCCGCGAGGCTCGAGTTTTGACGATTTTCTCCGGGAGGACGGCAATGCTGAGAAGGGTACCTACGTTTTTCAGACAGGATTAGAAGCCCAGAACAATGAAGGACTTCGACGACGTGGAGACGGAGCTCGAGGTTTATCTCAATCTATCTACACGAACCCCTTCTCTGACGAGCACGGAATCGACGAGAACATTGCCTTCGAGAACAGTTTAATGGATCCCGAGCGAGATGAAATCGAATCGGATATCTACAGTGCCAGCACACAGCTCGGTACGAAGGACACCACGCCTCAATCCGCAACCCTGTTACCATCTCCCGCTATTACTGCTGCCGCTGCCGCTTCCGCCACCCAGCTAGTCGAGACTGAGGATCACACATCTGCCACCCCGTCAGCGCCTGCCGAACCTTCCGAACGAGAACTTGGCCCTGATGAATATATGACCGCCGGACAGGAGGACTCCCACGATGCTTACAGCTCTATTCAGGCTTGGGCTCATGACGCTTCAACCGCCAGCTTCTACTCGCCTCTACCAGTTTCTCCCGCCGAACCCATGTCTGAGCCAGAGCTTATCAGCGATGGTATGCTGACACCAACGGACTCTGCTTCGCTGGCAGGTTCTGGGGAGGATGTTGGAGAGGCTGTATCTGCAGTGTCATGGACTGGAAGTCGACCTTACGATGTGATGAGCGACGATGAGGGTATGATGACCCCAGCAAGCTGGACCGAGGTCGGAAGCGTGGTGAGCGAGAGCGAGGCCGGCATCGCCGGCGCAGTGCACCATTAATATCGGTGGTTCTCTTCTTGTTTCATCTTCGATACCGCAGGTTTTCATGGCATGGCGTCTTGGTTAGGGATTTGGACTCGAGGTAACAGGATCAGCATTGGACAAATGGGCTAGGCATCCCGACAATGGAGCCATTACTTTGTTTTTTTATTTGGTTCTTTCGACTAGAGGTTATTTGATTTAGAAAATGCAGTACTGAGTACTGAATGGGTATCTAAAGCTCGTCTCAAGTAGTAAAAAGTTTCCTATAAGATTTCTCGTTCCCTTGAATGTGTTCCTGCTTGATATACTAGATCTTTGCTTCCGTAACTCTTATGTCACCTACCTGTCTATTAACGAATCCAACCCTACTTCTCTTCCTCCACCCTCACCTTTCTTCGGCAACGTCTCCTTGTAATCCTCAAACAGCTGCTCGACCGGCCGCCCAACAAGTTCCGTCCAGAAAGCCTTCTCCTCGTACCGCTCCTTCCGCAACTTCTCATTCAACCGGCGCACCGTGCCCTCGCCGAACCGCGCCTCGAGGTACTCCAGAAAATACGCCGTGCCCTGGTACCCGACGTCCCACCTGCGCGGGACGTCGTCCCTCTTCCAGTGCGGCGGCGCCAGACCGCAGCGCAACCGCACCCAGTCGGCTACGCCCTCGATCAGGCCGCCGGGTGCGCTGCCCGATGCGTTCCACTGGTAGCAGTGCACGAGCTCGTGGAGTAGGACGCCGGTGTACTCGGATACGCGCCGCGAAGGGGTGGGCGGGGTGACGGAGGTGATGTAGCGCAGCGAGAAGTGGATTTCTTTGTGCGCGGGGTCGAGGTCGGTGCCGGTTGTGTAGGCTACGCCTTCGATGGGGCGGAGGAGGAGGGTTATTGAGCGGGGTTTTGGGGGGTGGGTTTGGTGTCTGTGGGAGTTGGAGGTTTGGGGGAGGGAGGATGAAGAGGGAGTGGTGGTTGTGGTTGTTGGTGTGGCGGTGGGAGGGTGAGAGGAGGGAATGGGGATGCCGTAGAGGTGCTTGTGTATGGATTCTATGCTGGACTTTAGGACGGCGGGGGCTTGGACTGAGGATAGGAAGATGGCGGATCCCGGGTGTGAGAGGTCTTCTATGTGTAACCTGAGACGGGGAATTTCGAAAGGTTTCTGTTCCTCTTCTTCGTTTTCGGTCTGGGTTGGTGCGGGTTCGTCTTTTGGTCGGACGGGAATGGCGGAGGGTGTTGGTGCTGGCGTTGGTTTTGGTTCGTCGGTTCGTAGCGACATGCCCGGTGTGAAGACTGACGGAGGGACCGGCGTGGTTTCGGGAGGGATAGCCATTGGCGAGTGGGTCGACTTCCGGTCTTGGTCTTCGCCTTGGGAGATGGTGAGGTGGATATGGATGTCCTCCGTAGAGGATAGAATGTTCGATGGATCGGATTGACTCATGGGATTGGAGGATAGAAGCTATCTATACCAATGGGGTGGATTTACAGATGTTTAAACTTCTCGTATGTGACGGTATAATTGGTGTGGAATAATGCGTACATGTACCTAGAAAACATAAGTAAGCAGCAAGGCGTAACTTGCATGAGGCTCTTTCTAAGGTGATGCAATAGGCTCCATCGATGGGATATTTACTTGGTCAGCTTCAAATCGTAGTGCTAGGAGGTGCCCCGCGAAGCCGAATTGGTGAGGGGCAGTGTTTTAATGTGTTAATGGCATTTGCAGGTTCCTGGTCTTTCCATGACAGGGATCCTGGTTGCCGGGATAACACAGACCTATCATGGATAGTAGGGATCACTTAGCGGCGCTGTTAGTGCTATGAAAGTGTGGAGACCGCCCCCCGTTGTCATGGTGGCCATTTCCCGCAACAACAATATTGAGACAGTACTTTGTAGTGTAGCAGACTTTATGACAACAACAACGGGGAAAGAGCGATATTCAGCTTTCCTTGTGCAAGATTTATTCTATCAAACATTACAACTTTCTCCTTCACAACTTATTCTCGCCCACTCACGCAATCAAAAACTTGCTTGCCAATGTTAGCTGATGTTAACTGTCCACCCACCTGAAATGAAATAATCTCTCGAACCGTTATCGCAAACTTTTTGCTTTTGCTTTCGATACTTGAACCACCTAGTCAATTCGACCTTTCTAGATTCGAGTATTTTTCATCAACTGCATCCTACCTAAAACCCCCTATCCACTCCACTGCGACGGCTCGATAGCACGACCTCTTCGCATCCTAATTGAAAGTTAACATAGCGAACACGACCGTATACAATCGCGGATTTTGTTGACACCTCGCGACCTACTGCCTGATCCTCGATTCTCCCGAAGGATCATGGCGGAACTACTCACGGAGGACCAGGTCGCCGGCCTGCTGGCATTTCTCAGAAAAGATGCCTCTGTTGACGCGAAAATCCAACATGTCACTGCCGTGAAATCTGATATTAAACACTATAGCGTGCCCGATACCTGTGTCGCGCCTCTCTTCGAAGCTCTCCGCCTTGCCTCAAGTTCGCAGCACTCGGCGCTCGTCAATGCCGGCTTCACCACGCTTAACCATCTCTTAACGCGCATGTCGCTACAAGAGCCTAAGTACCTCGTGAAAGAGGCCAAGCACACGCTACCGCTCATCATCGAGAAGATGGGTGATCAGAAGGATAAGATCAGAAGTCTGGCCATACAAGCGATGGCGACCATATATGCTCATGTGCCAATCGACGCCGAGAGGTTTGTGCGCAACACTGCCATGGCTGGCAAGAACCCTAGGGCAAAGGAATCGGGCATGCAATGGCTATTACAGGTATGCGCGACTTAACAATTTGTCACGACGTCTATCGTTACACCAGACGCGCTGACAATGACACAGATGAACAAGGAACAAGGCCTACAATTCCGTAACTACGTACCAACCTTGATGGAATTACTAGAAGATGCCGACGGCATGGTCAGAGACGCGGCAAAGAGCACAGTTATAGAATTATTCAAGTTCGCAATCCCCATCCCCATATCATACGGCACAGATTCTAACATTAATGATAGGGACGCGCCGAACGGAGCGAAGTCTGATCTCAAGAAGCAATTGAAGAACTTCAAAGTGCGACCTGCCATAGAGCAAGCCATCGTGAAGGCATTAGCCCCGACCAAAGCAGACCCAGAATCGAGGCCGGGTTCATCGATGATGCAGGGGAGACCAAATTTGGCCGCGAGTGTTTCGTCTCTTGCCAGCGAAAGGCCAATAACACCAATGCCGGAAGCAAAGGTGGAGTCGGTAGAGCCCTCATACGTCAATACCCAACGAGAATTGGACGAAATTATCAAGGAGATGCACCAATGGTTCGAAGGCAGGGAAACCGAACAAAATTGGTTGAAGAGAGAAGAGAGTATCACCAAGCTACGACGCCTCCTTGCTGGCAATGCACCGTCTGATTTCCCGGATGCTTTTGTTAATGGCTGCAGAGGGTTACTCGATGGTATTATCAAGGCTTGCGTCTCACTACGAACCAGTTTGTCCAAAGAGGGATGCGCCCTCATCCAAGATCTGGCCAATACTTTTGGGCCGGGCATCGATCCAATGGTCGAAATTATCATGCAGACTTTCATCAAATTATGTGCTGCTACCAAGAAGATCACATCCCAATTGGCCAATGCTACCGTGGACACTGTCATTGGAAGAGTAACGTACAATGCTAGGATCATGCAGCACATATGGAGTGCTTGTCAGGATAAGAATGTCCAACCGAGGACGTACGCTACGGGCTGGGTGAAGACTCTGCTGAAGAAAGAGTCGCATCACAAGAGCCATCTCGAACATGGTGGAAGCTTGGACATGATCGAGAAGTGTATCAAGAAAGGTCTCAACGATGCAAACCCCGGAGTGCGCGAGAAAATGCGCTCGACGTACTGGGCATTTGCTGCGATCTGGCCCGCGAGGGCGGAAGTGTGAGTTTATGATTTCCCCCTTTTTGACGTGATTACTAATCATGGTAAAGGATCATGGATGGGCTTGAAGCCACCGCGCAGAAATTGCTACAGAAAGATCCTAACAACCCGAACTCTCCGAAGAAGTCCGAACCAGCCTCCCGGCCAGGGCTAGGTCTCTCGAAGAGCACTATGACCAGCACGAAGGCTTCGCTGAGGGAGGCGATGTTAGCGCAGAAGAGGGCCCTAACCACAAAAAATCTGCCTTCTAGGCCGGGGTCTGCTATGGCTACGGTTACTCCAGCGCGGACGGTGTCGGGCTCGTCAAATGTATCTTCCGCTTCACATGCGACTGCTCCTGCAACTCGGACACGTCCAGAACGTCCAGATACGTCAATGAAGTCTCATGGCGGTATGTCGGTAGCACCCATGCGTCCAGCTAGAAGAAGACCGGACATTGCACCTCGACCCGCTACTGCCGGGCCTTATTCTGTCAGATCTCACGATGGACCATCAAGGGAGCACACGAGCCCCACCGACGCTGCAAAGGCCAAGGGTGTGACGCCAAAGACGATCTCGGGGTCGCCTAGGAGGACGGCTCCAAGAACCCGTCCTGGTCACGTAGCAACTGCTAGTGAATCCAGTATTGCTGCTCCTACTCCTTCTAAGCCAGCAAATGGTAAACCAACCAAATCTCCAAGGACTAGTCCGACTAGAGGTCCAGTGAAGAGTCCGGGCAAGGTTAGGCCACCATTTGCAAGTGAGCCCAATCTTAGCAGCCCCTCGAATCCAAACGAGGAAATCACGCTTGTCGTGCCAACTATCGCTCAGTTGAAGGAGAGCGCACGATCGGCCTCGCCCAAGCCTTCACCCCAGCCTTCGCCGAGAACGTCAATAATTATCGAGGATGCGGATGCCTCGATCGTCTCTAAATCCGCATCAGCCACTCCAACTCCGACACCGTCGAAAGCTCTCAAAGTCTACGAAGACCCCTTTACGGAGGATCAAGCGACTCCCCGCCCGTCGGTGAATCCCGTGGTAGAGCGGCCGGTGCTTGAAGATAGGCCCGTTAATGAAGATGCTGCTAATCTGACCCAGACTCCTACCGGGACGGGTGGGGCCAACGGTAGTCCTCATGTTTCCCCGGATAAGAACCGCCAAAACTCTCGTCTGATCGAAAGCGGCATTGCTAGAATCAAAGCCCAGACATTAGACGTACATGGTTTCCGGAAATTACAGAGCCTTCTCCGTGACAACAAGATATCGCTTGACGATAGCAAGTTTGATGCTTTGCTACAGGGACTATTCGAGTATCTCGAATCTCCCCTGGGCAACATTGCTCCAGAAAAGGTCCAGGATGTCAAGGCGCAGATCCTTGCAACTATCAAGTTGCTGCTCAAGAAGTCTCGTGAGAGGTTCCAACCTCACGTGTCACGGGGACTAGAAGCTCTGCTTGCTGCGCGTACTCGCTACGATGCTCGAACGCATATCGTAAGCGGGTTGGAGCTCCTGGCAGACGAATTGGTGGTACTCGGTGACGCGGACGAGATTACAGTGACTATGACGAAGAATCTGACAAATATGGATATGGACACGTCGGGTCATCGTAGCCTAAGCATGGGCCTCCACGTGCTCAAGGAATTAGTTGACACGAGAACTTCGTTTTCGCCTAACGAGAGCGAAATCACTGGCCTACTAGGTCTAGCGAGCAGGTGTCTCGAAAGCAAGGAGAGTGGCGTTCGGATGGACGCCGTACAGCTCTGTGTTGCGCTGCACGCTCGCTTGGGCGATGCTAGGTTCTGGGAGAGTATGAAGAGTGTCAAGGATGACCCGAAGAGCCTGATTACTTATTATATCGTCAAGAGGCAGAGGGAAAACGGGGTTGCTGCCTAATGATAACGACGGAGAGTGAGAGGGCTCTTTGGGCTTCCTTTCCTTTATCGTACATTGGTCTCACTGCTTAGGCATGATTCTCTGGTCTGCCTTGCATATACCATCGTTTGGTCCCAGGCACTACATAGTCATTCGTTGGGCGCTGGTGTTCTCTTTGTCTCTGTATATCTCTGTTTTTTTTGCATTCGTCGCGATACCATGCCTTACCGATACGGGAGCCGAGTTCATTCATACATATCTAGGTACTCCGCCGTACCGCACTGTATCATACCCCAGCATCTGAGAAAGGCGGGAAATTATACCCTGAGACGCGGTGTCGGATGGGGGGATCCATTATACCTAACGGGCGAAAAAAGGGCGAAACGGAATGCAATTAGTAGTGCCTTAACTTTTTACCTTCGGATAGGGGGAAATTCAAGGTTATTCAGGGGCTTGCAAATGGGTAAGGGACACACTTGCACATAAAAGCTGGGTGCCAGACCGGGTACCCGGGCTTAGGGGTTTACCGTACAGATTTTGTAATTGATAGTTGTGTTGTGTCACCAAGTTGTCTTTGAGGTGGTGGACTTGTGACGGGGTTTTGTAGTTCAATCGATGGGATGATACCTGATTATCTGACTTAGCTGAGCTTCCGAGATTGAGAGTGAGTGAGTGATAGTTAAGAATTAGTGTATCATATTGTTGATGTGAATATTCAAGGGGGGTAAAGGTTAGTTCTGTATTTTGTCGAATAGTTGATTTCAATACACCCCCCTTTTTGAGAGGAAAGGAAGTACAATTCAGCTCAAGGATCGGAATTAGTTGAAAGGATGCCCTGGATTATTTAGCAGTTGAATGACAATTCTTATCGAGCTTCACATGAATAGCAAAGATTCAAGTCGCATGAATTAGTTTCGTGTTAATTAAATCTAGTTCTCATCGACTTGTTGCTGTAAATTGTTGAACAGATTAGTGATAGCATGAATAGGTGATCCTCCCTTGTCCACGTTGTGGTTCAGTCATCGCTTCTATCTGCAAGGTCGATAAACCTCCTGCAAAGCCATCCCAAGCTTACTCGACATATCTGTTGGGCGTTTTTCCAATTCTAATTGCACCTGTTGCATATCCGTCAACTATGCCATCATCATCACTATTGATTGTTCCTCCATTTTGATTTTGTCAAAGAGTTAATCGAACTCTTTGGTAAGTAGGCTATGCATCTATGGCGTCCCCATTCCAAGTGCTGTTTGATGCAACGCCGAAGGTGATGTAGATGGAGGAATTACATGTATCTCTAACGCGAGATGCAGTTCTACATTTTCCGTAGCAAAACGATACAGCAGTATCCTCTGTTCGTCGATGACTCCTTGTAGGTTACCAATCAGTATGCTCTCTGCTTCCTCTTGCGAGGTCGTTCGAAAGTACGTTTTTCCTACTGAATCTGCAGGATCTTATATCCTGTCTGATAGTAAAGAACCTCATTCCCGCTCAAAAGTATGAAGAGTAGGTGATTTTACGGCTAGAATCAGCGGGTGAAGTTTCCACATACCGCCCAGTCCCTGGGAGCCTTGGTCTACGTTTAAAAGTAACCCAGCCCCAGCAGCTCCCAGAATTTCTGGTATTTTGCGGCCTTCCTCAGCTCCGTGATATGTGCGGCGAGGTTGTTGTCCATGCACATGTTTTCTATCTCCAAATGTCTTTCCCTCAACTTAAGAAAGGTTCAAGGAACCAATACATCTCAAAAAGGCCAGCTTCGGTTTATGAACCAGTGGTGCTTTTAACATTTGTCTCTTCCTCTTTGACGGAAGTAGGTGCCAACTAATCAACAGCCATCTTTTTCCTTATAAACACCTCTAAATATGACACGCTGGTCCTCATCCAGAAGCTCATCGGAGCTTCGCAGTGTCTCCAGATAGCGGCGCATGTAGCCATAGTAAATCATGTTTGCCTCCGTCTTGCGCGGAAAAGCAGGAGTTGCCCTTGACTGTCTTCGTCTGTTCTGGAGTTCCTTCGGATTGAAATAAATTCGAGTCCTCCTGTTGATAGAGGCCCGGAAATTACAAGAAGTGGAATGCTCCATTCGTCGGATCGTACTTGTAATTGTAGCTCGGACGCTTCGTTTGAACTGGTCCGCGGCCAGCAAAGCCAACACGCGTGGCATCTTCAGCAATGGCGATATTGAAAGGAAATAGATTCTCTGTAAAGCAGCCCTGCATTGCTTGCCTCAAACCGCTTATTCATCTAATTATTGATTAAATCTGGAAGTATCCTTTAATGTTCCACTTGCGATTTCTAATCGTCAAGTACGGAAACACGAGAACCCATCATTTGGGTTTACCGTGAACCAAATCGCAGAACGACCGTCTTCCCTTGTGTGACAACTGCGCGATCCTCTGAGAATGCAGATGTCGTTATCAGACCGGCAAGTTTAATAACGGGGTGGGTACATGAGTCCCGGACATCTTGGTGGACTTTATAGTGTTTTCCACCAAAAGAAACACCAGCCCTGTAGCATGGGGTTCCAAATCCAGCTCTACCAGGGCAATGGTGCTGGGCGTCGCTCCTGAACCGGTGTAATCTCCTGGCTGGCGGAAACTAATACTAGGCAGTCTCTATGCTGTTCCTCCTTCCTGAGGATGCTGTAGTAAATGGGGAAGGCAGCGGCACAAGCAAGTGAAGTGGCCGCCACGGTTCTCTCGTGGTATTCTTATTCGCCTCTTCGGCCTTTTTCTGCATAAAATTTGCATCCGGACGCTGCCATATAAGGAGAGCTGTCCTCCCAGGCCGAAATTATGATAGCCGATGTTTTGTAAAATTCCTACATAAGTCTGCATGTGTCCCATAGCGGGGGAACAGACACAATGTTAAATCAAGGTTGAGGTGGTCCACTGGCGGAAGATCCTTCGATTCCACGACATCGCTCATAGCTTGGATTCCTTTCGCTAGGTAGCTATCTCTTCTCATCAATTGATGATACCTTAGCTTTCCTTACTGCATTTGGCCCTGTAATAGGTATCTTTTCTAATATAATCATTAGCTAACTGTCTGATGGACATGGTAGATTGATGGTCAGGGGTGGAATTGATGTGATGAAAAGGGATATGAATACGGGCGGAACCAGCACGGCATTTGCTTCTGTGATGTTTTGCCCGGGGTTGCAGAGAATTCAGCATCCAGTGTTTTGGATGACTGCCTACCTGGTATCTCTAGGCAGGCTACGCGCACCACAAATACTGCTGGTTTTGTGACGGCGGTTACTTGTAAATTATCCTGTGCTGCAATGTTGATGGGTACATCATCATTATATCGAGTATGACATGTATATGATGAGAAGGCTCTCACTAGGTAAGCTGTGTCAAAGCATCCCTCATATAACCTACTACCTTACTAGCAATATTCTCAGCATTATTGTCGATCAGGAGGGTTCGGCGGGTGGTGGGCCTTATCTGCCTTCCATCCTTCGCCACTCCTCTGAGGACCTGAAATGCGGCCTTAACGCCTGTAGTAGAGAAGTGTGATACTTCCACTACTAGGTAGGTTGCCGCTTCCTTAGGGCTTGCACATTAAGCCCTTTCCTAATAAGTTCGTCAGGTACAATTTCACTCATGAAATATGAGGTTTCCTAGAACGACGTTTAGGATATGAGTGCGTCGTGTAGTTTGAGTCACTTCTTGTGTTCTTGTGTTTTGCGTGGAATATTGCAAGTATGTTTTGGTATTTTTTTTTTTTTACCCTCCCCCAAGGATACACTTGACTGAGTGCTATGGTTGTCGAGAAAATCGTCGGTTTGTTGGTATAGAAATCTCTTGCTAAAGTTGAGATAGGCTTGACTGGGCCTTGCGGACTTGTCGTGCGTTACGTGTGAGGGGGCAAAGGAAATCTTATGGGGAAGTATTAAAGATTACCGAGTGGATACAAGGTCGGTGATTTCCTACTACGGTGCTTTCATGTTGATATAACTATATATACGTATTTTTCTTGATTCTTGTTAGGAACATAACCGAGAGAATGCTTAGGTACTCTTATGTAGCTACCTAGGTATAATAGAGAATCTAGGGGGAAAATGTTCACCTATATATACATAATCCGGAGCTCTTTATTTTATGACTCAACTCAAGTAGAGGCTTCTGAGAATACGATGCTTGTTCTGACAACGGGCGTCTACAGTGTCACATTTGGAGGAATAACTGATTTTCAAGCATGAATAGGTAGATTAATAAGATTCATATAGTACTGTTCATATTTCAGTTGAATTGAGCACTTGTGTAAATCCGTTTGAAGAGCGTTGAGTCATTGCTTGCCTCCTACTGCTCCTAAGAACAAGATCAGTGATGTAATCCATACGCTTGAATCAAGCATATAACAGTACTATATTATCTGTTGGATAATTGTGTTAGGAATTAAGTGTTGTCATATCTGGCCTGTTATCATGCAAATAAATAGAAAGGGGGTGAGTCAAAAGAGAAGGCGAAATATGACCTTAGTAGTAGTCCTAGATTGATCCCATAGCCTACTTTATGAACCAGATGAATTTGGCTTAGCCCAAATAAAGTCACAGTAATGATTTATATAACCTCTGGACCCAGAAATGTCATGGTAACGAAGAGTTCCTAGCATTAACTTCCAACCTTTCAGAGTTGATAATGAAACCGACGAGTTGCTTCTAGAACGAAAAGTCATATTATCTTTAACCTCGGAGTAACAGTTGGAACACATTAAATATCTAGCTTGAAGGAAGCACTTATTATCACATCTAACAAGCCAAGTGTTGAGACACAATTGTTACAATATCCTCTAGGGACCATAGCTAACTCTATGAGGAGTCCAATCTCATCCCATCAGCCAAATAAGCAAAGAGCCGCCATGTAGTTATAAGGCGCCGGAGTATCCCTAATGCGAAGCCTCGCCAACCCGACCCAGAAGCCAATGAACGATACCTTGAGGACGATCGGTGCCCAAGCACCTAACGCCCGAACATGAATGTGAGAAAATCCGGAGTCCTACTCCTGCATTGTATCAGACTCCTGACTAGCCTGACCTTGACCTTGGACTCCTAGCGACCGTAACCTCTGCGATAGTAAACTCTCCGCGACACCAGTGTTGCCGTTTATCAAGTGGGCGAATGGGTTGCCGCCATAACCTACATCTCCCTTATTAAGTTTGTCGTATCTGTTAATTTGGCCATCCAGGCTACTCCAGCTTGATACGTCGTTCGAATTCTGTGTATTCGGCCGACTGGTCTGAGACGAATTGGGCGACTGAGGGTCAGAAAATCCCAAGTTGCTACCTTCATCTACCGTATCTCTTGGACCATTGTGCATGAGAGGAACAGGCTCAACTGGCGTATTGAGTCCGCCGAAGTCGGACGAATAGGACTGATGCGATACATTTGCCGAATGAAGTCCATGAGCAGCATCATAGACTTGTTGGTTAGGGCCGACGAAGTAGAACCCAGAACTGCGTCGTCTAAACGCTTTGTCAGCAGCTAGACTGGCGCCGGGGCCGGTACCTCCAGATATAGGAGGATGCATCACTCTTATCGACTTGTAAGTAGTGAATCTTGGTTCAGGCAAAGTAATCTCGTTGCGAAGTTTCTCTTTCCCGTCAGGCACGCGGTTTGCGAAGACGACTCTAATGCTCTTGTACAGAAAATAACGGCCTCTCGAAGGACAACATATATGTAGATGGACAAGATATCTGAGAATTGGGCGATCTCCCGTCCCGTTGTCCTTCAGAGGCATATTCTCAATGATCGGTCCGGCTGAATAGCTTCGTTGCCGGATGAACGTCTTCGTACCAGGCTCCATTCCCGCCAGATCGTACGGAACCAAGAATAGCTTGACTGCTGTCTTATTGGGGTTCTTGATAATAATTTGTATTTGCCCCTTTTCGGGAATACGATAGCTCCCGCCAGGGGGTGCCCTGGGAGAACTTGACCTACGCTTGGGTCGTTGAGTTTTGCGGGTGTCGCGATCAGATGGTTCTACAGAACGACGGTTCGCCTCTGCTCCATTGTCTTCTGCTGGCAAACGCTCTTGAGTACGACTTTGTATCTTTCGTTTTGATCTTGCATCATCGCCTTGATTTGGAAGGCCATTTTCCAAGTCTATTTGTCCAACGTACGGACTGGGCCCATCTTCTACCTTCGGATGACCCTGAGAAGAGCTACCGTAACTATAAAACACAGCAGGAAAAGGCAATGTCACATGAGGCGGACACCGTAGGCTTGACTTGCACTTACCCAGCCCAAGGACACCGATCTGTGCCAAGAAATCAAGCGGCTTCGAGGGAGTTGTTGACATTCGTCCACGCAAGATACTTTCCTCGTACGATCCTACCATAGATGCATGTTGAATCGGTGAGACGTCTGAGCTATATGACGGACGTCTAGGCCGTAAAAGCGCAGGGGTTTGTGGAGAAGATGAAGTCGTTGGAAAGTTAGGAGTAGAGGCCAGAGAGCGTCGGGGCTGGTGCGCCTGGTAAGGAAAGCTTCTCTCTGGGCGTAAATGAGATGGTTGCATTGGTGATGGGCTGTGGGGCATGCCATACGAGGCTGAATGAGGGGACATGAAGGTGTGTCGACGTGGATTTCTGGGGAGACTTGAACTGATATCGATGCCATCCATGGGAGAGGTCAGATCAATATCTTCGTTGCTCTCCGATTGAACCAGTGGACTGGTAGGTGGCTTGTAGACGAAGCTCGAGGAGATGGAAGACGATAATGAAGACAACCCAGGTGCTTGGTCTGGTCTTCTCGTTGAGATCTCCCGCCTCTCAAATTGAAAGGGCGTAAAATCCCTCGGAGGCGAAGTAGCAAACCATGAGTCACCAATACCACTGAAATCTTGCCTTTTTGGAGCTTGCTGGCCATCTTGTACAGGACTAGCATCTCCGGATAATTCATCTTGTGTGAAGTCGCCGCTATGGAGAGCTGAACGTGGGCGCTCAATACTCAATCCCTCCCGCCTTCTACGTTCATCATCGGAATCGGGACTTTTCTTTTCTGGGGTTATCGGGGCTGGAGGTAGCAGAGTTGGTGAACCTGCATTCGAACGTTTCGGACTACGGGTAGGAGAGACAGGTTGTTGGCCCCATATCGATTCAAACTGATTATCAACCACGAAGTTAGCCACTTCAGATGTCCTGTTCATACCTTGAAGTGGGAAGGGATTACGAACATGTCGATTCGGTTTCCAAGTCGGACTCTCGCCTCTCTTTAGTCGTTCGATGAGTTCAGATCGATCGGAGCATTCAGTCGGGGGATTTCGCTCTGGTGTTTGTGGTGCTGGAATATCTGAGATCGGACCCTCGCACAATTCCGTACTGATGCTCTCCTCCGATTGTTTTCTTCGTAGTGTACTGTCTTCTCTATCTTCTTGACCTTGGTCTGGTTGTGACGCCATTGTGGGTGACGTTGGCTTTTCAGCGGACTCCCTCCGCTCTAGATCTATCTGGAACATGGGCATCGTGCATTCGGTGGCTGGTCTAGATGTTTATGAATTAGGCCATGTTATAAGCATTTAAGCATTTTCAATCGTCTTCGAAGGGTTTCTTTTTCACTGTGGAGAGATGGGTCGGTATCAGGAACTGACTCGTGCTCGCCTCATTGACTCAGAGGACAGGGAAGTTTGAAACGGAGCGGCAAGGGTATGTTCTGTTTGGTAAAGGTAGGGCTAGCTGGTAGGGTTGAAGTGGGTTGGGTATTTCCAGCGCTTCGTCTAGTTAGACTCAAAGTTGAAGTTGAGAGGTTGAAGAAAGGCCTATTATCATAAGACAGGTGTAAGAGGTCGGAAGGTACATTAATGTAGGATTGTTTCTGATCATCCGGACTTTCCTCACCTATCAATCTTATGACTTGTACAGCGACTTTTAGTAAGTCCAGCGTCATAATTAGCGCCTGTTAAATGCTATTTAACCCACCTATTCGGGAAAAAGACTGCCAAATTCGGGGCGGTATCGGCAGGGATAGGCGGTGACAGGGGCGATGGGCCTGTGCTGTAATCCGGAAAGAGCTAGACTTGGCACACTTGGTTAGGTAGGTCCATCCAGGTACATAGTGCGTGCATAAACGGGTTTATCCACTGCAACTTGGAACTTATCGATACCTACAACTTTAGACTTCAACGTTTTGAGTTGTGAAATTGTTAATCGCAGCGATTCAAGATTGTCATTCACTGTAGTCTCATCTACATAAATCTCATATCCGGTGATTTCATACCAGCAACAACCTGTTTGGTGAAGATGCCAGTGAAAAGACCTCTCGAATCAGACAGTGCAGCCACTCCAGCGGCGAAAAAACTTCGTAAAGGTTTTCGCGTTGGACCACAAAATCTTCCCGACGGACCATGGAAGAGAAAAGGTTTGCAAGCACTCTCACCCTCCAAGAGCATATGAATGACTAATCGAAATCTGCATTAAGTGGATAAGATAAAGAAAAACCTCATTCATAAGGCGAAGGTCAAGAAGGCATACAAGAAGATAAAGGCTGCGGAACAGGCATCTTCTAAACTCGACCCTGTTACTTCTGCGGGTACCGAAGATGGACATGGAGATGCAGAGCCTCCTTCACCTCAGCTTCACCCTGAGAGGCAGGCAATGCTAGATAACGATGAAGAGGAACAACCAGAACCCCCCTCGCAGCCTCAATCAGGGGATCGCCCGCGCCGGCGTAAACAGCACCCGCGCAAGCCCGGCTACTTTGACAAAGCCTCGGCCGATGCAGAGCGCAAGAAGGCTGAGGCAGAAGCTCGTGCTCAAGAGATCGAGAGGCGCAATGAAGAGCGAAATCGCAAGATCACCGAGCGTGAGAAGTTTAGAAAAGCCATGGCGAAGGCGCGGAAACCTGGCCGAGATGGCCAGCGCAGGTTAGGCAGGGAGAGTGGACTATTGCTCGAGAAGGTTAAGAAAATTGTCGGTGAGACGAAGTGAAGGCAATTTCATTCCCAATCGGAAGGCAGAACGATGGCTTATCGACTAGCTAGGATACGATGATATCCAGCCAAACCGAACGTTGAGCCGACGCAAATTTGTCACTAGGATGGATTACAGTTGAAGCCGCGCTATGAAAGGTTTCCAATGACACGGTCGGGATAACACGAGATGCCCATACGAACACTACAGGCAATTCTTCGTACCCGGCTATTACTCAGAAGAGCTATGAGAGACAGCCTACTCAAGAAGGTTGGATGAGAACGTGTGTCAAATTTGGATTGGGAGAGAATGAGCATGAGCCCATAGCCCTGAGTTGCTTGGTAGGCTTCACTTCTCGCAAATTCACCAGTCAGCTTTCCGAACTGACAATACGTATTAAGGCTTAATTCGTTTTACATGATATAATTACATTAATGTGAATACTTCCGATCCGGAAGCTCAGGTCTCAGTCGCGGTGTAGGAACCGGGAGTTCGTATGTCCACTCCACGTCTTCGGCGGGTAATTCGCCCCTTACTGTGCCACTGATCTCTATCGGTTCAACCGGCGTTGGCGATGACACCATCGTCCCCGGCGTGACTGACCTCATCCGCGGCGAATCTTTCGGCCATGGCTCTGGTCTATACTCGTTAAAAGTGCTAGCCACCATCGTGCTTTCGCGGCGGCGCCGTCGCCACCTTAGTATCAAGAATACGAGGGTGCTCGTAACGCTAAGGAACACCACTCCTCCCACCGTGCAACCAACGATAACGCCAGTCTTTTTAAACCTCGAACTGTCCGGTTCCGTTGAGGTCGAGTTTCCGGTCGTACCATATGTGCCCGAGCTACCGTTGACGAATAACTCTTCCAAATTATTACACCAGGTCACCGTGTTCATTCCTCCTTGTGCGTACCAATCCGCTACTTCTTTCGGGCTTTCGTATTCCGCCGTATTTGGGTCGTATGAATCTGTCCATTTCAACTCTTTCATGTCGTATATTCCAAGTCCCTGCTTCCATGGATCGGGCGTCATCGTGGGATTTCGCAGTCCAGGTCCGCCATCCACACCTCCGTAACTCAACATCTGCCTTTTCCCTCCGCCAACTACTGCGCAAGCATGGTCGGCACGCGGCGTGCCGGGAGAGTGCGCATCAAAGAAGACGAATCCCGGAAGCGATAATATATGCACATCCGCAGACGTGCTCTCCGTTTGGTCTGATGAGCCGCCATATATGAATCTAACACAACGTGTCAATACCAGGTCACTTCCCACTACTCCTCTTAACCTAGTTATTCAGAAGAGACCAGATAATGAAAGTAGACCTACATTTCATACGTATTATTCGGTCCCTGAACCCCAACACTACACGCGCGCTCAATCGTCGGCGGCCGCGTCCCACTCGTCGCCTGTCTATACCACATGCCCGTGACCGGATCGTGCAGAGTGACGGTATTCCAAAGGACCTGCACAACGCTATCATTCGTCGCATCCACCGGCGTCTCGGCGCCGCCGAAGAAAAGCAACAACCCGTTAGGTCCGAAAGGAACGAATTGGGCAAGGCCGTTTATATTCGTGCCGTATCCCCCGTAGTTCGAGACGGTCGAGCTATTGGCCCACAGCCCGGTTTCGAAGTTGTACGATATAAGCCCCGTCAACGCATAACCCGGATCCTCCTTTTGGACCGCGGCGTCGGTCCGCGAGGTGACTTGGCCGCCGAGCGCGTACCCCACGTGGTTGGCCTGCGTGAAGGCCGCGCCCACCGGCTGCGATAACTTGGAGAAGTCGCGGAAATCGCCCTGCGTGACTTCCGACCAGGTCCCGCCCCCCGTGCCGTCCGTGTTGAATAACCATAACTGATTCTCGGGCGGTGGGTCCGACCCCACGGCCATCCCGCCCCAGGTGTACAGAGCGCCGGCACCGTTGGTCGGGTCGGACCAATAGATCTGCTGGTCGATAAGGGGTGCCGTCTTGGTGATCGAGCGGAATGTTACTGTCTCGTTCGTCCATGACTCGTTCAGGTTCAGGGAAAATGTCGAGTTGGCTGCTCGATGATTAGTAGACACGTTCAAGGTGCTCGGTGTACCGATGCGAAGATGCTGAATATACCGGCGTATGAAGGGTATGTTTGACCCGATTGGGTGCCATTCGACCCCGTCCCGTTGACCTGCTGGGACAGCTCGCCACCGTCTATGTAGAGGTAATAGCTAAACGCCACGACTGTACTCAGAAATTAGATCCGGGTCACCTTTTCCACTCGGCACGCTGCGCATTAACTAACCTGTAGGATACCTGTGCCGGACGAAACCGTCAAGACCAGGAAAATCTCCATCCGCATCTCGTCTAGCGATCCCACGCCCATCCACCAAGCCTTCCCTTCCTCCCAGAAGCCACAACGCCGCAAGTAGAAGCGGCGACACTAAAGGCGCACACGAGCCCTTCATCGGGGCGGTTTGAACATTTCAGTCAGGAGGAAGGATTGAACATTATGAAGGGGGGGCTTGGGTAGAAAGGCGCCGCCCGAGAATAAAGTAAAGTAAGGGTTCGAGTTTCCAGGGAAGCGAAGGAAGCAGGTGAAAAAAATCCGGGGTCAAGTTCGAAGGAATGGTGAAAAAGCTGCAGGAGAATTCCTTCTCGGATGCGGGTGCGCGGGCAGAGACCTTTTGCATCGCCAGCTCACACACACACATAGACACACGCACACACACAGCAGCAGCCGCTGTCAGGTCATGTATGTATGTATGTCTCGCAGCCGAATTGGGGGAAATACCGCCTCAAAAATTGACCGGGCTGCTACGCTTTTTGCTTTTTGCTTTCTACGCACGCATGTAAAAACTGCGAACTGCTACCTCGCCAGAAGGGGGGGCGGAAAATAAGTTTCGCAGCCCCCAAGGCCGAGGGGAGAGCGGATTCGCTGACGGACTTTATATCTGGACTTCCTTGCCTACCTTATTTACCTACATACTCTTACTTCATATGTACTTACATCTTGCTTGCTTACTTACTTACTTACCCACCTGTCCTCATAGCGCAATTCCTTCAACGTAATAGTAGGTATATTCCGTACCAAATCAGCAGAACACCTGGGAAAGCAACACAACGAACGGCGCGGCGACGACGCAATGAGAACAGGGGTTCAGACAGCTCGGGATCGGGAACCCTGGCGCGCGCTGCCAGGACCGGTACCCGTTCCTAGGAGTTTGCGTCGTATTTGCGAACTACTATCAACTAACATGCCACCTTAAGCTTACCTTGCCAATCGAGACCTATGTAGGAATTGACGAGACGAGGCAAAAAAACTAGCGAAGCGAAAGCAACGTCTACATACCTCCAACAGCACGATTGCGGCGTTGGTTGATTTTGGTTGAATTTTTTTTTTGGGGGGGTAGGGGCTTGGGACGAGTACCGAGACATGCTTGCTTCTATTCGATATTCATCGGCGCCTGTCCCGTCCTTTTTACGGAGGGTGATACACGGCTCTTCCCGGACACACGTAGGTTGTCGTGCTCGGATAGCTGTCTCAGTATCTATCTCAATAATTGAAGTACTTATATGCATCCACTCTATGTAATAACCCGCGCGTCCTCTCACGCTTTTGACTACCTAGGTAGGCACGTAGAGGATGCAGTAGGTGCCAGAAAAGGCCGTGGGGTTGAGAAGCAGGCTGGGCGGCGCCAAGCTGCTTTGGGGCGGCTGTAGGCGCTGCAATTTACATCAATGATCCTTCGGCTCGGAATCGATCGCTGGAGGATCGCGTTTTTTTCCAGGGGTGTAATATGGCATTTGGGGGGAGGGGGGGGACTTGTTAGGTATTGCATGGCTCCCTACATTAATTACCTACGAGGCTTGTTCCGTCACTTGACGTTCGATGCTACCAACTAATGTAGTTGGCTGCGAGGTTTCGTTTTGTTCTTTGTTTCGTTTCGTGCGTAAATCGTTTCCTCGGCTGGTTGGTGGATGGTTAGGTGAACGGCCAACAATGTGATATGTGAGAGGCTACTAATATAAGAAACTACCTAGGTATGATGAAAGAAAGGACTGACTGTCCTCTTCCTAGTATATCTACGCAGGTATATAGTAGGTAAGCTGAGTGAATACCAGGTAGTGAGTAGTCTAGACTATCCCAACATTCGATATTCTTGCTAAATTTAATGGCGACCAGGCTTAGCTCCAGCTCGCAATATGGCAGCGTTAACATACGTGTAGATGGCGTTGGACTGCACAGACGATTAGCGCAAGGGATAGGTATGGATGTACATATGTAGGTAGGTATGCAGCAGACGCCATGAATCTAGGCGACCGGCCGCCGTAAGCAGCCCTGCCACGTTGACCTAACATCGTCTATCTCACTGCACAGACGCCGAGTTGTTAATCGTATCGGCATATTAAAGCCAAGCCTGCCCTAGCTACTAACAAACAAGACGTCGAATATTTCAGTAAGACGAGGTTGTCATAAGTTTCTTCGGGCAGTGAAACATCCGTAATATTGTGTAGACAAAGCTGCTGTGTACGCATTGCATTCATTACAGCATATATGTATTGCTTCGATCTATTTTGGCAAGTCATCCAATATCATCTTTCAGCTCGTCCGCCCAAATGTCTTGAGCGGAAATGTAAGATTATTAACTTATGTAACAAATCAAGGAACAGGAAGGTGAGTGAGAAGCGAGGGAACCGTTCGCTCGTTCAGGCTTCAGCTCATCCCATCTAGACCGTTCGGGGGAATATGTACTATGGTATGCATGTCAGACGGCGCTTACTTAGCTACAGCTTCTACCACGTTTTTCCCCCTTCCACTCTTTGGGGTCTTTTTATTAGGGCCACACATGTGCCGGACATGGGGGGGACGAGCTGTTCCTGACTAGGAGTTTTTGTCCCTTTGCTCTTACTAGGTAGGTACTCTAGGTATTTGTTTAGAATCCGAGGTTTGTCGTTTTGTCTCGTTTTGGACGGACGGACGGCTAGCCACGTTCGTGTAATCTGTAATTCGTAATTCAGACGTATTGCGTAAAAGTTTGTTTCAAAAAAAAAAAAAAAAAGGTTATGAAAACGAATCACTCGAGCTAGGCGGTAGCTTTAGCTGCGCGATTCGTCGATATGTCAGCTAATTGGTAGCAGTGGGTGTAAAGCCAATATACGCAGAGCAGTAAAGCAGTATTATAAGATGGGGTTCTATCCGCCTGTACATTTTCTACGCCTACATCCAACTTCCATTCCAGAGGAGAATCTGGGGGCGACGGCAAACATCCGACTTAGTTCACAGTACACTTGACTCGACCTTTCTAGAACGCGTGCTATTTCGGTGAATTCTTTCAGTGTAGATTTTTGTCTTTCTTTTTCTTTTTTTCGACTATAAAAAAACGACGACATTCCATCTTTATAACCCGTACACCATTCTCTTCATAGTATCCTCAGCGAGTATATAGCCTACCTAGATAATCAACATCTGAAGCCTTGCTCCTAAATAGTTATCTTTGCTAAATTACACGGCATAACCACCGGCCGTACCCTCATCATAGCAAAGCTTAGTAAGACCAGGAGTCAATTTTGAAATATACCATCTTTTGATTATAAGCAAGGCCGAGAGCCTTGTGTTAAATACGATCCTATAATTGATTTATAGGGAGGCTGGATATTCTCAAAATCTAACACGTATGTATGTAGATAACGGAAAGACTTGTTCGTCCTCTACAATACTCAATAGTCGATTATCAGCACATCAGGTCACTTCTAGTCACTTCACATGCACAATAAACCCGACTAACCAGCACTTAGGATCTCTGATCATAGCAACTGTCTGCCCTGCCTAGCTAACGTAACGTCGGGTCCATACGGTATTGGAGAGCATGGCCATTCTCCAGCCCGTAATATGACAGCCACTCCCGCACTCAAATTTCCGGCCTCTCTCCTTAAAGCTAGGTACTTAGGCATTGGCCCAAGCACGGCATAGAGATATTCTGTTTGTGTCTCTTGCTTCCCTTCTTTTGGCTTTCTCCCCCCTCAAAAACCTATCATAACCGACTAGCCATGCTTCTCTGAGTACTTGGATCATCCAGCTGCCAAGTCTCTTAGGAAAAGAATCGGAATGCGGGACCCATCCCTCTCCTCGGAAATGAAACAAAAATTGCAATGCTCTCAAGGATATCATTAAATTTCCTACCGTAAAGACAGAAAATCCCGCCGGGACACCTCCTCGAATAGAAAGAGTCGAAAAAAAATCCAATGAGCCGGATGGGTCGGTGTCGTGTCCGTGAATAAAAGAGGAGTGAGGCGGTAAGTCTGGACTGGTGTGGTGGTGATGTCTGCGAAGACTCTTAAGGCGTTTACTCGAATGCTGTTAACTTTGCGACTTCGGGAAACTGGTGAAGAGTACTTCTTTCTGTTGATGAAATGTGTCCGTGGATCGAATCGTATGTATAATGAGCCAATGGCAGTGAAGCCGGCTTGGGTTAAATGAAAATGTTATGCGTGTTCTCGATGATGAATTGCACGGCTAGATTCTTGGCGTGCATATCCGTCATCTCCCTCTCGATAGTGTGGTCTCGCATAATAGTAGGTGCAAAGACCACAGCCAGGTTCTTAGGTGTCATCTAATCAACTATTAGCTGAGTGCGCTGAATGTAGAGAAATGCGTTTACTTACGAGATTCTCACGCTCTCTGGAGGCAACGCGATGAAGATGGAACATCAAGAACTCCAGGCAGTCTCTGTGCTGCTGCGGTAGTTGTTTGAATACATTCTGCAAGTGCGCGCACTTCTCCGCATCGCCCGTAATCGCTAGTCAAGTTAGTTTTAATCTGATACTCAGTATTTGTCCACTCGATACTTACAATTCGTCTCGAGAATACGATCATAGACGTCGAATGTCAGCAATGGTGTCGGAAGCTTTCTGAAGTATTGCTTCAGCACACTCGTAACTGCGGTAATGTCCATATCCGGGTCTGAAATATCAAAGTTCTCGTTCTTGTCGAATCCTTCCTGGATGGCCTTGGTTTGCGAGTTTCCACCAGTCTTGCGATAGATACCCTCCATGTCCATACCCCTGAGCTCGACTTCTTCTATACAACGGGTCACGACGCAGGGAATTTGCCGGCGTTCGAAGTCGGCTCGTTCTGCTAGATCGGATCCGAAGAGTACCGAGGGCGGCTCGGCCGCTGCCTGGGTAGTAGTAGTAATGTTGGCTGTTGTCATGCTTTTCTGTATCCCCTGGCCTTTCTTGAAATTGAAGAAGCCTTGACGGCTGGCAGCATCGTTCAATTGGCGATTCTGGCCGTTCACAGGACCGCCTATATGTGTGACTGGCGCCTCGACCTGCGTAACGGTCATGTTGTAGGGAAGACCGATATTCTCACCCGCCATACCCAAGTGACGCTCGCGCTCCGGCTGCTGGAAGGCGACAACTGTGCGGTTAACTCCCTTGGCGATATTCTGGGCCATCGCCTTCGATCCCTTCTTCCAGTTAAACTTCTTGACCTGGCCTTTTCCTATCTTGACCACGGTTGGTCCAGATTCGAGGATGGGTTCTTCCGAGTCGACGGCAAGGAGCGATCCGCCGGTCTGAATGCTGGAGCTATCTAAGCTAACCGAGTTGTTGGATGTGCCCTTGTGCTGGTTGTAAATGCCAAGGCCACTCGGAGGAGATTTAGGGTCCGAGTGGTTCTTGAATCGTTCCTGTATCTGGTTCGTAAGGTCGTTGTTCAAGTCGGCCAACTGCGCATTCTTAGAGACCAGTTGTTCGAACTCCACTCGAGCACGATCCCTCTCGGCGATTGCCTTGTTCTTCTCTTCGACGAGTTCGTCCCTCTCGCTGTGTAGCTGCTCTAGGCTGGCTGACATGGACTGCTTCAGCTTCTCGAGCTTCTGGACGAAGTCCTTCAGGGCCGATTCCTCAAGCTCGCGGGGGTCGATAGGTCTCTTCGTTTCCTTAGCTCTTTCTACGTATCCGGCTAACACTTCCAATTGGCGGATCATGATCTCGGTTTGCGTATCTAGCACCGATACTGTCTTGCGCTTCTCTTCTAATTTTATGGTAAGGTTCTTGAGATCTTTCTCGTTGTTGAACTGGCGCTCCAGTTCTGCGACTCTCTGCTCAGAATTTCGGAGGCGTCGCTTCAATAATATCGGGTCGTCGTTCGAAGCTATCGATAGAGGGCTGGTGATGTCGTGCGAATGGCCATTTACTGCATCCTCCGCGATTGGAGTTTTTGGCCAACGTGGTGATGTGGTTGTGCGCGTTGTTTCGCTGGCACTGCGCGTATGACCAGTGCGAGGAAGGTTGTTGCTAGATTCCGTGCTATTTGTTCTGCCATGACGCACCGCATTCGAAACCCGCCGAAGAATTGAAGACGAGCCCTCGTCCGTACCCAGGATGCGAGCCATGTCTTCATCCATACTGAAGTCACCGCCTGCGCTCCACCTAGGTAGCTTGGGCGATGTCTTGGGCTCACCCGTCGAACTGGCCGACTCCTGGCCCGCACCCGACGTCGGTGGAGCGGGCGGTGCTCTTGGGGTCATGTATGACTCCCCAGCCCTTTCCGCCGCGCCAGGCCGAGATGCTGTACCGTTTACTAAAAAGGACTGTTAGTTAATGATAAAACCCAAGTGCTTTGTGAATGCACTCACCATTTCTAGCAGCTGTAGGAGGAAGCTCCTTTCTAGTGATGGGCTTCGCATTGTTGCTAACCGACGTAGCTAAAGATTCATTCGACCGTACTTCATCTTCGTCTTTGAGGCGAGATTCCTGTGAGCTGCGCGGGGTGCTAGTCTTGTCGCCAGCTTGCAAGAGTTGGGGCGAATCGGCCAGTGGTAGACTGGGGAATGCCTCCTTGTCTTTTCGGCCGGAACTACTGCTACTACCCCTAGATCTAACAGAATCCTGGACCGCATTCGACTGGGACTCTGTTCTGGAATTCGTCTTTTTACTCTTAGGCGCTTCCTGCAACTTGAAATCATCTGCGGGATGCGATCTTCCATTTGTTGTGATCTTTTGGCTTCTGTCCTCAGTCGAAGCTGGCGATGACCTCGAAGGTACGTTCTTATCGCTTCTGCTAGATTTGGAAAGCTTCCTATTCAAGTCTCGGGGAGGAGGCGTCTCGTGGTCAAACGATGACTGTCTTCCCTTCTCCTGGAAAGCAATATGCGGCGTCGAAGATTGCGCCGGCTCCCTCCGCTCCGATATAGAAGCCGGCTTTGAAAGGTTGAAGTAGTCCTTATCCTTCGACTTCTTACTAGAATCGCTGACAGGTTCCGTCGCGGATCTAGGCGTTGGGGCTGGCACTGGACTCGGGTCTAAGGCAACGGGAATGAAGAAACTTTGGTCATCAGCGGTGTTGCTGCTGGCGACATCGCCCCCTGCGAAGATTGCCGAGTTTCGATTATTCCGATAAGTCTGCGAAGGCAGTAAGCCACCATCTCTTCCAGTGTGATCGACGGATCGTTCAGGCGATCTAGCCGGTCTCGAGCTACTTCTAGACGAGTCGTTTCGAGGATACGAAGGTCGTGGTCGCGGAGAAAGTTCGGTGGGAGTGTCAGAGTCAGGTTCGACTCTGTCGTTCGAAAACGCATTGGGGGGTATAGCGTTAGGAGGAAGTGCCGGGAGGGACTTCTCCATGATCATAGGGGATGAATCTTTCTCTCGCGCCTTTGCTTGAGCTGCAGCCTTAGACTTCTTCCTACGTCTAGCCATCAAGGACTCGTGACAGTTCATGCAAAAGATTCCTTGCGAGGTCCTAGCATAACGCAAATTCTCGATCTTCCTTTTACAGTTCCTGCATCTGAAGCAGGCGGCGCAAAAGGCCTGCTCCCCGGTCAATATTGCAAGGTCCTCAATCTTTTCACCGCAAGCGCTGCAGCTGTACGTGCAATTGTTGCATATGAGTGAACCGTCGCCAAGTAGCAACAGGTTTGCGTCCGAATCGAGAAGAGTACCGCAGGTGTTGCATCGGAAGCAGTTGAGATGCCATCGGTTTCCGGCTGCAGCCATGTTAGAATTAGCTTCCACAGACGATATTTTTGCACAGTATAAGCAAACAGAAATGCAATGAATATTCGGAAATCGAAAGTAAACTCACCTAGTTCAAATGCCTTGCCTTCCTCAAGTATCTATATAAAAAACAAGTTTAGCAATGCCATCTTTCTAAGTGAATATGTATCTGCTTCGTACCTCACCGCAACCCTTGCAAGGAAAGACATCGTCGCTCTCTAAAGGGCTGTCTGTGTATTCGTCCATGATGCTGCTCGCCATGTTGCTGGTAGCCGATCCGAAGTTATATGCTAAGCAAGATATCTAAACCTAGCCGAACCAATCGACGATCTGGGAAGGGCTATTCTTTTCTACGAGTATGAGGAGGTGTAGGTAGCTTCAGGTTCGGCGCGTCATGAAAGGCGATCGAGTTTGGGCTATCGCAACATCGAAGCTGCCACTTCCTTAACGGTGACAACTCGATGGATATTCGGGATAATAATGAAGGAGGAAATGTCGAGTATTAAGCGGAATTACTCGACTAATTTATTTGAGGGGTGAAAAGATAGGTGTGTAATCGTCGTTGACCTAGACACTCGAGTGGTTTGTTAGAAAGACGGTCGAGGGTCGAGGTTGTCTGACGAAATCTCGAATGGCGGTGATGCGGTGATGAGCCGCGAGGCAAGATGTGGCAGAGATCGAGTGAGTAAAAGAGAAGGAAAAGAGCGGACCCAGAGAGCAGGTAACAACGCCTTGTAAGGCCTTGTAGGGCGCTACTGTGTCCTGGGAGTAGTACTGCGAGTAATGATCTGGTATGTGGTTTGCGAGATGGGTAAAGAAAGTTTAGGCGTTCTACCTAGGCATGCGTAGTAAGTGGTGTACTATAGCAGCAAGCCACAAGGCGAGACACAGGAGTGTATGACGGGTGAAACCAATGCCCACTTAGATGCCACTCACGGGCCTCGACGTCGATCAGGAAATCGAAATCGGCACTGCGTCTTCGGGATTTCAGGAACTTCAGGAACGGGGAAGAAAGGTATATTTTGCTTCTTCTTTTCCTTCGTCTTTTTTATTTGATTTGGTTATGTACGTAGAAAGGGGACTTGATGAACGATGAGCGATGAATGGATCGTAGATCGTGGATCGCTTCAGTCGATTCAGTCGATGCTCTGTGGTCAATTAGGAAAAGAATAAAATAAAACAAATCAAACAATCCAATTCAATGAATCACAATGCAAAGTTACTGACTAAACCGACTAAAGTGATAAAGTTCGGAACACAGGAAAGGGGGGAATCGCAACCCGTGGAGGGGATACAAGCGTGGATGCCACTGGATGGAGCCCCCAGTTGAACTAACCGTCTCAGAAGATGGACCCTTTATTACCAAAGTGGGACGGTTATGTACAGTACTTGCCCAAAAGATCGAAGTATAATTGTCGTGATACGTGAATATCCGCGATAGAAGAGCTGATAATCTGTCTATCCGGGTATAGTCGATTAGGGGTATGCTAGCTTTCAATATAAATACAGTCACGTATATTTCTAAGACATGTACAAGATATTATCCTGAAGCCTTTTATTTTCCAATGTTGTGTTCACAGCTCGGATATAAAGTCACAGAGGGAATAGAGAAATTCAAGGGAGTTGAAAGGCAACGTGTAAAAGTGTTGACTAGAAATGCATAATGAATGTGATTTGAAGTAAGGGTCAGGTTGAGTAATGGTATTTAATAGTTGGGATGGCAAGTTCACATAAAAGCCAATATCGATATGGGATATAGTTGTTGACCGTTGTTTTAGTAAAAACGGCAAGTCGGGTCGATCTCCACATCCCCTTGACCCTGGAAAAGTATAATCCTTTTAGATGAATATTTAGATAGATAGGTAATCCAGGTTACTCGCCTCCAGTCTCAATGGTCCCAACCCTTTTAACCTTACCAGGCACTAAATTAGTTACATCAAATCGGACGAAGCAAAGTGTTACCCATCATCTCAATACGGTCACCTATTTTTATGAAATTGAGAGTTAAAATGGCAACTAGATCAAAGTCCAAAATAGATCGTTCAAACAATCTAACCATCCTTCTGCGGCCTTTTTGTGGCCATCTCAAACGTCTAGGGCTGGCAGGCTGGGTTTCCAACAGCTCGACCTTTGACAAGAGGCGGCTACACGAAACGGACTAACAAGAGAAAAGAATCCTATCTTCCCTCACATCAGCTTCTTGGCTAGTATAACGAATAACGAAAGGTAAGAGGCCTCGCATATGACAAGTCAGAGCGTGAGTAGGCTATTCGGGCTATCAGAAAATGCAGAAAATGCTACAAAACTGACATACAGAGAGTTTCTTTCCGAATCATGCTTCGGGTCCCGACTTTTGATGTGTTGTTACCTACATGCCTATATGTAGGTATGTATGGAAGTACAGTACACATACAAAGCAGGCAAAAGCAGGCACGCAACAATGCATTGTTGGCCAACGAGAAAGTTCTAGCGCTAGCGATCTTCTTTACATGAACGTGGCGGAACTCGTGCTACGTGCAAAAAGTCTTGGTACCTGCTTGGAGGCGGTCTGGCCCAGCGGCCTAGAGATCGGCACCGCAAAGAGCCCCATACCGTCAACTCATTCTCCTCATATGGCATTCGGTGGCTTTCTTCAAAGTCCCAGGTTCCAGGTCCCAGAGGAATTATGTCTGTGTCTAGCTGCAACAACCCGAAGAACGCCTCGTGCCGTCCTCACGCCGCCGTCATGCCGTTGTTCTGTAACACCACCAGGACGAATGAATTCACACATGCATACTGGAATTCCTGAGCTTCCTAAGCTTCCTGAGTTCCTGAGGCATCTACATCCACCGCACCAATTAATGGAAAACGTCAAGAAGTCATACTAACCGTAAAATAAAACTTAAACCAAGTCCGTCTCTATAGTCGGACTACCCCTATCGTCATCGATTACCAAGCACCAAGCACCAAGCGCCAGGCGGAGAGCTACCAGAGCTACCTTAGCAGCTTTAGCTTCCTCAGGCTAGCATTAAAAATAAATTGCTTTTCCCGCATCTTCCAGTTTGCCAGTCTGCCGGTTTACCAGTCGGGTCGATTAATGGCTTTTCTATAATGGCGGATTCTTCCGTGACGTGCGAAGCCACGCAATGTAATCCCGGCGTTGATCTGATAGACCAAGCAGGGGAACGCGAGTCAGGCCAATTCGAGCGCGGTAAAAGGACCGCTAAAACGTGTTTCAAGTTGAGCATGGTTCTGAATGGCTCTCGTTCAGCCACGAAACGATTCAGACATATTATTCAACCTGTCAACCTCTTCATACCTTCTAAAGGAATGCACCATGCTGACATCACGCAATCTCGTCATTCTTTCTAGAAGCACACGTAAGCGTGGCCCAGTCACGATCACGATGCTTATGATGGCTATGGAGCATCAAGTTTATTCCAGGGTCCTAACCTCCATCATGCAGCATTTTCTACATCTAGGTACATATCAACATACCTACCTACCTACTACCAGGTAGGCCTTCTACGCCTAGCCTTATCTTTATGAAACTAAAAACTATCCATATAATTCCCTTACGTGTTTCCGTTACAGTAACTAACCGCGACCCGATTCTCTGTTCTGTTTTCCTTAAAGGGTCGGAATAAGACCCCTGAGTTGATCTTCGGTATCCTGGGGAGTCTCATGCCCGTCCGCAAATGTTACAGGTAACATTCGGCCGGTTGCTGATTTAGGGGAAATAAGAAAGTCCCTGTCGTTGCCAAGCTCGTCGTCCCATTATTATCTATCGCCTTTTTCACTGCTCTCTTTCGAGCGATGGCACAAGAGCGATTCCGAGCCTGGCAGCGTACCTGATACCTAGTACACCCCATACACCCCAGTGTCTATCAGTTGGTCCAGAGTCGGTCCAGGATTCGCACTTTAATAAGACCACATTACGGGGACCCTCCAAACCGATGAGATTGGCGGCGGATCGCTTACAGCACGTCGCGCCGTTTCAAGATGTGAATCCTGTCCCACCGCCCATTTCGCCCACTTGAGACTTCCAGGAACCCCAACCCCAAACCCCAGCCTGGAATCCTTGCTGGGTCTTGCTGGGACCTGCTGTCGCGCTTGTATCATCGAGCCGCTCTGCAGCGTGCATATACATAATCATTTCGGGTACGCCTTGTTGACATGGATGGGAGTTGTTGTCAAATTCGTCCCCAGTCTACCAATGCGGTACTCATAATTATTATTATTAGTCGGTCCCGGCGAAGTGTTGCCGGTGCTGTAAGGCATTGCCACTTGTTGGAATCTAGAATTGCCAATTCCAGTTGAAAACCCTTGATCTGGCAGCTGTTTCTCTTTATCAACCTGATGCCTACGACCCTGTCCCTTTCATTTCGAAAATTTTGAAAGTGTTTATATCCTGACATCTCATCGCCGGCATACCCAGGTGAAATCTCCGATCCATTGCGGAAAACAGCCAACCAGTCGTTTTTTCGGACCGCATAATGTGTTTTACGGATAGATTCGTATAACGCATTTGCGTATTAGTGCGGATGCATGCAAATATTTCCGTATGTCGCTATACCCCCGTCACGTCCGAACTACTCGTGTGCTTACATTACAGGTTTTTAGCATCTCGGGGCTACGTACCAGTGGGAAAGATCTGCTTGAGCGACTTTATGCTAGCCGCTTATGCTTGAGGCGTTCATACGTGACTAGATAATACCGCGGGCCGAAGACGGTCTCTAAGGTACGACTCGGAGCATATAATGCCGACAATTCGGTGGAAGTAGTCGAGCGTCTTATTCAACATGTTTCAAATGAAACAAAGAGCTAACTCACACAGCGCGATCTTGAATTACATACTTTTCAGATCCACTGCTGACAGGTGAAGCTATTAAGCGACCCGGCACTGCTGACCGAACGCACGGTGGGTGGATAGTGGATAATAAATAAAAATATCCGATCTGGATCTTCGAAACCTAGGGCTTATCCTCCACGAACCACTTGGGTAATGCCAAGAATAATAAGAGATGCAAAATTTCGTGAGATGTAGCCAGCAGATCCCACGTAGTAATGGGAATACAAAACCAGATCGCGGAATGCGACGTGGCCCAACGATGGGACCGACGACAAGTGGAAGTCTTCTCCATTTAATATTTTATGCTATGGACGTTATTCCAGTGCTTAAAAGCTTTGCATATAGACGACTCCTGATTGATGCCCCTCGCGATCCACCTGTCAAACTTGTCGACCTGTCGATCACACGAGGCTTCACTATAACTGAGTGCATATATATCTATATTCGCTAGTATTATTATTCGCTAACAAGTTGCAAAGTTATTTTAAGCATTTAGTCGAATGATTATCATTCTTCTTTACTATGTAAGTGGAAATAAATTGATCATAATTTAGAGTATAGAAAAAGTGAAGTTATGGAAAAAGGGGGTATCACTTCTCGGTATACCTACCTGTTTGAAAGGAGACCCGAGTTCACAAAACCTGCTCATGCAAACGCTTTCAAGCTTGGCTTAATTATAGGTTGCTTCCTGTTTCCTGTTCATGGGAATAGTTGAAACAATTATTGTATACCTATAATAGGATGAGTATATTTCGCAAGCGTTGACCGAAGCACTATACTTACCAATGGATAGCAAACTAACGACATAAACAACATAACAACATAACACCGTGAACCCTCACATCCACACATATACATATAAATATATGAATGAGTCATCCAAAGTCATAATTATCGCCAAGCACCATCCCCTTACATCCTCCACTCCCGCCTCCCAATCCGAAGCTCCTTGCATTAACCCATATATACTATGTAAAGAACCTCCCCAATCCCGGACCTCCAAGACCCGCGGGCCACAGGGACTGCGACCTTCCGTTCCGCATGCCGCAGTGAAGGGCAAAAAGGGAAATCTGGAGATCTGGAAATATAATGGACGAAGCGCCCACCGGCACCCCCTTGGAACCCATCGCGATATAACGGGAGCGCACATTCTTTGTAACTACCTAGGTTGGTAGGTTATGTATGAGGGAGGATTGGGCTAGGCGGTGGTAAGCTAGATGCCGCACGTAGCCTACATAACCTTGCCTCGCTTACGCCTTGCATGGTCTGTAAGCACCTTTAACTTTAAGTAGATAGATGATCGAGATATATATATATATATAAAGTCCCCGATATGGCGGTTGGCCGCGCTTACATGGTGCTTACTGCCACTATACTATGTAGGTAGGCAAGCTACCTGGCGTATAATGTAATGTGTTACCACACCATCGTCACCAGTGCCGGAGGATCGTGCGGCTTTGCAGCTTTGTGTTAGCCTGTGATCTCCCCCCCTTGAGTACCCAACTTAAGCATCCCAAGCTCGCACTCATGTGGGTGTACGGCGCATGCAGAGATATCAGGCGGATATATATAGTACAACGCGAAAACCGGGAATGACTTAAGCTAGCATGGTTTCATGAGAGAGGAAATGTTTCGATTGCAACGAGACCCAGACGGGCTGCTTGTTTGTGAAAGGTTGAACGTCGACGTTGGGTTAGGCTAGGTAGGTACTAATTAAAGTAGGTCGGGAGCGTGACTTGACGGCGGCGCAGCGCGGCGCAGTTGGGAGATATCGCGGTATGTGAAACGATGTAGCCGGCTTGGGATGAGGCACGTGGGCAGATCAGTTCCTCGCGAAGTCGAGTTATATATCTTAGGAAATCCCAATCAGACGATAATTATGCCTATGTGGTATACCATGTATGAGAACCCCTCTATTTCACATGTTCTTTCCTGGAGTAAATGGTATTATAGGATCACGTAAGGGACCAAAGGTGGGCCGAGCGCTCCCTTATACACATCTTAAGACGTCAGAGGTAAATAGTATATCACAATGGTTTCGTTATATTGTGCATATGCGCCGTAGGTATGCTATCTATACCGATGCCCATACCTCGACCCCGAGTATCTCGTCCGTTGTCTGCTATGCTGCATATGGTCTTCGAACATTCCCCCTATACGACGGGCTTAGGCTCTCGTACCATAATAGCAAGCGTAGGCTTCTGCTCATTACCATCCTTTCCCCCGTCGAATTCAAGCGTATCTACCTGGGCGAAGCCGTGGCGCTGATACAGGGGTAAGGCCAGGGGCATGGCTTCCAAGTACACGGGGACCTGCTCTGCGTCCGCGACGGCGAGGACGCTCTGTATCAAAGCGGCGCCGATGCCGCGGCCGTGGTATGAAGGGTCGGTGCATATGATGCTTAGGACTGGTCCATCTGTGAGTATGAATAGATAATACGCCTAGAAGGACGAAAAGGGATAAAGGGACAAAGGCAAAGAAAGGGGGCGTTATATCCCACATACCCAACTTCTCGCTCGTACGCCACTTCTCCTGCATCCTACAACGGGTCAGTATCCAAACAAGCAATTACCGCTTTTAGCAGAAAAAGTGCGAGTTTCAAACTCGTCTCAAGAGCACGATCTCAATTATCCAACCCAAATAGGCAGCTCTGAACCTCGCCACAATCCAAAAAGGGGGCAAAAGAAATTCTTAAACAAGGCATACCTCATCAACCCACCAAACATCTCATCAAACAACACCTGATCAACGCCCTCGGGCGCCTTCAAGCCATGTTTCTTCACCTCTCCCGCATCCCCAACCCCATCCCCTCCCTTCTCACCACCCCCATCTTCCTTTTCCGCGCCTCCAACAACAACCTTCCCCTTCTCATCATACATCACAAACCCACCTCTCAGCCCCGTAACCGTAGCCGGGACATCCCACTTCGCGAACGCGACGACCCTCCCCGTACCTTCCTCCGCGACTTTGAACTGCTGGACGCGCGGGTCGGTGAAGCGCGCGCGGACGCGGTCCGCGTTCCACGCGCGCATTGCGGCGGGCGTCGACCACCAGTACGTGAACTCGGGGACGGCGGAGAAGGCGCGGAAGTCTGTTTTACAAGAAAGGATGGGGTGGATGGTTAGTAGTTCTCATAGGAGAGGGCAATTGCTGAAGTTGAGTTGGATATGCGACGATATAGGCAATTTAGTATATGAATATAAGACAAAACTTACTATGTATAGTTAGCATCGTATTACGTAGTAAGGTTATGGAGGTATATAAAGCCAAAGCGCGAAGAATAGAAGACTCACCAAACATCCGTCATCCCCTCCGTGTCCTCCGGCGTGGCCCTCGACATCGTGAACCCGGGCGGGAGCAGCGCCGACGGGTGCGGGAACGGAAGCGCCATGTTTTCGGAGTAATAACGGCGTTTCTTGACGTGTGTAGTTCCCGACTTTTACGAAATGGGTTGAATGCTTGGATAGCTTGGATACGAAGTGTGAGATGTGTGGCGCTTAGCACTCGGAGCATAAAACCGAGTAATCCGTTGGGTCGGATTTTCCTTGAAGTTGGATTATGTGCTTACCTACAAGGTACGGAATATGTTGTCTAACAGCTTATGCTTAGGCAAAAATTGGGGGTTCGTGAGTCAACCATGCCGAAGCCGAGTTCGCTCTAGCTCCTGCGCCTTAATGCCAATCGATACAAACGCAGGAATCTACTCGCTATAGTATAAGCTTCCCTTACCCCAGCATCTATGATCACTAATCCAAAGCCCCTGGCGTAGTCGCCTGAGTCGTATTGCACGTAGATTCGAGTTTGTGCTACATACATTTGCACTGAATATACAACTGGCCATGGAATCCAGGCCCATATTCACATATAGGAGAATCATCTCACGACTTCCCCCTCCCTATCATCTATCAGATTATCCTGGTCGTCGGAGTCAGAGTCGATATCGTCGATAAAATCCCCTTCGTCAAAAATCTCGTTCTCGAGGGGCGAGTGCACCCGTATCATGGACTTGATAGCTCGGACCACTTGCACGCACTCCCTATCTATCTCCAGGAACGTGCTCGCCATGTCGGCAGAGAAAGGGCTGAGCCGGTCGAGGTCCATGTAGCCTTTGGCGAGGTAGTATAGCGTCGTGGCAACCGGCCGAAGATGTCGGGGAGAAGATCCTTTCCGACGCAAGTCAAGCGATAGCTTATTCCGTACATTTTCCTTGGTACGCAAGACAAACCAACCGGTCCAGTTAGGCATGAGCATCTTTTCGCAGGTAAAGAACGCCTCCTTGTATTCTTTCAACTGGACGAGCGCCTGGATATAATAATTCCAGTTCTTGCTATCGACCTCGAACCCCTCATAACGAACCTCTTGAATAAGACTTCGGATGCCGACCGCGTCCTCCTGGCTGAAGAGCATCCTCTGCATGCACTCTAAGCCGCCTGATAGAACGTACCGATATTTGGGCGATATTTTCGGCGTATGAGGTAAATCTTCAACGTAGTCGGCTGAGCGCGCCTCCTTCTTCGCCGCTTCGAAGAGAATATCCCACGTTTTGGCAACGCGGTCATAATGCTTTTCCTGGAGGTCCGCAAGCATAATAGCGTTAAGCATCGCGACGGGCAAGACTCCACTAGTCTCTTCTTCACCTTGGAAGATATAACGATAGAGGTCAATAAGTTCTCGAGCTTGGACAAAATCTTTCAGGTCAACCAACATGTAAATCATGGTGCTGAAATGAGACTTTTCGATACTTTCTCCCAAAAGCTCGCCTGTCTGATTGGGTTTGTAGGATGATGTTAGCCTGCGTATTTTCTTATTATTATTATTGAGGCCATATATATGATAGAATGTACGAAGCGATTTGCCAAGCCATTCCGTCGCGGTAAACTGTGCTCGTTGCTTCGGGGGGAAATTCTTATATTGCCCCAGTGCCCGGGCCAAGTGGAATAGACTGGTAGATGAAGTCGGAAAGCCGTTTTCTATCATCAGCTTGTGAAGACGTCGGACTGTAGCGGGCTCTCCAGTCATAAGCAGAGCACCCATAACAACATGAAAATGATCCTGAGTGACCTCGAAGGTTTTGTCCTTTAACGCGGATGCGAGGAGACCTAGAGCGTGTTGAGATTGACGACATAACGATAGGCCAAGAAGCAGCTCAAGGTATGTGAATTCGTTATAAGGGATTTCCTTATCGGCCATGAGGTTGAGGACTTTGTTGATGGCAGCTAGGTCCCGGCGAAGAGCGTGATAGCGGAGAAGTTTGTTCCACATCCGAGTTGCGACGATCCCTCTCTTGGCTGCACGAACGCAGACGTCTTCGGCCGCTTGTAAGTGATTATTCTGGCAGTACGCGTCGACGAGACTACTGAGGATAGCATCGTTGGCTCGTATGTTTGCGCTTAGTCCCTGGCGATATAAATCAATCGCGAAGCCTAAGTCACCTCTAGAACCGGCCATCTGCATCATCGTTCCGTAACTATACTTGTCTAATTTTCCTGCCTCGGTACACTTCTCGAAAGTAGATATGGCGCCATCATAGTCGCCAGCCTTCGCATAAGCATTCAGAAGGATATTCCAGGCGTAGGTATTTTGCTCGATGCCAAATTTCCGTTCAATATCGTCAAAAATGCGTTGGGTTTCTCCGACTTCACCTCGAACGGCATGGACGTGAAGAAGATGCGAAAATGTATCGTCAGCTTTGATAGCCGGGAGTTCTGGGTCATCACGGTAAAGCTTCATAAGTTTAGGCCACAGATCGTAAACCTTAAGAGTATCTCCTTGGGCTGCATAGAAAGCTAAGTATCTCTGAAAGGCCCTGCGAGAAGGGATAGTGTGAAACCTATGCCAGTCTCCCCACAGCAGTTCAACTCCGCGGTACTTGATTGAAATTGGCGCATTCAGACCGTTGTAGGCTTTGAATATTTCATGAAGCACGGGATGACTCGGCATGCTCCCGGGGAGATCACGATAGATCCCGTACACCTCAGTCCCAAGTCGTCCCTGGCCCCTATAGATTACGCCACGTAGGAATTCCTCGAAGGCAAGAAGATCATTCGTTATTCCAAGAAGGGGGATAACTTGGTCATCGGCACAAGATAAAAGAGCCCTGCGGACCAAAATTCTCTGCAGCGTGTCCAACGCCTCCTGATCAAGCTCGTGGCCGTCTTGTTCTTGGAGCTCTTGAAGCTCCTGTCGCCCGCGTGTCTGGAATTCGAAAGCTTTCCCAGCGAGACCTGGAACTTCAGAAACATGTCTCAGTTGCGATACAATGCCCCCGAAGTCCCATCTGGCAGCCATCTTGGGATAATGCCTCCAGATATTATATAATAACTCCGCTTTAGAAGATCGCAATGCACTGGCAAGTATTAAATCGAGCGCGTCAATTAAGGAGGGCACTTCGAGACCTTCATGGTCTAATCCTCTCATGAGGATTTCGACGGCTTCATTATCGTTCTGTAAGCTAATTTCAGCCGTGACACCAGCCACAAAATTCTGGTTCGTCCACTGTGGTAAAGACATTTTATGGAAAAGTTCCGAAATTTTCCATGAGTCAGATATTCGACCACTCTTCGAAAGAGAAAGCAAAACCTGATCCAGGTAGATAGATTGTGACGGTTCATCTAAGAACTTGTAATGATGCCAGATCTGATCAATATCTTTGGGATCGTCACTATTATCCTTTAACAGATTATCGAGCGCCTCAATATGCTCTTCTATACTTAAATGACTTATATCATCCTCTATAGTATCGAGCTGTGGAGGTGTTCCATTAGGATCCATATCAGCTTCTTGGACTATATCTTCAACGGTTGCGTCTGGGACCTCCCCCGTCTCCGTAACCGAGGTATTATTTTCAGGTTCAGGGTCATGTTCTTCCGGACTAACACTAGACTCGCCCCCCTGGCGATCGACCTGTCGTCTAGGAACAGACGAGGTAAACAAACGAGGGGCGAGTTTTGCAAAACGCTGGCCTTGGCGGAGACTGTTGGATCGGCTGGTAGAGGTAGGGGTAATTGGGGTTAAGCGGCGCATAAGGTTGATAGCACCAGTTGGATATAAGAAGTCGAGAAGAAAGGCGGAAGCCGTCAGGGCTGAACCCTTGTTATCTTCGGATGTCGAGCCCATGTTGAAATCAAAAGTGCCATGCATTAAAGCTTGCCAGGCGCTGGTGAGCTCAATGTCAGCAGCTCCGTGCTTCCAGAATGCACTCTGAAGCTGTCTCGGGGCTCGCAAGGATTTGGCAGCGCCAGGAACTACTCGTTGGAGACCGCATGGTTCCAGACTGGCAGCTGTCTTCTCCAGCATGAGAAGAATACGTCTGAGGCAGCACACAGTTCGCGCAACGGCCAACAATTCGAAATAAGAGGGTAGAGCAATCGTAAATAAGAGTTCAGGACATTATGGGAACTGGTTCGTATATGTGTTAGTACTGACGAAGTCCGAGGAGCTCCTGGCGCAAATTCATTAACATCCATGGATAGACTTACTGTGCACCAGTGTAAAACAGTCTATCAAAACTCACTAAACAATTAACTACGTCTAATTCTCATGAAGAGAACAGACGTGTCTGAGTTGTATAGTTGTAAAGGCTACAAACCATACCGGACTGCTTCGGCTATGACATATAACGTATAGTGGAAAATTAACCACCCGCCATGTTTAAACTTCTTCAACGACGTCGGCAGCTTCGATCGGTTTTTTTTTTTTTTAACTATAGCTAGTAGCCGGACCCACTCAGCCACAAGCGTCACAGATGCGTGGTGGGATGAATAGCCCCACTACAAACGGCTCTGGATCAATTAAACTTTGTCCCTCCATTTTGTCCCTCCATTCCTCCTGCCGCTCTTGTTAGTGATAGGTAGGTAGCCACCTGTGGCTAGGTACGTGCCCTATGATGCTTGAGTACCTTGGTACTTAGAGCTGGGCATCTCGACCCCACATCAAATTGGATTTTGGATTTTAGAATAAGTAGGTTGGACGTCAAACCCCACTAACTTCATCCACCTTCACCCATACCGGCGACAGTCAGCTTGTGGTTGCGCAAGCATGGACATCACCAATTTCGTGGTTTCGGCCAGGAACCAGGCCTTGTTGTATGGCGACTACAACACCTATCACAAGCAGTTGGTCAAGAAGTTACACAATTGTCGAAAAAGGTTGAATATCGTCACCAAGAATCGAGGCAAGTTCAGCAAGAAGGACACCATCACAGCCGAGAAGCTGGCGGAAAACCATGAGTATGCGCAATGTTCCATGTTGGGGTTTTAATAGCTGACTGGAACGAGGTATCTTCATCTCCAGTTATTGACAGCCGAGCGTGCCTGGGCGCACGCCATGAGATTTAAAGCCGTCCATTCCGCCGACACCAAGGGCATCTCGGGCAGAACCCGCTCCCACATAATATCGAGATTGGATAAAGGAGCTCGAGCTGCCGAGGATCTCGTCAAAATATTATCTGACAGTTCTACAAGTGGCGCCAGCGATACGGATATTCTAGAAGCACGTGCGTACGCTTCTATGATACGGGGTGCGACGCAATTTGAGAAACAGAGCTGGGAAGCTTGTCTACGGAGTTACGCCACAGCTCGTATCATATATACCGCCCTCACCACCGCGATCAAGGGGGATATTTTCAAAGATCTACTATCGGAGACTATCGACCCATCTATTCGATATGCCGCCTACCAGTCCAAGGTTCCGAGAACCTTGGCGATACCAACCATAGCTAGAAAAGCATTCCCCTCTTCTGACTCTTCTTTAGTTGAACAAATCAACAAATTAGCCCCGGAATTACTAAAGACAAGTGATTCGGATGCCCAACGAGGCCAAGTAGGCGCCCCGAACGCACCCCAGACCATTACGTGGAGATCTCGAGAAGTAAAGATCGAAGATGCAGCTATCGCAATTGCGCTGGCCTCGACCGATACGGCTACTTCCCAGCTGGCAGAGAAACTCGCATCGTCTGATATTATACTTCCGAAGGAGATGGCCGCAGCATATGATGAAGTGCTCATAGCCAGCCAAGACGCAGCCGATGCCACTAAGCGTGCCATCGACGAACTCAAGGAGGAAGGCGTGTCCCAGAATGACCCTCGAATACAGAGTCTGCAAATAACTCGTACAGCCGTCAACTATCAAATGATCAGCTGGAGAATTGGTCGCAACCGGGTATTGAGCGGAGAACATGATGGGGCCTTGTTAGATTCAGCACCGACGACTACCCGGAAATCCAAGAAAGATGCCACCTCCCAGAAGCCTAAGGTAGAGCCTACTGGTAGAAAGATTTCTCGGCTCAAAGACAAAGTCGTGCTTTACGATTCTACGATACAGAGCATCGACTCGATCAAGGAATTACCCGGTGTTGCGGCTGACGAAGGTCTTTTAGAACAATTGAATGCGACTGCAAAGTATTTCCGTGCTCTAAAGTCAGTATTCACAATTCCGGCTTATATAATTTGAATGAATACTTATCGACTATATAGGTCTCTCTCTATTGCGCGGTCGCATTCGCTAACTGACCAGTCGCTCAATGCCTTGGTTCTCACCAAGCACGCATTTGACGAGAGCCAGCAGTCCGCGGCGTTTTTCTCCAAGCATGGTACCTCTTCTTCAGAGACATCTCCCCGCAACATAGAGATTCGGCAATCCGATATTCAATTCCTACATAATCTCTTGAAGGGAGAACTTCAACGATGCCGCGCAATTGTTGAAATAGACAATCTGCGAAAGAAGGCAGCGAATACAACTCCCCCGGCGGCGAGGATTCCCTTGGTACAACGGTTATTCGAGTACCCGGCAGAAGGCGTCGACTTAAACTGTCTCGTGGACTTCCCACCTAAGGTCGATCCAATTCCAGTGAAACCACTATTTTTCGATGTTGCCTGGAACTACATTGATTATCCTGGCAAGGCTTCGGCCGCCGCCCCAGAGCCTGAAGAGAAGCCGGCCCAGCCAGCGCAGCCGCAGAAGAAAGGATGGTTTTTCGGAAGGTAATAATCAACCCACCTGTGAGCTGTCTATTCTACGTAAAACAGATAGCAAATCGGAAATTTACAAGCTACGAGACATCTCGTCAATTTATTGTGCTACTATTCTTTTTTCCCCTGATCCCCTGATCCCCTGAGCCACGTATTTTTATCATCCCTTAAGGGACTGCACCCTTCAATGTGGGTTGATTATCGTGCGGATGCCACATCGCATGGAAGGGCGTTCTGCGACAAGGCATACCATACCTACCTAGTGTCGAATATATGCATCCCTTACTATACTCAAGACGCTTTTAAAGTAGATAACCCACCCCGCCATTGCACCTAGTTCCAAGGTATCTAAAGAGTAGGTCTGCGTTCGAGTGTCCTTTTCTTTTCTGTTCGAGTCATGGTGAAACTATGTTCGGTCGTCGCTCTTCAAGCAGCGGCAGCGCGACGGGGTCGCCGGGACCCGGAACCGACTGCGAGAATAGCCCGATGCTGGACTGGCCGTCGAAGGCATGGGATAGCAACAGCTTCGTAGACGTTCCTCTCGTCGTCGTCGAGGGGAAGAAGGGCCCGCGGAGATCGGTCTCGTTGCGCGTTTTTGTGGCTTCGCTCGTGGGCCTGTTTATCGCGGCGCTGGGCCTCGGCGCGGGCTGCGGGTTCGGGCTCGGGAGGTATAAGATCGTGTATGAGAATGAGAGGCCGCTGACGGATGAGGGTTATAGTGGTAGGTATGGTGTGGGTGTACCGGAAGATCTCGAGTTCGTGCCGATAGACAGGCTGGTTAATAGGAGGGAGCTTGACCTCGATACAGGATTTTCCCCTACTTCAGGGAAAGGAGAAGAAGGAAAGAAGATCCGCGAGTACGTTTTCAACGTCTCGCTGGCTCTCGCGGCACCAGACGGATTCCGGAAACCCATGGTCCTGGTCAACGGGCAGTCGCCGGGGCCGCTGGTCGAGGCCAACGCAGGCGATACGATCAGGGTGCGCGTCAACAACCTGATGCCGAACGCCAGCACGTCGATCCACTGGCACGGCATCAACCAGCAGGGCACGCCGTGGATGGACGGCGTGGCCGGCGTGACGCAGTGCGGGATCCCGGCCGGCGGCAGCTTCACGTACGAGTTCGGCGTCGAGGACCAGCGGGGCACGTTCTGGTGGCACGCGCACTCCTCCGTGCAGTATAGCGATGGCGCTTACGGGGCCATCGTGATTCGCGATCCGGGGGAGATGGTGCCCCGGACGGATGACGAGAAGCTGGTTTTTGTGTCGGATGTATATCACGCTTACGGATCTGTTGTAAGATGAGCCCACCCCCCTGCGAAAACTCGAGTTTGCCTAAGTAGATTCCTGTTATACGAAGAAGGATTCATGCTAACAGTATATCTTGGATATGATAAAGATATTAGACAGCTACCTCAACCCAACCTCGAAATGGGCGCCTACCGAATCGGGCGTCGAGCCTCTCGCAGATAACATCCTGATGAACGGGCAGAACACGTACAATTGCTCTGTAACCTCAACCACCTTCCGCCAACCACCTAATTCCAACCGACCCTCCTCCCTAAGAAATACCAACACCAACACCAACTCAAACGCCAACGATTGCACAGGCGGCAACCCCTACACCACCACCATCCGCCGCGGCCACAAGATCCGACTCCGTCTCATCAACGCATCGAGCTTCTTCTCATACTGGTTCAGCGTCGACAACCACACGCTCACCATCGTCGAGCTCGACGGCGTCGAGATCGAGCCCATATCCGCGCGCGGCGTGTACCTGAACCTCGGGCAGCGCGTGTCCGTGATCCTGGCCGCGGACCAGGAGGTCGGCAGTTACTACCTGAGAGCGACGATCCCGAAGACGTGTTTCGTGCCGTACTCGACGTATACGAGTGCTGGGCTTGAGGACGGGGGGTATGCCGTTAGGGGGGTATTGAGGTATGCCGAAGACGATAGTGAGGAGGAGGATGGGAAGGGTAGTGAAATAATCGAACCGATTGGGGTGGCGGGAAATACGACGAATCCGTACGGCGTCGAGAACAACGGGCTCAGGGGCGACGTGTGGGAGGGCTGCGACGATATGCCGTTCAACATGCCGGTGCCGATGCGTAGACAGCCCGCCGTGAATGTGAGCGAGGCGAACACGCATTACATCGAGTACGCTTTCCGCCAAGCGCAGGAGGTGAATCGGATTTTCATTAACAAGGTATATCCATCCTCCCTGTCCCTATCCAACCTGACCTCTCTCCTAACAGACGAAATTCGTGTATAGACATCCTACTCGCCCCTCCCTCACAACGCCACGCTCTGGAAAGCCATGGAGCAGCAATTCACCGCCGACAAGGCGAACTCGTACAATAGCTGGGACTTCGGGCTGAACCAACAAGTCCTGCACATCCCAGACGCCGAGCAAGGCGCGCAAATCGTCATTAATTCGAAGGACGCGATGGAGCACCCGTGGCATTTACAGTGAGCCGCACTGCCCTCCTCCTTACTCCTTTATCCCCACCCCCACTCTCCCTTTTCCCGCACTCCTACCCATTCTTCCCTCTCTTAGGTACTCTTTATTGAAGGTCCCGCTAACTCCTGACCTACCAGCGGCCACACATTCCAAGTCGTAGGCTGGGGCCGCGGCGCCTTCGGCAGCGGCGCGACGACGTGGAATCTGGACAACCCCATGCGCCGGGACACCGTGACCGTGCCGCCGAACAACCACGTAGTCATCCGCTTCGCGGCCGATAACCCGGGGGTGTGGGCGCTGCACTGCCATGTCTCGTGGCATGTCGAGGGTGAGTTTATACCCCTTCCTTTTCCCCCTTTCCCTCCTCCCCTACTCCGTCTCGCTGTCCCCTTCCGTATTTCTCGTGTGCTAGAATGAGTTAAGTAAATAAATCAAGAACCAAGTGTACTAAAACCGTGTCACGCAGGTGGCATGTTTCTCACCCTAGCCGAACGACCGTCCGATCTCGTCCGTATGGTCGGCGCGATGGATCCGGAGACGAAGCGGCTGAGCCAAAGTTTCTGCGGCGCCGGTGACGATGAGGGACCCAGTTCCCGCTAGGGGCGCGATGTCATTCGAATTTTCTAATAACCAAGAGCCAAGGCGGGTAAACTGTTAATGTAATTAGTTAATACCAACGAACAACGGAACATGCTTAAATCAACATGTTCCAACGTACATAGCACCCAATTAAACATACTACCACAACAGATACCAACCAAAAAAGCCACAAATCATGAGAGGGGATGTCTTCCATTATTTTTTTGCTATCCTTCGTCGTAAAACGTCCTATATACACACACACGTAAATGCCCCAAACCAGAGCAAACCCTTCCGCCTGATGCCATTTCATTCAATCATTGGCAGTAGAGCCCGTGTGAAAACCCGTCTTCTTCAGCACGCATGCAGATTTTAATAATAATAAAAAAACTTTAAAAAAGCTTTCCCTACCCCTCAAGTCTCAGAACGCCGCATATCCGCCCGCAAATTTCGTGATGAGAAGAACATCGCCTCAGTCGAAATGTCGAAAGACGATTCGGGGAATCAATGTGGAAGCGGCAAATATGAGTACAGGGGTAATGTACAGGTATGGAGAGCTGGGTCGTGTGGGTCCCGGCTCCGAGAGATAATTAAGGGCTAACGGAGAAGATTCTCTTTCTGGTTAACGCATTCAAGGCTTCTTCTCATCCTCGGGCTTCGACTCCGAAGAGTTAGGCTCGGAGCTGCCGGAGCTGCCGGACTGTTCGCCCGACTCAGCACGGGCCTTGTGCATCTTGTCGAAGAGGTTTAAGCTGGCGACTTGCAGCTCGTCGGTCTTCGCCTTAATTTCCTCAGAGGTGGCAGTACCCTCGCCGGACTGGCTCTTGACAATCAATTCCCGTAGAGAGGTGATCTTCTCCCGGATTCCATCAGCCTCGGTCTTGTCGAGTCTATCAGCGAACTCGTTAAGAGCCTTCTCGGTATCGTTCAGGACGCTGTCGGCGCGGTTGGCAGTCTCGATGACGGCCTTGCGCTCCTTGTCCTGCTCGGCGTACTTCTCGGAGTCCTGAACCATGCGCTCGATCTCAGAGTCGGACAGACCAGAGCCGGAGGCGATGGTGATGGACTGGTCCTTGTTGGTGCTCTTGTCCTTGGCGTGGACGTGGACGATAGAGTCGGCGTCGATGTCAAAGGTAACCTCGACTTGGGGAACACCACGGTGTGCGGGCGGGATACCGACGAGCTGGAAGTTGCCGAGAAGCTTGTTGTCCTTGACAAGCTCACGTTCACCCTGGTATACCTTGATCTCGACGGCAGTCTGGAAGTCGGCGGCAGTGGAGAAGACCTGGGACTTCTTGGTAGGGATAGTGGTGTTGCGGTTGATCAATCGAGTGAACACACCACCGAGAGTCTCAATACCAAGGGACAGAGGAGTGACATCCAATAGCAGGAGATCCTTGACTTCACCGGAAAGAACAGCACCCTGAATGGCAGCACCAATGGCAACAGCCTCATCAGGGTTGACAGACTTAGCGGGTTCACGGCCGAATATGCTCTTGACGGACTCGGAAACCTTAGGCATACGGGTCATACCACCGACGAGGATGACCTCCTGGATGTCCTTCGCCTGCAGGTTAGCATCCTTGAGAGCTTTGCGGACGGGCTCGATAGTCTTGGTGATTAGAGGATCCATCATGCTCTCAAGCTGCGATCGAGTCATCTTGGTGTTAATGTGCTTGGGGCCCGAGGCATCGGCAGTGATGAAGGGAAGGCTGATATCGGTCTGGAGAGAGGAGGATAACTCAATCTTAGCCTTTTCAGCGGCCTCACGGATTCGCTGGATGGCCATTCGGTCGTTGGATAGGTCAATGCCGGAGTCGGCCTTGAATTGCTGGACGAGGTGGCGGACTAGGCGGATATCGAAGTCCTCTCCACCCAAGTGGGTGTCACCGTTCGTCGACTTAACTTCGAACACACCGTTCTGGATCTCCAAGACGGAGATATCGAAGGTACCACCACCAAGATCGTAGACAGCGACAACTCGGTCGGCTTCCTTCTCCAGACCATAGGCCAGCGCAGCGGCGGTAGGTTCGTTGACAACACGTAGGACGTTGAGACCAGAAATCTGACCGGCATCCTTGGTTGCTTGACGTTGAGAGTCGTTGAAATAAGCAGGGACGGTAACGACAGCATTCTTAACTGGCTTGCTTAGGTAGGATTCAGCAGTCTCCTTCATCTTGTTCAGAACGAAGCCACCAATCTGCGAGGGCGAGTACTTCTGTCCTCGAGCCTCTACCCAGGCATCGCCATTGGAGTGTTGGACGATCTTGTAAGGGACCTCCTTGATGTCCCTTTGGACCTCGGGATCAGTGAACTTTCGTCCGATTAATCGCTTGGTGGCAAAGAGAGTGTTCTCAGGGTTGACGACAGCCTGTCGCTTTGCGGCAACACCGACTAATCGCTCACCATCTTGCGCGAAAGCAACAACAGATGGTGTTGTTCGAGCACCTGCACGTTGCCGATTAATATTTCGTCATAGACATATAGATGTGCGCCAGCGACATTATCTTACCTTCCGAGTTCTCAATGATTCTGGGCACCTTTCCTTCCATTATTGCGACAGCCGAGTTGGTGGTACCTAAGAGGAAATATTAGCATATGGCCCGAAAAAAAGTGGTGACAGTAGCATCGGCAAACTTACCAAGATCAATACCGATGACGGCACCTTGGACCTTTCCCTCAGTCGACTCATATCGAGCGAAGCTGGCCCCTAAGGGTTTTCGTAAAGGCGCAGCCCATCGCGCAGCTGTGGGAGTTGCTCGAGGAAGCTATTAAATCAATCCAATGTTAGCCATGCGCGGGGGCACAAAATATTTTTGAATTTCGGAGGACCGGGTTTAAAAACTCACAGCTCTGGAGAATGATCGGGCGGCCAACATATTGAAGGCTGGAGAATGAAAGGCGCAAATGATAGTGACGTTAGGAAGGATTGGAATGGAAGAGGAAAGAGAAGTTCTGGTCTAATGTACAGGTGACCCGACGACGTTTTTATTATGTATGGAGGGGAATGGAAGAGGCAAAAAATTTGGCGGGATGGATACCATAAAATTTCTGCGGCGACGTAGAAGAGAGCAGATTTCTTCTCAAAGCTTCCCGAAGGGCGGTCAAATTCGGCAATATCGGGGCCAATGATATCTCGGTATTCCATACCTAACTGGTCTAAGTACCTCTGAAAAATTCAAGAAGTGGCGGCCATCCCACTTTCTCTACGCTAACTTCTTTCTGCGCTAACCTCTTCCGCGCTTACTTCTTCTAACAGACCAGGTACCTCGGTATGTACCTCCGGACGGGCAGCGGGCATGACGGAGTGATGGAGCCGCGCTTAGATAATATTCTAGTTCTAGAATTTTTAAGTTGACCTTTTTGAGACCTTCAATTGGTAGGCCATTCCAGATGTAGTAGGTTACCTACCGATGTCTAAGTTCTTGCACAGTCATCACTAGCAATGAACGGCTGCGTCTCATATGCTGTAGGTCCCAGATGATTTTTTTATTAATGTTTGCAACACGCATATAACACATGTCAGGAATAGTTTATATTTTTATATTATCATGAACAGCTATGCTTAGAAATGCAAAGGATATTCAGATTCGTATCTTATGATGTAAGGTTGTTTGAAAACCCCAGTGCCGCGGAGTTTACCAGGTAGACGATACCTAAACGATACTCCCGCTCCTGGTATCCGGATAATTAGGTTGTTCCAAGTTCCAAATGGCATCACTGCAAGGTCTAGTGAGGTATTACCTTAGCTTTGACTAAAACGGAAATCATGGAACGTTCCCTCTTACTTTAACGATAACGGGCGTACCTTGCGTGGGTATATAGAGTTGCACAGCGCTTTCTACTGTTCAAAATCTTTAATTGTTAAAGGGAAAGTCACCCGTTCATACCTCTCCCATACATACACTACTCACATTAACAGATGTAGTGGGTACTTTGTGTCGTATCCAGTGTATCGTACTTACCGTTAAGGTGGGTGCGCCTGGGCAGGGTTGTTGGTGGTTGCCCCGTACCCAGAGTCCCAGACAGGCAGAGTTGATTGTCGGCCGTTGCTGTTGCTGCTGCTGCTACTAATGCTACGGCTACTGCTGAGAATCTGAACGTCATCTGAGGAGCCTTCCACCTTCCTAGAGGGAACCTTTTGACCTTTGTCCTTCATTGTCTCGTGAACACAAAAAATAATTTCATTCTACCCGTCGCCATTTAACCTTACCTCATAACGACTAACCGTCCCGCATCCGTGATTTTCCTACACAGCAAATTAACTTGCACCCCCCTACCCCGGGACGTGGATAACTTGGTGACTGATTTTTCTGCACATCGGGGCATATCTACCATTCCGTCGCCGTCGCTGCGGATGTGATTGTACTTTCAACTTTTCCACCACATCCCAGTTTATCTCACCTGGGCAGTCAACCCGAACGTACTCTCCTACCACAATCCCGACTTAACGACCGAAACATCTACGATCGGCGCATCTCTCAACGTGTTACCTCACTTTTCCCCAGACGCGCTTCTAATGATCGATGCGACTTAATTGCGGTATCCAATACTCGCCATTGGCAAAATGCCTATAGACGAGGAGGCCAAGTAGGATTCCTTGATGCGCATCCAAATATTGAACCCCGCTGATTGACAATCAACCTCTAGCCTTTGGCCTACCGACAACCTACTACTTCGAGAAGGTCGCAAACACTATCGGAGCAGCGTCTCGCCAATGTAAGCCTCGCCACACCTCTGCCTACTACCATGCTACCTTATCATTTCACCTTACCCATCTAGACCTCTATAAACACCTATATTTACGTCTGTTCATCGTTTGCGCAAGCTGAACTAATCTTTCCTCCCATTTCTAGTCACTGGCAGCTTCGATCACTACTTAGTGCAGAACGACAGCACATCCTCTACTTCCCTGCCGGTGTCAACAACACGCACATCCAACGACTTGACACATCGACTCGCGAATGTGAGACTATCAAAGTAATCAGCTTCCACCCACGATGCCTTATTGCTAGTAAGGGCTGGATCTGCTGTGGTGGCGAGAGTGGAGAGTTGGTTGTTATTAGAGAATCAGGAAGCAGTGATGTCCAGGCCGACAACATTAGCAGAGACTATCGGTCGAGACTGAACTCGATGGAGAACTCTAACATGGCCGAAGGACCCATGCTTCAGCTCCAACGAGACATGCTTACAGTTGTGGAACGAATTAACGGTTCGAACAAGACTTGGTCAGCCTCAAGCTACAAGGTCGGCACTGAACGCGTCAACTGCATAACCATGTGGCACCCGCCTACAGAGAACGGTGCACCGGCGCCAGGACAGTATGACTCGCCAGTAGCCATTGTGGCTAACAACGACAAGACCATCACGATCATAGGACTCTACGAACCCGATCTACATAAGGATGTTTTAGAGTATCCTGACTGTGTCAACCGCGGCGTCATTTCTCCCGATGGATCTCTTCTCATTGCCATCTGTGACGACCCGTACCTCTATATCCACGTGCGGCAACCGTTTACTCAGCATTACCATGGAGTATCACGACAATCCTACAAGTGGAAAGAGTTACCAAGATTGCGACTTAAGGGCGAATGGGAGAAAGACACTTCGGAATGTAGGGGTAGTTTTGCGGCTTGCTTTTCCTCATCTGGAAAGTACTTGGCCGTGGGCACTCAGTATGGCACTATCTCCATTTTTGATGCTGTCGCTCTCAAGGATCCCGACTCCGAACCCTTGATTACGTACTTTAATTCTGACCGAGCTCCTGAAGAATGCGGCGCCGTGAGAGACATGGCCTTTTCGCCAGGGCCCCATGACCTTTTGGCATGGTCCGAACACCGGGGACGGATTGGCGTGGCGGATGCACGCACTAATTTCAAGCGCCGACAGATCATCCCTTTACAGAACCATCAAGGCTTCAATCACTACTCTCTTAACGACAGTAGCAGCACGATCGAACCGAGCCTACTCGTCTCGCATGGTGAAACAAATGGACGCGGTCCCGGGGGTTATGTTGCGGGAGGATCCGGTTCGCTACTCGAGCGCTGGGGACGAGCGATGGCCGATCGACCGCTACCTAACCCGGAATCTTCGAACACGGCGAGAGTCAACCAACCCTTTAGTTCGGACGAGGTTGCGGTCCTGGAAGCGTTTCAGAGTGACCGTCGCCGACGCGAAAACCGGGACCGGGATCGAAGCGAACAGGAGCAAAGGCTTGGAGAGCATAGGAGTCAGCGAGCCGCTGAGAGAAGTGCGACATGGAGACCATTGGCTTGGACAGACCGAGTAAGTCTTGAGTCCGAATCAAGACCCGTAGCCCCAGGCAATCGCCCCTCTCTCCTCGAATTTCTTCAACATGCAGATGAAGAGCCTGACGAGGAAGAGCCATCCGCTGTGCATGCAATGCTGAGGACAATGCACCAATCCCCAGAGGCAGATCATAGCTGGACTAGCCGATTTCTGCAGAACGTTCCAAGAGCTAATCCTATACAGAGCGAGGCGATGACTCGCATTATTGAGCGAGAACGAATGCGCGATCAACATCGTTCGGGTACCAGTCAAACACCGCCTGAACAAGATCTCGGAAGAGTTGCCGCTGCGGGACGAGAGCGTCGACGAAGCGCATCTATCATGCATTCGCTGGCGCAGAATATAGACAACATGTCGCAATATACGGCCAACCGAACGCAAGCTCAAGACAACGACGCGAACAACGACAGTTCGGCGACATCGCGTGAACGTGCGTCTTCCCCATGGTTTTCTGGACGACTTAGTTCCGCCTGGCCCCCTGATTCGGAGAATATAGCGATGGCGTATCTGAACGATCGCGGCACCCAAGATAACGCTCGAACCGAATCCAGCAGGCCCCGCCGAGGAATACCTGTAATCGCCGATGTGTGGTCCAACGACTCCCTCTTCACTAGGATCAGAACAGGCAGCCGTGAGCATCAGCAGAATCCGGATGATACTGCGGGTTTGGCGTGGAGCGAGGACGGGCGAACATTGTAAGTCGAATTTTCAACTCTGCGATCGAGAATGGGCTAAGCTAACAACCGATCATAGGTATGCCGCAGCTGAGGATGGTATATACGAACTTCATGTCAATATGCTGGGCAGAAGACAGTTCCCCGATCTCCAGCTTCGTTAGTTCGCATTCGTTTGTAACCTATGGTCGATACCTTTCGATGAGAACTCTTGACTCTTAACGGCGTTTGAGGAGTTTTTTATACTCACACACAAGGTGCATTAAGGGGTGGCGGCAAGGGCGTTTTTGTTTGCTTGCGTCTGCTACATTTTCCCCCGGACAGGGACGCGATGATTTATTACCCTTCCAAGGTTTGCCTCTGTTTCTCGTTTCGCAAGGGCCGGTGATACTCCCCATTTTCCAATTTTCGAAGGGGCGGGAGTTGATTTTATCCCTTCGACACGTCTGCAGTTCTCCACAAAAAAGTCGGTTCGCCATTGGAGTTTTCGAAGGGGGAGCTGAGTACTATGTAGGAAACGGGCAGAGACCAGACCAGGAGAGAGAGCAACATTGAAATTGGATGGCTCGAAAAGCCATCGACACGTCGGATTTTTTGCTGTTTTGCTGGCCGTGCATTGACTGATGCCGAATCGAATTCCCATGTACATAGCCTACATTCGACCAATAATAAGTGCAGTGACTTTTTATCATTCATGGTTTTTTTCAGGATTTTCGTCGCCATTGGCGCGCGTTCGATGGTAAGGTCAATTTGGAATGGGATGGGTTGCGCGTTCCCAATTCTTCCAATCCCATTATTCGGGGCCCCCCTATCCCGAGTCCGGGGTCGACTCCTTGCATAACGTGGATTGTGTACGGTGCCATCGCGAGGATTACATCGCATGCATCGCATTATGATGTCCTCATACATACGCAAATGCCTAGCCTTATACTACACACCCATGTCCAGATCGCGATTTTCGTTATTTGTCATGGAATATTTGGTAGACAAAACAAGGTCAGACAGACAGGCACTTCCATGATCTAGGTAAGTAATATAGGTAATCAACCTCGCACGCATTCACCCATAGATTGGAACCTACTAGGTATGTAGTCATCACTCATCCATCCAATGCTATCCCAATCCCCCATCACAGCCTTGCCGACCCTTCCACCCTAGCACTCCCAACCAGCATATCCCTCACCAACGCGCCAATCGCAAGACAGCTCGTCAACCCGGGACTCTCAATGCCCAGCAGATTAACAAAGCCCTCGTACCCGTCCTCCTTCCTGATATAAAAATCCACAAACCCGCTCCCCCCCTTATCCCCCTTATCCCCCTTCCCCTTATCCTTACCCCCATCCCCCACCGCGCCCGCAGGCCTCAGCTTCGGCCTAATCCCCGCGTAATCCGGCGCCAGAGCTTCGACATCGATACCAGGCAGATACTTCCTTATCTCCGCTATAGCAGCCGGTAACCGCGCCGCGCTCACAGCTAAGTCCGCGGGAGACGTAACCCACTCCACATCGGGCCCGAAGCGCACGCGTCCCGCCATATCGAGGGTGAGGTGCGTGCCTAGCCCGCCCGCGCCGGGCGGCGTGACGGGGTACACGAGCCGGGAGACGCGGGGCGCGGAGGCGGCGTAGCTGAAGTAGTTTCCCTTTGCGAAGTAGGCGCGGACGTGCCTTTCGGGCGGCAGGATAAGGTTGTTTATCGCGAAGGCGCCGAGGCCGGCGCTGTTGATTAGGGTGGAGGTTGTTATGCTGGATGCTTCGCCGGTGGAGGAGTCGCGGACTGTGAGGCGGTAGCCTGCGCTGCCGGGGTTGCTGCTGTTACTGTTACTGTTGGAGGAGGTAGGTGACGAGGAGCGCAGGGCCTCGATACCGACGACGTTGGAATTCACCGCCACCACACCCCCCTCATCCTCGAACAACCCGCGCAGCGCAACCATCAACGCATGCGAATCCACGATCCCCGTTTCCGGGCTCTCGAGCACGCCCGCGTGAGCACGTACCCCCGGTTCCAACCTCCGCGCCTCCTCTTTGCCCACGAACCGCGTCGGCACTACTCCTACCAATTCCCTCGCGCACGTCTCGTGGATTTGATGCAAGCTCTCCAACTGGCTCGCGTCCTGGGCCACGACCCATTTCCCCGTCTTCCGGTGCGGCACGGCGTGCGCCTTGCAGAAGGCGTATAGCTGTTCGCGGCCGGCGACGCAGAGCCGCGTTTTCAGGGAAGTAGGGCCGTAATACAGGCCCCCGTGGATGACCTCGCTGTTGCGCGAGGAGGTTTCCGTGCCGAGGTGCGGGTGGCGCTCTAGTAGGAGCGTGGTGTTGCTCGGGTTGTGGGCGGCGTTGTGGGAGGCGAGGGCTCGGGCTATGGATAGCCCGACGACGCCGCCGCCTATGATCTATGGTTGGGGGAGGTGCTGTGAGGATGTCAAGATCTGTGGGTAGGATAGTGTATATGTTGTATTGTATTGGCATATGCGTGTATGTGAAAGTCCGTATATACATAGGCGTATGAAGGCATATAGAGCTACAACCAAGGTAAAGAACACAAACTTACGACATGAGTAAAATCAGCCCTAACCGGCGCCGTGCTCGAAAATGAACGAGCCAGACATGATAAACCAGTGCTCGATTGCAATTGACGTCGAGCCGTCCTGGCAAACATCTTCGTTTGCACGAAGTTGAGAGGTTTGTGAAATTGGGGTAGGTTAGGAATATGAGCTCCGTTGTTTTAGCTATAAGCTATTGCAAGCTATAATATGCTACACGCCGTATACTACATGCGGTATAGTAAAAATGATATCATACCCCCGGGCCGGAGATATTGTCGGGCAGGGCTGGTTGCACCGCTGCTGCATTAGCGATTCTATGTACGTAATTAGAGAGAAACATCTCATTCGGCCAAAAGATGATATATATGATATCTTTATAATTATTAGTAACTTGACTTTAATTCTGTAGCTATTAGGTAGTAGTTCCTTCGACTTCCTTATCACGTGTGCGTATAACATCAATACCCCTTATTACAAACGATATTAGATATAAGAAGTCCTTGACTCCTCGCTATAGCAATCTCAATAGCAATACTACATTATAAGCTACCTAGTATATCGAATCTTGCCATCTTATATCACATCATATAGAATAAGACATTCAACCATAGTTAAACATTCGTAGTTGACGAAAACCTGTGATTTGCATCACAATTTTATCACTCTAAAAAGCAGGAGAATGTAAGGTACGCCGAGACACCGGTAAAAGGAAATCGATAATACTAAATATTCGAGGTGCATCGAGGGACAACGCCGGAAACAGTCGCCGTATGTCTGTTTCGTAAAGTCGTATCCCTCGTTCCCGATACCCTTACCAGAGCTTCCGCCAACGCCGACGTCTGACCTGAAAGAACATGAAGATTTACTCGTCCGTTTATGACGAGTTACCTAGGTAAACAACCGAACGCCTCAAGACCGTGACTAATTTTACAGACCAGCCCAGACGCCTCATTCGTCCTTGGGGGTTTCCGAGACCGCAACAGGTTGAGCTGTGCTAGCAGATGCTGCTGGGCCAGAGGAGCCTGCTGCTCCCTCTTCCTCGGATACCGAGGTTGATTGTGTGAGTTGAGAGTGGTGAGCTGGTTCCCGCGTCAGCCCCGCGTTGTTGGCATGGGCCTCACTCAGTTGACGTTCTAAATACACGTCAGCACGTCATCAATGTGTAAATACCTATGCAAATGATATATCTTACCAAGTTCCCGGATTCTGTGCCGTAGCATCTGATTCTCACGGACCAAAGACTGCGTCTCAGCCTGGTAGTAAGCACTCTCATCACGGACGCCAGACAAATGCGGTTCCCCACTCTCCCCACTGATAGATGTGGATCTCATTCTAGGAGACGGAGCACCACGACTTGGTGTTCTAGATCGACGGTGTAGAGCATCGCGGGCGATGTCGAAGGAGGAACGGGGATGTGAGAAGACGGGAGATCGAGGAACAGAAGTTGACGGGGCGGGAAATGGTGGTTGTGCAACCGGGTTCGGAAGCGTTACAGAACTAGATCTCTCCGAGGTCGGGGTCGCGTCTTCAGCGGCCACGCTCGTTGGGTTTTGTCCCTGTGCTGCTTGAAGCTGTTGTAATTGGAGTTGCTGCTGGCGAATCATTTGCAGCAGTCGGTTCTACCATGACCCATATTAGCTAACCGAAACTCGGATCGAACGATACACGTGTAGCATAGCATACCACTTGTGCCTCCTGCTCCGCCTCGAGCTCTTGATGCAATTCTCCCAGACTCGGGGCTCTATTATGGTGAGGATCGCCTCCTATGAGAAGGGGAGATGTAGCCGTAAGCTGAGGGCTGAGAGTGGCATATCCGGCACTTCCCTCCGAGACCATTTCGCCTGGGCCGGGAACGGATGGATCGTTGAGTTGCAAGTTCATCAAGACTGTGGAGCGTCGTCGGCCCATCTGGGGCGATTGGCGGTGTCGTGAAAGAGAGCTGCTCGAGGAGCCTGCAAAAGAGATGTGTATGTGAGTAGACCGTGAGTTGAAAAGTTAGGAAGTTGGGAAATGAGGTGGGAAACGAGGTGGGTAGTTAGGCACTTAGGTTGTTAAGTGGTTAGGGAAACATGGTGTTAAAAGACACGGTGTTGAGGAGGACTTACGTCTCATAGGTTCATGTTGAAGACCGGCATTCATAGTGGCGGCTGCTTGCAGAGAAGTGGATGCTGAACGAGGAGACGGTGATGCCGACTCCCCGCGGATAGCAGAGTCTCCATTACCGTTTGAGGAGGTCATTATGCGTGGACGTGCAGATGGTGAAGATGGTGGAAGTGAGTTAAGGTCAGGGGCCATGTTGACGTCTAGAGTAGATAAAGTAGGGCAAATGCTGCAGGTAAAGGTGACAAAGGAACAACCTAGGTCGTTTACCTAAGCTGCCAGCTGCCAGTCGCCAGCTAGGTACCAGCTAACCAGCGAACCAGTTACCTAAGCTGCTGTACTATCGCCTGTCAAACTTCAAGCCAAACAAGCTGTTTCGAGGCAAATCAAGGCGAATCAGGACGAATCAGATGGAGGAGTGGAGATGGTAAGGATGCGGAAGATCGATATGGAGTAACAATATGCAAGGTGGCGGTCCCGACGTCAACGGATATCGAATAAGATTTAGAGCTGGACGAGGTTTAAGAGACGATCATGGCATAAACGCCCGATCGGGGGGAATAAACGGGGGAGATGGACACCTCGTCAGCTCGCCAACCAGGCCAACTCGCGAAGGCTGAAGCCGGTTCCTTTGATGGATTTTGTTCAGGTGACAGGAAGTCGGACGATGTTGTTAGTTGTTTCTCCTACGATTTTACCTTTTTCAGAAGACTTTTAGAAGGCCGGTGATCAAACAGCCGTTGACTAGCCGGAACTTAACAGCTTGGGGAAAGAACACCTAGGCACGGAAATCACTAACATTCGTTATGCAGGTGGGCTGTGACCTTGTGGGGAATTTAGAGCTACCCTTGACGTCAGTTGATGTGGGCTAGATTTCTTTTGCTGGGAACGTGACCCCGGAATTGTACGAACTTTATGTATTGTGTGTTATCGATATACAGCTACGTATGCCAGGATTATATAATCAACCTAGGCCCACGGTATATCCAGCTCCGGTATATCGAGGCTAGTCTCCTGAGCCGCATTTATCCATCAACCCATTTTCATCAAAACCACGAGACATCATACGGATACTAGTAACTGTCTAAGCATTCAATGCCTTACGGAAGTTGTGTCGTAATTGCATCCCAGCCTCATGGCAATTCAATAATTCGATACACAGATTGTTATACGAAGTCTTACAACTCATCCCATCTCGCCTATGGGATGCTCTCCATCGCCATGTATGTCTCATTTGTCGAGATGTTGGTCACAAGGCTAACAACAACTCCACCATAGGCTTAGTAACCTAAGACCAAGACCCTTAGAGTTACGTTTAGACATGTAGGTTCCAAATGGAGGCTGAGTTCCTTATGCAAACCCTCAACTTAAGTCTCGACCCTTGCATGAGCATTGGAAGCCCCTGATATGATCGTGTTTGTATCTACATATACTCCCGTTCTATATACGTATTTTGTGTAATAGGCAACCGACTCTGCCGACATTGTTTTCCTTATACCTTCAACGTCGCTCTGCTTTCACACGAAGGCAAGAAGCTCTTGTCATGTGCTCTCGTCGTCCGCATAGTGTCACTGAGTCACTATCATGCAGGCGGCATTTACGATTTACTTTCTTTGCCACGGAATATAACCATTATCCCTCAATATTGAAGGCATTTTCCTCTGTCCTGTAATTTATGGTTCAGTCTACATCATGTCTGAGACGATATGACATCGATTTGAACTTTCCCTTTGACAAGGGTTCCAATTCTAGCTTTGTATTGACGAAACATTACTAACTTAAATGTCGCCTCCGTTCGATTTAGATGAAGCTCGATACGACGCTTTACTACTCAGTATGTAAGTTGTGATGAGTCACGCCTATATTTTCGAGTTTCAAGGGCTTGGATTATCCCCAGCTTCAAGACCCATCCCATCAATCTCCATATCGCGACGGAGTGAGGATCGGCGTTCGTCCGACTCTATCGCGAATATTCACGATACCCCTCATCGACTGCTGCAGCGAAGAAAGTTGGACCAGTTATCTTGGATGTCGATCGCAGCATGCTGGATTAGAGCTTGATCCTACAAATCCCATGATATGTTGATCTATTGATCTAGAATGTGACCTTAATTACATATGTCGTGATTACATACATACTTAAATATCGCAGCCTACCTTGACTCTGGCGCCGCTGGCGCATTATCACCAAATCTCCAAGACCGGTCGCGAGCGCCGAACTGTGCATATACACAGATCCCGAGCGCATTATCGTGATAGACTATACCTGCTTCCGCAATCCTACGAATCTAACCTTCCAATGAAATGAGCTAAATGACATCTTCCGTTCCGGGGCGGCGGCGGATGCCAATTTTCCGGGCAAAAATTGCAGGTATTTGCAGCGGAATTTAAGGCTGGTGGATGGTAACTCACGGCGGCGACAAGCCATCGCCAAGTGTATCTAAGAGACGATCCTATCTAGATCGGCACCAATGCACCGGATAGCCTAGGCATTGGCGAATAAGAGGGGCTCGGCTTCAGGCAAAGGGAGGCATCTGCCCAAAGCTGAACGGTCTGGGCTTCTGTGATGAGGATACGGTGGCAGAAAAGCCCTAATGACGCCCACACCTCGACATTGCGAAACGACTTACGAAGCAGCGGTGGTTCTCTGATGTTTTAGGATGAATCAGCGTTCGACGCTTACGAATAGATATGCTATTTTATGTAACATGATTGGCGTGGGGAGTACTACGCGGCGTCTGAAAAGAAAAGAGAAAAAAATTCTCACAGCTGCTAAACATTTTACCTAACATCTCAACCTAAGTGGGTTGAAACTTGTGGGTTTAGCAGAGACGGGAAGCGGGACGACTTGAGTTCGGCGACTATTCAAGTGGGTTTTGTTTCGGGATTTTCGACGATCGGTAAGGAGGTAGTAAGAGGATATCAAATGCGAAGACTGCTGCTGAGTGAGGTGAAGTGTGGTTCGGACATGCGTATTACCAATACTCCGCCCTTGAATGCGGTCAACTAAGGTACGGACTTAATAAGATATCGATACCTATGGACCACCCGAAAACGAAAGCGGTTCGTATTCTAAAGGGGGTTCCAGAATCTAGAACTCCCCGCGATAGTAACACAGGTCGGCGAACTCGAATCTGGGGAGGCAAAAAAGCAACTATTCACACATGTATAAGCAAGCCCCGGGACCGCGGACTGCGAACTGCTTGAAGAAAAAAAATTATGTGACCCAAGTGCAGCCTGCTCCGTCCTGATCGGCATTGCAGATAGCTGCGACCACCTGCATCCCCCCTCACGACCGGTTTTCAGGATCGCCAGCCTGTGATTCGCGATCGTTGCCGTCCCCTAATGCACATGAAGCACGGGGAGGGCGTTCAGGTACGTCAGGGCCCCCCTATTGTTTGCGGCAAGCTCTCTGGTCGCTCTGGTCTCTTAATTAAATCGGCCATTTGAACGATCGTCGACGGCTGGCACACGCGGACCCGGTGGTTCGGCTACCGCAGATGAATAGTGGCAATCCGCAGTTCCCTAACGCGTGGCGGCCCTGCTCGTCAATCCCTACCTACCCCTGTAGCGAAAGCTGGCGGGATTTGACACCCACCCCATCCCTCGCTGACTGGTCCGCGCTTTTTGCTGTGCCCCTGGGTAGGCGGAAGGGGAAAACCCTAGACCTAAGCATCTAAAATCATTTGGCGAGCCGACGGGATTATTCTTTTTAGCGAGCATTAGACAAGCCACGGGAATAATTGCGGGATGGATACTGGTAGCTGGTTGGGTACCAAGATAGACAGACGCAGAATGCCCGTTATGTGAAGGATGCTAAGGGGCTTAAAAGGGATGTTGGAAGCAGCTTTCTTGTGCATTTCCAATCTTAAGAAGTCCAAAATCCCTACGGAATGACCCGCTCGTCGTGGCGTCCTACGCACTCTGTTAGTCGTCGGATTTTAGAACACTGCAGCTCAGCTGAATTAGCATAAATAGTATAGGTCAAGGTTTCTAACCCAGCTTCCCCAGCTATCCCAGCTATCCCGACTATAAGATGAGAGCTATAAAAACATCAGCATCGTATTTTTAATATATTAATTACCTGTTGGCTTTTTCTTTTATTTGTAAATAACAACGAAGCTCGTCGTTTGTTGATTATTGGAAAATGTGATATAGGGGGGCGTGATCGTAATGTATTTTTGACGGATTGACTTACTGATTCCTACTCCCTTCCGGATCCGACGGGGAGCTCGAAAGACCAAAGCCATAACCCGACGGCACGTTCTTTAGGCGACGGAGGAGAAATTCTTGAAGCTTCGCCAATGGCTCTCGCAGCTAGGTATGTAGGTAAGTATTAAGTATGCAGAAACATGGAAGATCCCGGCTGGGCCGGCCACTACTGCAGGAACTATCAGGACGGAACCTGTCGCGACGCCGCCACACGGGGACTAAATGGGGTCGGATGTGGGAAGGGCTTGCTGTAGTTCGCTGTAGTGACTCCCTAGTTAATAAGGATAGGGTAGAAGGGCGATGTGGTAACGCGAAGGGCCTTGCATGTGTTGGGAGCGAAATGTGCAAATATTTTTCACATGTCGTCTTCCCCTCGTCCATTGGGCATCGACAATCGACAAGAAGTGAGGCTTATCAAGTAAATAGTGACCTAACCCAAGGTCCCTTAGCAGCTTGTTAGTTGTTCGACGCCGTCCGCTCGGTTCTCGATAGCGCCAGGAGTAGCGCTCAAGTGCCGGACCAACAAGACGGTCTAGACGCGAGTCTGACTTACCGCCGGTCTGGATACAATGTTCCCTACGCGGGCTCCGCAAACTCGTGGCATTGCAAGGAAATAGCTTTTCGCAGTTGCATGGCATAGCTTGTGTGTGTGAGTGGGAATTTTCAATAGCAGATACATATTGCGTAGCATACCTAGCAGACACATCGATCGAAGATGCATACGGACGGAGTACAGGAATCGTATTCTCAAATTGGGAATTGGTACGGGGACGAGAATGGGTGATGTCAGCTGAGCTGAGAAGCATCCATCATGCAATATGCAACTGTCCACTCCTGTGCTCCTGTGCTCTGTACCGCCATGGCACGGCAGACTTCAACGGTGGAGAGTTATAGTGGGTGATGGTTATTACATAGTAGCGCAGAGGCAACGTGGTCGACGATCCGCTCTACCTAAACAATCGACAATCTTAAACAATCTTAACAAACATCGTGGAGATGGGAAGATAAGTTGGAACTTTTATTATTTTCTTTCCACACTAGTCTTCCTAAGGCCCATGAGGCTGTTAGAACTCTGGCTACGGATGGATCGCCGAGGGATCACGAGCCCAATATGGCTCTTTCGCGTGCCCTATCCGGATAGAACCTGTCAAAGCGCCAGAACCCTGTTTGGGCTAATATTGGAAATTGATCAGCGTCGAAAGGACAGGGCGGCTTTGCGTCTGTAGTTCATCACATAATTAGAGGTACATACATTAGTCAGTATGGTAGGTATGTACGTGACTTGAATCGCTTTCGTTGTGTCGATAATTTATAGATAGAACTTGCTATGTAACAAAGGGGGGTTTCTTACGAATCTGCAGAGCTCTGCATAGCATCCCGAAGCACGTATTATGTGTGGTTGGACAGTCTGACACACGGCCGATGCGGGTTGCCGGGGATGCAAATAATGTATCTTGCGCATACATACCAAGCGTGGCGGATTATATTGTGGTCTATTGTGTATTGTAAGTTGTATGTAAGATCAATAGTCTTCCGAGATAGCTTCGCTACGTATTGCCAACCAGTTCTCGATGGCGATATCTACGACATCTAGGTACAATATCTTTGCATCTTGAACGATCGACACGACATCATCCGTCACCCGTCGTCGAGCGGTGATAGGTATTAGATCAATACCAACGATCAGACCTCCAATCGCCCATTCATATCATTTATATCGTTCATATCTTTCATAGTAGGTATCGGCACTTATTACTGGTAATTAGAACTAGGTAGTACCGAACATGACTCTCTACCGGAACTTCAATTGAGGGGAATGAGCCAGTGAACACGCCGTAGCTCTCGAGAATGCAACCTAGGACGAGTATCTAAGGACGAGAAGGGAAGAAAGGGAAGACGAGAACTCTTGGCATTCGCATGCGGTGACGATGCCTCCTCCGTGCTCTCCCCCGCCTTCTAACTGGACTGTCACTGTCACTGTCACTGTCAAAGCCAGCAGCACTAGGTGGTCAATGCTAGCCAGCAGCACTAGGTGGTCAATGCTAGCCAGTTAGCTGCTGGCCCGCAGCCCCCAAACAGTATTTCGCGGCTCACGAATGAGATCACATCCTGGCACGTCGATGATTCGCCATCTCAGTCAGGGGTCGAGCCGGCGCGTTTCTTCTCACAGGTCCAAAACAACACTGGAAACCCTAGGGATGCACGCAACGTGACAAACTTGCGCTGCGGAAAATTCAAGTCCAAAGTAATTGGTCTATGCCCGCAGATTGTAGACGCTTTGGACAACTTGAATCTCTTGTCGCTATCTCGTTATTACAATGCAATTCATTCCAAGGCAAGGCGGGAATTTTCGTCGGCTTCTTTCCGAATAAAGGAAATAATTTAGCAAATCTTTAAATTCTCCAAGTGGCTCAGCCCAGCTACTGCGCAGTACGCAACTGCGAACCGGCCCTTTCGATGGGTACATGTTCGGAGCGTCAGACGAACGTAAGAACGTAAGAGGTCTGGCGTTCGCGGCGGCAGTACCACGTTTGGGGTGGTTCTCCATCGCCTGCATATGAAATATCCTGTCGTGCTCCGCGCCTATCTGTGATTATTTGTATTGCGTTAGTCGATCGTATGCCAGAATTGCTAGACTTCGGCACGATCATGAACAAACTGGAGCAATTCCAATATTTCAAACTTGATGGATGAGAAAAAAAAGATTAAAAAAAAAAAAAGATGGACACTGGAGAAAGTCGTGATAATAGTGTTAGACGCCTTACGAGTTACATCAACACTACATGTAGATCAGGGGTAGGCTCGACGGAAATAACTACGTAAAACTACACAAAACAAGTATTCGACAGGTACTGTAGCAGCGTCCGCTAGTCCCACACCAAGCCGCACGGTCATGGGCCGACGCCCTGGAAGAAGATCCATGACCGGGGGGAGTCTTTCTTCTCTTCCCTTGCCGTCAAGGACATCCAAGTCCAAGAACATCCAACCCACTCACTTCGTAACTTTTTGACCAGGGGGGGTTTTCTCTCTCGCGCGAATCCTAGACCAGCCAAGGTCCCATTTCTTCCCAAATTTCTCACTCTTCGACCGTGTTCTGATGCCGGGGTTTATTCTGACTCGGGCTTGCAGGCTTGCATGTGTGTATGGATGTACATAGCATGCGAGTTATCTCTCTGACCTCTTCGTCCTGTCCCAGCCCTTCTCTTCCTCTTCTCCCTTAAGGGTCTCAGCCCGTAAGAGAATGAGACCGCAGACCAGCAGACCACGAGCTTCGATCTACTTGCATTACCTGACACTACTATTCTATCTATACGGCATTGTGCCGGTGGCTTAGACGTAGTGTCTCTTAATCCTTAATCTTGTCCTTCTAAAACGCTTGACTATCCTCCCGTCTCGTGTTAGGCTCACGATCTAGTCCTCACTTTCTTTTTGCCCAAACTCCACCACTAATAAGATCTGACGACCATTTAATACATTTAGCTTGGAGCTATATACTACTAGCCGTCGCCTGTCGTATAGTTGCGCCGGGAGTTAGGGCTGTCTACCGGATTAGAAATTCTCACAGGACCATCCTCGCCTCAAAGTTCTACAACACAGGGTTGCCTTGACTTCATGCTCATGGGCCCTAGTTACTTTCCCCTCATTAACTCGGCTGTTTTTCGACTGATGCATTGAGGCTCGCCGAATCGTTGACTTGTTGGTTACACTCTTTCCAAAGTCTCACATGCCTCTTCGGACCTTATTATTACTGCATTGGCTTTTCGTCTCCGAGTATATGTTTCTGGATGACGTACCGCAGATCTCAGATCTCGTTGCCCGCCTACTACAAAAATAATATATAGTCGAAGGCTCTTTCGGCAAACCATAATCATCATTACCTCACTAACTCCTCAACAACACTTACACGCAACACACAATACACAATGTCAGAATCAAGCACCACGAGTCCTACGAGTCCGGCTCTTGAGGCACTACAGAATCGTTCACGCGATATACGACGAGCTAGGCCTCCAGACATAACAGTTATCAAGAATGAGGCCAAGGTCCCACTACGACCTACCAAGCGTGAGTCCAGGATCGGCTTGAGGAATATATTCAGCAAATCGAAAATAGTAAAGAATGAAGGAATAGTGGAAGAAGCACCCTCGTCACGGGAGTCATCACGGCATGGTTCGAAGCGCTCGTCGTTGGCGGATATCGGTAATTGGCCTCACAGACTGCATCCTTCTCGCTCAGAGCTTTCCCTTAGCTCATCTCCGTCTTCGATAAAGTCGCCGGGGTCTACGGGGTCTATGGCGTCTTCAAGATTACGACAAAATAGCATTACTGTTAACCAAAACAAGCTCCGTCAGCAAGGGTCTCCAAAGACGAGGGATTCGATAACCGGATTTATCCCCCCGCCGCTGTTCCAGATGTATCCACAGGCAATCAAGTACGCAACACTGGCAACCTGTCTCACCCCGATAGAAGCTTTAACCCGTCTCAACGAGCTCAAGGAGAACTCACAACAGAACGATTTCTCGAGGAGTAATCTGGGGGAGGCAGAGAGGAGGAAGAAATCTAAGCATGCCCCGGAATGGACAGACAAGGTCTACGCACTCGTCACCTCGGGATACTTACTCCAATATGCGGGAGAAGGTCGATTCGATAGGCTACCCGAGAAGATCCTACACCTAACGCGGGATTCCGCTGCTTATGCCAGTGACCTCATCCCTGGAAAACACTGGGTGGTACAGGTGGCATCATCGATGGATGCTGACGGGAACCCAGCTCTGGATGCGAAATCTCTTAGATCGAAGCTCGCTCTAAGAGGAGTTGAGAAGCGACAAGTTTCTAATATGTTACTTGTGTTTGAAAACCCGGAAGGTATGGATACTTGGCTTGCTATCCTGAGAAGAGAGATTGAGTCCCTGGGCGGTAAGAAGAAGCTTTCAGAAACGGGCAAGCCCGAGATGGAGGACAGCCAAATATTGAAGAACCAAGCAAGCCAGAGGACGTTAATTGTGCGAGACCCAACGCGCTTCTCGCGCATCATCTCTCAGGACTTTTCATGGAACCAGGAGAACACACTGGCCGACCCTACAGAACAAACCGAGACTGTGGAACCCCGATCAGAGAGGACGTCGGAATCAACGTTGGATGACGGTTCAAGCTTGGTTTCATCGGATGGGCAACGGCTGGATAGTCTTCGAGACAGTGGCGGTAGCAGTGGTAGTAGCGGCAGCAGCGGCAACCGACTCTCGTTCATCTCGTCTGGACAACGGACCATCGTGTCCTCGGCAGAATCGTCGCCTACTAGTTCCCCGATTCGAGCGAGCTTCTCCAGCAATGGAGAAGATCAACTCTTCCAACTAACTCAAAAACCCTTGCCGCCCACTCCCGAAGTGAGGCCGCGTCCTAATGCTGCCGCCATCGCGATCCGGAGACAGTCGATGCAAACGATGATCCCCAGTTTCGATCCTCGCTTAGATGTCCGGGGCCGCTCGATCTCAACCCTGCCGTCCTCGCTAACATCGGTTCAAGAGGACAAGCATCAATTCGTACCTAACTTTAGCGTACCACATACTGTCGGCCGGCGGTATTCGGCTATGAATTTGACCGCCGCAGCCTCCCGTGAACATCAGCCGCAGGCGTCCGACCGAGAAGGGCCGATAAGACCAGTCCGACGAAGTCCGCCAACAAAACTCGCGATATCCCGCCCTCTTTCTATCGTCATAGATCAGCCCTCACCAAGGCCGCCATACTCACCTCTCACTCCGCCCAACCCAGCTCGCCCTTCCATACAGGCACCCGACTCGCCGTCCATGTTCGCGCCTCGGCCTAACTATGCACCAAAGCAAAGCCCGCATGAGAGGAGCGAAACGCCCGAGAGTCAGATCTTAAAACGGATGACGGAAGAAGCGAATCTTACCAGCACCAGCGTCATCGCGCCGTTCCATGAAAAACGCAATGCTCGTGCTAGTCAACAATATCAGCAACCAATGCTTCCATACTTTGACGTGGATAAATCGTTCATTGCTCGACCAGCCCGAACTCAGTCTATTGACACCATAAAGCCCCATGAAGAAATTCGTAGAGCATCATCGTCCCTCGAAATGCGGAGATCATCGATGAACTCTAACTTTGGGCATCAATCTTTTAAACATGCGCTTCTGCTAGCTGATAACCCATCTCACCACACTCACGCAAACCACCTCAATCGCCATTCATTTATGAACCATAGCCAGTATAATTTGGCCTCTATTGAGGAACCCTCCTACACCCTGGCGCCGCCTTTGATATGTATGCCCAAGCGCTCGGCGCCTTCTCTCAAGACTCTACAGCAGGAGTCGACGTCAAACCATCACTTGGGGGCGGACTTCGGCGAGAGGACTCTGATGACTAGGAGGAGTTTACCACACTTAGCCGAGGGACCCCCTCCAGCTCCTCCACCGACATGTGCACTTCCCCCGATCCCTACTAAGCGCTCTTCCAATTTACCTAGGAGTATCAGGGCGTAATACTTTTCACACTGTCCTACAAGGCACACCTTTTTTTTTTCTTTGACTTATATTTTTGACTCTATATTTTGCTTCGTGTATATCATTGTATTTTTACCTTATACCTACGGGCCCCACGATAATGATTGGCGTTTCGGTTTCTCTATGCCTATATATTAGACTCAACTTACCGGAACGGAAAGAAACAACATACAACAGGCCCTTACGGGGATGCTCTGAATTTTTTATGTTATGTAAAACGGATGACGATGTATTTTGTTTGAAGTTGGGTTGGTTGTTGGGCTGTTGAATGCTGTGAGGCGATGAAAGATGACGAAGAGATATCGACAAAAAAGATATTATGATGGATACGATAATCTGAGATGAGGGATGTTTAAACTTTTTGGAAAAACTTGGAAAATATGTCTCTTTGAAGACTCACGCCTTTTCAGCCAGCTTATTGGCGGCACTTGGACTTTTCTTCTTCATATTACCTACCTCTATGCCAAAAAACCAAGGAAGATCAATGTTGAGGGCTTAGGGATTCAAGTTATTGGGTACATCATCTAGGTGTAATATCAAAAAAAGTAAAAGTTAAATAAAGCATTATGCTATGTATGATGAAACTTAAGGGGTTGCTTCTTCATGAAGAACATGTTTTTATGTTGTTTGTGAGAAATCATTATAATTGTGCTGCTTTAAGTCAACAAATACATGCGAGGAACCTTTATGCTATGAGGCAATCATGACTTCGGTTGTATGTAGCCAAGTAGCTCTTCCCTAGGGTCAAATGCACAGACCACATAGGCGGACGTTAATTGATAGCGCGGGGCAAATCTTCTGGTACCGATAAGAAATTTGGGACCCCACACTTTGGATTAGAAACTCAAACTCAGACTTGAAATTATTATTCCAAACCGCACAAAAACCAACCGTCAGAAAGCAACTCCCACTTACATCAACACCATTCCCTCATCGACACCGTCAAAATAACCGCAATCATGGCTTCTAAGAACAGGTAATTAAGACCCGCAATTTTATTGAATCCGGTGTGGATACGTGATAGCATGGACGATGGATTTACTAACCGCCCCATCAAACAGAGACTGGGCCGACGACGACGAGGGCGACGAGGTCGCAGTAGAACTGCCTCCCCCGCAGACGATCCAGAACAAGGATGGCACCAAAACAACCATCACGTACCGGTACAACGAGAACGGCCAAAAAGTCAAGACGACGCGGCGGATCCGCCTGGTGACGCACCGCGAAGTCGTCAACCCTCGCGTAGCAGAGCGCAAGACGTGGCAGAAGTTCGGGCTGAGCGAGAAGGACGGGGCGGGCCCGCAGATGGACACGACATCCGTGGGCGAGAACATCATTTTCCGGCTGAGCACGAACTGGCGCAAGGACGTGAAGGACGAGGCGAAGGAGGGCGGCAGCGCCGCCAACGCGATGAAGGAGAAGCTGAAAGATAAGACCGTCAAGTGCCGTATCTGCAACGGCGAGCACTTCACGGCGCGTTGCCCGTACAAGGATACGATGGCGCCGGTCGGTGCCGAGGGCTCGGCCGCGGATGTCGCGGCGGGCGTCGCGGATGAGATGGCGGCTGCGCAGGGCGCGGCGGGAGCGGGGAAGAAGGGCAGTTATGTCCCGCCTGCGCTTAGGGGTGATAGGGGCGCGGCTGGGGGTGAGAGGATGGGCGGCAGCAAGTATGGCGAGCGCGATGATTTTGCTACGCTGCGTGTTACGAACGTGAGTTTTATTTTACTCTTTCCCTTCCTCAAAAATAGACATGTCCCTCTCTCTACTGTAGCTGTTGCTGACGAATGACATACAGGTCTCCGAGATGGCGGAGGAGTCGGAGCTGCGCGACATGTTCGAGCGGTTCGGCCGGGTGACGCGCGTGTTCCTGGCCAAGGACCGTGAGACGGGCCTGGCGAAGGGCTTCGCGTTCATCAGCTTCGCGGACCGCAACGACGCCGTCAAGGCCTGCAACAAGATGGACGGCTACGGCTTCAAGCACCTCATCTTGCGTGTCGAGTTTGCTAAGAAGGCTGCTTAAACTGCTTCACGATCGTTAGGATGGAATGGGGTTTATTAGTTACCTACACCAGCTACACGTCGCCGTTGTGGGTGGCGATGAAAAGGCAACGAGGGACGGATATGGCTTGAGGTTATGGGATGGCATTAAACTCGGTTCCGTTACGTGGCTATGGCATATGAATATGTGATCAGACTGCGTTTTGGGACGTAATAGATTCGGTTGCAATCTAAATCTTGTGGCTTTTCAGAGTAGGACTTCGTGAAGTGAATGTGTCTATTTCTCTACGGTAAGGTGGACCTGGTATATGGTCTACGGTCTACGGGGACTATATATCGTAGGGTATGGTCCATGGATGCTGAAAACTATACGATATTTGGGATTAAGACCTCTTCTACGATACCTCTTCGTCGTCTCACCTACTTAACCTTGAAGGGGTGGCGGAGGAGACCATAGTCCATGACAGCCCTTTTCAGAGTACCTAGCCAACCTTGGTCCTTAGGTGGTGTTCCAAGTTCACGAACCACTCATAAATTTTCCTTGTTGGCCAAAGGCAGTCTTGGAAGTATTCGACAAAGACGAAGAAGATAGAATGCCACTTTACCAGTAAGGCCATAGTCCAACCTAATGAAATTGTAGGATTGCCCTCTTTGTATTTTTATACTACACAGTTTCGTACGTGTAGATTCATCGTATTCGTTATGATTCAATCTTAAGTTAACACATGAGATTTCTTGTATGCCATTTATGCACTTATGGCATCATTATAATGGACTACCCACAGGTGTCGTGTGAGCAATAGAGAGTCCTGGAAAGAACTCCCGTGTCGGTTAGCTACGGCCTGTTGCCATATAGTATCGCTTTCCTTTTTGGGGTTACCCCTCCAGCCCCCTCGTGGCGTTTCTTTTATCAACCAGTGACATTCGCTTATCAAACAACCGAGTATCTTGCAGAGGCCTGCATTCCAGAACGTGCTGTACCTGTCCATCCACGCTTTTCTTGCATGTGACGTACCTGTAGGAATTGATCCTTCAGCCTTAAGACGACGAATAGACGACACCAATTCAAAAATTGTTTGCTACGTTATAAAGCTAAGAGCTCCAGAGAGCATCTGAAAATCGATCAGTACCACGATCATCTAAAACGAACAGGATTGAGGCAATAGTGACGTCGTAAAAGATCCCGGACATCGAACATCGAAGACCAAAGCCGTCGGCAAATGCTTCTCACGTGGAACCTTTCTTCATCCAATTGAACCTTCCCGTCCCCATCGTTCCCGTCGACCACTTTCTACTTGCATATTCGCCAAGTATTCTATTCGTTCAATTTATTCAAAATCCCAATTTCTCCTCCACAAAGTTCACCCTTCACATTTCCTTTTCCATTCTCGTTGCCCAACTCACCAAATCTACTACCTTTCTTTTTCTTTTACCGTTTCTATGGCTGCCAGTCGACGAGGTTCATTACCCAACACCGTTTAAATTCAAATTCAACGGTACCTTTCAAGGTGAACAGAGGTGTCAAGGTGCTAGCACAATGAGTGCAACCGTCGATCCCTCGGATGCTGGCGAGTTGCGCCGCAGAAAGCTAGCAACAGATGAGAATAGCGACAGCGATGAAGCCATTGAAGATGTTGTTTCATCACCAAAAAATAGAAAGACCTATGGTCGCACACCAGACGGAACAAGTAAGCTTAGACAATACCGACTAGATATATGAAATTGTGCTGTACAGCACCGTATACTAATCAATGCTTTGTATTGACAGTCTTCACCGTTCCTACTACACACGATATGGTCTCTCAGCTCCTCGACCCGAGAGAACCTAAAAACCTATCAGATGTCATTGTTCTTGCCGTTCTTGCAGGTCACATTCTAACCCTCTATCTCCTACCGGACTCTATAAAGAGCACTACATTCGCAATCATCTTTCTCTTCTGGAGAACATCTTACAACCTTGGAATCGGCATCCTTCTACGATTGCAGTCAAATGATAACAAACTTGTTGCATGGGCTAGAAACTGGAAGCTGTTCGAGAATCCGTCCAGTGGCAAGAATCCACGACCATGGCTGTATAGGCTGCTGAAGCGTGAGTTGGAGATCAAGATTCCCGATGACTACAAATTCGAGGAAGCTCCAATTGAGTACAACACCTGGCTCGTCTTTAGGCGACTTGTGGACCTCATTCTTATGTGTGACTTCGTCTCATACTGTCTGTTTGCAATTGCTTGCGGACATCGCCCTGCCGGAGAGTCTTCGCTCGTCACCGCTGCTCGATGGATTTTCGGTTGGTCAGCGATTGGATTCAATTTGTGGGTTAAGCTCGACGCCCACCGAGTTGTGAAGGATTACGCCTGGTACTGGGGTGATTTCTTCTACTTGATCGATCAAGAGTTGACATTCGATGGAGTATTCGAGATGGCGCCTCATCCTATGTATTCGATCGGGTACGCTGGATATTACGGCATCTCCGCGCTTGCGGCTAGCTATTCGGTTCTCTTCATCTCCATTGTGGCTCATGCTGCCCAGCTTGCCTTCTTAGTTCTCGTGGAGAACCCTCACATCGAGAAGACGTACGATCCCCCTACTCGTAAAAGTGAGGTGCCGTTCAGGCCTCGTATCCATAATCTACTGGGTATCAAGAACATCGACTTGTTACGAACTGTGGATTACTCTACTTTCGTAAACATGTCACTCGTCGCTCTTATGGCTTTCGCCACGCCGCAAACCCCGCTACATCAAACCCTCTTCTTCTCACTCGCACTTGTATTTCGACTCTGGTACTCTGTCGGACTAGGTATAATCCTCACACGACAGTCAAACAGTAAAGCATGGACGCGCCACTTTTTGAAGGTTGGAGAGACTCCGGAGGAGGGCTGGCGACAGTGGAAAGGATATTATCACATCACTCAAACCATGTGCTATGCCTTTTTCGCTGCTGCTTGCTGGAAGATGTACAGTGTCCCAGTTGACTGGAACTACGGGTTCGTGATGCTTCGACACGTCGTCGGTGTTAGTCTCATCGCTCTTCAAATATGGACTGCCGTAAGCATCTACGATTCTCTCGGGGAATTTGGCTGGTTTTTCGGTGATTTCTTCTTCGACCAAGAGGCAAAGCTTACCTATACCTCGATTTACCGTTTTCTGAACAACCCGGAGAGAGTACTTGGGACGGCCGGGTTATGGGGTGCGGCTATCATCACATGGAGCAGATCCATATTCGCCTTGGCATTGGTGAGCCACCTTCTCACCATCGGATTCCTTCAGTTCGTCGAAAAGCCGCACATGCAGAAGGTCTATGGCCGCGAGCTCAGGCGCGAAGCTGGCTTGACCAAGTTCATTAAGCGTTCTTTACCCCCACCTGTCGCAGAGTGGCAGTCAAGTGTGAACAAAGTCATGGATGATACGTCCCACTTTGTCGAAGATTTCCTAGATACGGCACGCCCGAAGTTAGCTGCGGGTGTCTCAACAATTGTTAGGGATACTACGGCGCTCTTCAACAAGTATCCTGCTCGTCTCACTTTGACTAAGCTTTCTCCCGATCTCGCTGGTTTCGATCCGAAACACTACTCCATGACTGTCGAGGGCGAAGCATCCGGATTCTCTGCTTTGACGGAACGAGCTAGTGGCAAGGAAGGCACTGCTGGTCAATTCCCCAATGAATTGAAGACCATGATCTTTGAATATGGCGCTCCGATCAGGGTCAAGTGGACGGCACCGGCGAACCACGGGAAGAAGGATTGGATCGGTCTGTACATGGTGGCTGATAACCGTTCTCGTGAAATCACCGAGCTCTCGTCTCTCGGACGATGGATTCCCACCGTACCTGGCCAATACCAGTCTACCACAGCTGACAAGGGTATCCTGAAGTGGGATCAACCCGTCGGAATTTCTGAAAACGGTGATGTCAACCTTGTGAGTGGCGAGATGGAATTTTCCGGAGACAAGTTGTGGTGGACTCAAGGTGTCTATGAATTCCGCTACCACCATGATGGAAACCACAACGTCATGTCGATCTCGCAACCCTTCGAGATTCATATTGGCCGCTTCGACTACAATGATGCAGAAGCGGACACATCAGTATCCATCCAGGAAGCCGTCGAATCAGCTCTTTTACCAGTGGTGCAGAACTGCCTCGACCGAGACCCGGATATTGCACCGAGCACACCAATCGAGCCGTTCGGTAGCCACGTAGAACGGCATGGCAAGTATGCTAAGAGGCTAGTCTATGCTATCCACCAGATGTTCGGTATCGAATTCACGCCTGCTGTGGTCCCCGCCGATGGCAATGTTAAGAACTTGGCCTGGAGAATTTGTAATGCAAAGCAGGTTTTGGTAAGTGATGAGACCGATTTAACTATGCGAAAATGGGATAATGGGACTAACGACTTTCTTAGGCTCCGTACAGTATGTCACGCTCTAGGGGAACATCGACACCAGATGAGGAGAAACACGAACCACTTGGCCCTTAATCGGGTATAGGGCGTATGATTCTGGAGTATAGAGTGATATTAAGTCACACACATTCTGCACATCGAACGGAGTTGAAGATTTTGGTGCGGCGTGGTTTTCGTGTTGAAGCATCAATGTTGTCTTTCCTAGTCTTCTTTTCCCGTCGAAGCATGCATGTTCTCGTTATTGTTCGTTCTGCATCTGGCATTTTGTTGAGATGCCAAAAATCAAAAACCGGCGGCTACTTTTCCAAGGCTTATAAACGTACTGAACATCACGTATATCGTGCATTTTGAGAGTTGGAGAGTTTAGAAGTCTTTGGGAAAGCTGGGTGCTACTATTACGTGGACATATGGTAGGGGTTGGCTCTGGCCTGTTTTCGACCTACGAGTGGGAGGGAAGGAAGAGACATGGGCGGAGTTGTCGGGGTTAGCTTTTTGATGGATAGGCTTGAGATGAGTTATGACGATGATGTGGATGGGATGCTGCGATCTCGAATCTTTTCGGGAGAGCTTGTTAAATACTTCGGGGTTTTGCAGGCTCAAGCTTTGATTCAAAGGCCAGATAGTAGTGCCAATGCCAATGGAAAAAATTTACTCCATTTCAAGTAAGGAATTTGATATATGTGAAGGGTTGTTTGTGGATATGGTTGGATGGTTCGTTGTCCATTATGGCTGCTGTGTTAATACTCCCTCTGAAAGTCGAACTTGCCGATCTATGTACATTGTAGTTTTAATGTGATCTCCTATAAGGAGGTGTATGTTGGAATTCTTACCTTAAGGCTCTAGGAACAAGATTATAATCGGTTTTATAAGTGAGGCATGAATGATTTGTTAGCAAGTGATCGAGACAGGTCGATGGGGAAGATGATAATTAGGTAGGTACGGTACGTTATATTGTGATATGGATATCCTACATTCTCATTTCATTGATAAAGCAGTATATGCCTAGGTAGGTAGGCACCTCAGGGTATATGAAAACTGTCAAGGCAAATATTAGATAGCATCGCATATCCTACACAGTAGGTCTCAGCCACTTACTCATCTTCACTAAGAATCACATACATAAAAAGCTTCTTATCCCAATCACAAGTACGTATATATAGAAGTATAACAGAAGATCAAGCCAGCTTTGTTTCGACTAAATAGATATACGTAGCATAGTGTTCACTAGTAGCGTTTTACTTTCAATTCAATCCAATTCAATTCGAGAACGTAGTGCTAACTCGCTCACTTCCAGCAACACACCATCACCTTCTACCGCTACCGGTGTGTCACCCCTTTCTTAGCAACCCGCCTGATTGCCCTTCCTAACCGCCCTTACAATGGACATCAACCACCTACCAACCCCCCGCAAAAAGAACTCTTACCCTCAGGACCGCAGACGCAGCTCTCACGCCAAACTAGGCGACTTCAACCCCTCCTCGATCCCCCCGACCTCAGAGCTCCCTCCCTGCGGCGGGCCCGCACTCCCGCTCGCGCTACCGCCCGCTCTCCTCGCCTTAGCGCCGGCTTTTAGCTGCTCCCACTTCTCGCGGTACCTGACGAGGTTGGCCCGCGCTTTATTGTAGCTGCGTTCCATCTCCTCCATCTGTTTTCCCATAACCGCGATCTGGTCCTCGAGCTCTCTGTTGCGTTTCGCTAGGCCCTCGTCCGCCGCTCCCGCCGCTCCTCCTCCTACACCACCACCAGCGGAAGAAGACGCAGACGTTAACGACGGCGGAACCTTTCCCCCGGCCCCGGAAAGCGGCGAGCCGGGCCGCATAAGCCTCATGCTCTCCGCGAGCCGCATCCCCGAGTTCTGGCTCATGCTCTCGAAGGCGTGCAGCCTGCGGCTCAGCTGATCCAGCATATTCTTCAGGCTCGCGTTCTCCGTGTACAGCTCCTCGATCACGGTCGCCGTCGAGCTGTTGTTATTGTTACCCCCCTTATCCGCCGCGGTCCCTCCGCCCATGCCTCTGCTGCTACTCCCCGGCCCAACATCCCTACTATCCCCATACCGCGTGCGCGCTCCACGCGCACCGCCGAACCGATGCGGCAGCGGCGCAGGCGATGTCCCGCGCCCGCGCGCGTCCGCGAAGTCGTTGTCGTCTGCATCGTTAGTAATGTCGTCGAGGCCGCCGGCACCGCCCTGGGCTTCCAAGCGTCGCTTCTCCTTGTCCGCGAAGGTGAGGATGCTCGCGTAGGACGCGGTGTGGCCGCTCGTCGGCACGACGTAGAAGGAGTCGGTGGCGGCGGACTGGCCGTCGCGGGTCACGGCCCGCAAGGCCGCTTTCGAGTACAGCTTGCTGAGGTCCGGCTCCGCCACGCCCGCGGACGAGTTGCGGATCCGGGAGGAGCGTTTTTGGGAGGGTTGTTTGGGTTGAGGTTCAGAGGGGGTAGTGGCGGGGGTGTGGGTGTGGGTGTTAGTGTTGGTATGGGAGGTGGTGGATGGAGGGGAGGAGGGGTCCTCTTCGCTGATTAGTGGGAGACCTGCGAAGGCTAGGGGCGCGGAGATCCGGTTAATGATGCTGCCGAAGGCGCTGTAGAAGCGTGAGAAGCCCTCGTCGCTGGCGGCGGTGGAGGTGGAATTCTCAGCTTGGTTCTGGGATGTGGACTGCCGAGGAGCTCGTTCTTTCTCGGGGGAGGATAGGGTGCTAGGCCTGTCGGAGTTATCGAGCATGGTTTGCATCTTGGTCCTTCCGCTTCTTCGTGACGCCGCGTCCATGTTGCCAGGAGCTTCGGTGTTAGAGATGCTCGGACTGAGTGGCTGCGAGCGGTACTTCGACCGGATACCACGAGCGGAGGCTAGGTTACTGGCAATAGAGGCACCTAGATCACGCGCTGGATACCGTGGTTGCTTCGGTAGCGTGGGTAGGGGCTGGCTACCCTTCTCGCTGGAGACTCCGGCGGCATCAGACTTCGACGATGTTGCCGGGACCGCATCCGGGATGGCCTCGTCCTTCTCGCTGACCTGGGAGTCATTTTCGGAGTTCTGCGAGGTGGGCACCTTGCCCGGAATCTGGAGCAGTTCGGAGAGGCGGCGGTGATGCTGCTCAAGCAACTTCAAGGTCCGCAGAGCCTCGACGCTGCTGGTGTTCTTAGCAGCGTTGGCGAACTCGCCGGCGGCTCGAGTGTGCTCGTTCACTGCGACAGTGGTGTCGGACGTGTGGGTTGCTATGGATGCGGCTCTCGCATGATCATGCGCCTGTGATTCGACGGGTTTAGCTGCGAGGAATAATGCATGGTCGGGTCCGGCCCCGACATTGCGGTGTGTGATCCTACCTTGATTAAGGGGGACGACTCCATGATCCCGAGCAGCCCAGTAAAGCGATCCGACGTAAAAGGCGAGGGTCGACTATTACAAAGGGGCTTAGCGGTTTAACCTCCTTGCAAGAGGAACTGCATAGGTTGCCGTTGGGTTAGTGGGAAAGTATGTGGCAGCCTTGTGTGCTGGTGGTGCTTGTATGACGATAATGGATAATGAACGATAATGAACAAGGAAGGTCTGCAATTAGAAAAGGGCCAGGGGCGTATCAACTGCGAACCCCATCCCATTACCGAAGTTCGGGTAGCGGAACTTTAAAAAGATTAGTGTGAACGAGGCGGGTGGTCGGTGGCTTCCACCCCCCCAATTCCACCAATTCCGCCCCAATTTGTCTTTATAGTTGGGACTTCCAATCTTCCTGTCTTCCAATTACCGGCCAAATATTGTGACCCATCTTTATGTGGGGTAGTATGTATATGTAGGGCTAGAATGGTTAGAAAGTGACCTATTGTAGCTGGCTAGGTATGTACCTACTTACTAGACTGACATAAGCGCCTGCCCTTTGTGTCGCACCTGGTCGCACAGTTGAAACTTCTTGGTGGGGTTGTTCGGTCTTGCTATCATCCCTTGATGTCTTTACTAGGCGAGTAGGGGAGGTACATGGCAGTTACACTATGTGGTGTGGCTGGTGAATCTTGCCATCTTACCTGCTTAGGTACTACTAAGCTAACCCTGATCGATGATTTCCAGGGGCTTTCCAGGGCTATTCTGTTTGATTTATGAAGCAATTGTCCCGTCTGGTCGATAGATTGGTTGCCTGCATTACTACTATACGAAATAAATCTACCCTTCTCGTCATTTAGCCAGATCTTCATTGCTGTCATAAATATTTGTAGCCGGGGAATAAGCATATGTGAATCGCCTCTATACGCTACGTATACGCCAATACGCAATACGCAATACAAAGAAAGACACGGACCTCTCTATAGGTAGTGTATGTCAACTTACATAATAGAGAGAGGTCGACAGCTCCAAGCTATGACGACACGACAAGATCGCATGGAAACAGGTAGTAAAAGCTAAGCTACTCACATTGGCGCATTCGAAACCACAGCGCGACACTCCCGTCACCTCGGCTTATCTATCAACATTATCGACAATATATGCGCTCAACCAATGCAGATGTTGGTGTTATGATAACGACGTCTGCGGGCCTCAATTACCTGAGAAGATTGAATCAACCTCGGAAGACGGGATTGCCTAAACTTCTAGCTGACCCCTCTAAGCTTAAGGATTCAAGATTTGGTAGCCTGCTGCTGTGTTACCCTTCGTCAGGATCAGCCATTTAAACTTATCGTTCTCTGGGGAAATATCGTCATCGCCGTCATCATTATGGACGTCGCAAACTCAAATAACTCAAACAACCCAAGTAAGGTTGGAAAGTTCAAGCTGGCCGCAAAACGATGGAAGAAACAACCTTCGAAGGAAAGTTTTGGATCGGCGGCTAGTAGCGAGGACATGCCTCGTGGTAGAAGTCCAGATAGTCGTGGTCGAGACCGTGACCATTTTCACGGCGGGTCTTTTTCTACCACGCAATCCACGCAATCTAACGAGATGGCCGAAGACGATCGCGATGGAAAGGAGGAGCCCGATCCCGAGGAGAGTCCCGAAGTCTATCATTCGGAAAAAGAAGACTTGTAAGTGTCTATTGTCTGTCATCTGTCTACTCCCTGCTGTGTTTCTTATCTGTTGGTTGGATTCATGTATATCATCATATCATGTTGACCCTATAATTCATGATACCTATCTCTCTTCCCTGCCTCTACCTGTAGTAGTAGTCATCATATTGCTCGGTAGTTAGGTAAGCCTTGAAACGAAACATTTTCCACATTTCAACTCCGCCCCTCTGTTTCGGTCGAGCTGGCCGACTTAATTCAATTCATAAGACGAGGAGCTTCACTTACACTACACTTACACTACAATGAGTTGCGCATAACTCATAAACTCATAACCGAACCAAGTTAATTGCATTCGCCTAGCGGGTGAAAACTGGAAAACTGGGCTGCGTGTAGTTTAGTTGGCTCCGCAGCCTACGAGGCCTTATTTCTAGTTCTAGTCAGCTTCCAAGTCACATCGCTTTCGTATCCGCGTTCAAATGCGCAGCACTCCAATCGGTCCACTCCGGCTCTTCTGCCTTGCTTTCCGCTCCCAAACCCATACCCATACCTCTCCTACCGGTCCAAGCTTCACCGTTTAATCATAGCACACATAGAGTTGTGTGGCGTTGCTCTTAATTGGAAGCACGGTTACCGTCTTGGTTATTCTTGGTTATTAAATCTGACATCAGACATTTAACTGCCAACAGCGACGTTATTGACCATTATCATAGGTCGTCGGTACGGCCCACCGTACCCTCAACGCATCCTTCCCAGATTGGCCAGTTGACAACGTCGTCGCCCATTATCCAAGCAGACCACCTACCAGAGGCCCAGAATTTGGACAACTTGGACCCGAACGGTCGAAACGGTCTATCACGATCAGCGACCCACGCCCCTTTTAGCATCCCCTCCAACGAATCAACTCGCCAATCATCACCTACCAAGGCCAGTCTACAGCCACCCCAGAATCCCTCTTCGAATCGGTCGAAATCGCCTTCTAGTAAGATCAGGAACGCTTTCAGGAGCAAGAGGAGCGCGAGTAACCTCCAGGCTCTGGGCAATAACGGCAGCCAGCCTGATATTACCATTGCCGATCCTGAATTGGCGAACGCGTCATCCCAAAGGTCGACCGCCGCCGGTTCGGCTTCTCGTCCGAGTACCGCATCCCAATCCGATGCAAATGGTACTACTAAGATAACACCTTCCGAACTCCCACGTCGACGTAAGAGCCCGGCGCCTATCGACACTTCCCGGCGTCCTCGTACGCCGCCGCCGTCCGACCCGAGCGCTCCCGTTATCGTTAATACCCCGCCGACACCGACCGACTCGCATCATTCACACCGCTCTCGGGGAAGCTCGTCAGCAAGCACGGGCCCTAACCCAAATGTGGTTGTGTCGCCTTCGGGTATTATGATATCGCACCGACGAACGAGATCTGGATCTGGAACTAGCATTGGCCCAAGCAAGTTGTCTAATATAACCTTGGCTCCGCTCACACCAACCCCCGAGGACGCTGTCCCACAAACCCCCGGAGGCAGCTTTTTCTCTTCTATGCTCTCTGCTGCACAAAACGCCGCCACCAGTCTTAGTACTGCCGTCACCAACACTAATATCCCAGGTGGAAATAAACCTAAATCGAACATCCCTAGAGAGACCCAGCCGGGCGACGACGACGATAAGGTGGAAGTCGAACCTTCTGTTGAACAGTCGGAAGATACCATGGGCGACAAGGAACCGGCCGTTAGGACCCTTGGTAAGGGCGATCTCAGCTTAAGCCAGCTGGGTATATCCGAACCTGGAAGTACCGCACCTACTCCGACCGCTGCGAAGTTCTCCGATTCGACGACTGACCACCGAGCACGTTCCGAGTCGGCGCCCGTGGATACCGTAAATGCTTCTGCCGAAGATGGCCGCTTTGACGATCTCGCCGTAAAGGCGCCCCAGACCACTTGGGAGACAGCAGGTACGACACCACCAACCAGTTTATACGAAGGAAAGACCGGAGGCCTACAACGGACCGGCAGCATCAGGAGTGCTCTCAGTAAAAGGCGGAAACGCGGTAGTACCGGCGGGACTGCTGGTACAGGCACTACGATCGGTGCGGCTATTGCGGCAGCTAATGCCTCTGTAGCTCACCCTTCTGCCACCGGCAGCGTTCCGAAGCTTACCGGGTTTGCTGTAGCGAGTAAGAAACGCAATCGAGATTTCCACGCCTTGTTCAAGAGTGTACCCGACGACGACTACCTTATCGAAGATTATAGTTGCGCCCTGCAACGCGAGATCCTGGCTCACGGCAGACTCTACGTTTCGGAAGGCCACCTATGTTTCAGCAGCAACATTTTCGGATGGGTAACGACCCTGGTTATGAGCTTTGACGAGATAGTGTCCGTTGAAAAGAGGAGCACGGCTTTAGTCTTCAAGAACGGTCTCATGATCACGACGCTCCATGCGAAGCACGTGTTCGCTAGTTTTGCTAGTCGAGACTCGACTTACGACTTAATCGTTAATATATGGAAACTAGGACACCCTTCCCTACAAAGCTCGTTGAATGGCGTTTCGTTGGAGGGTACAGGTGGCGATAAAACCGAGAAGGTCGAGGATGCCGATGCCGTAACCGGAAGTCAAAGTGCCACAGCATCCGAGGACGAAGAAAGCGAGGACGGAGACGACGTCTACGACGAGGACCAGGAAGACGACGACGCACCCGAGATAACACAGACGACCGAACCGAGCCCGGCCGATACGGATGGTGAGAAGGCTGGTACGAGAAAGGTATCTGGTGCGCTTGCTACTAACGGCGCGGTCGAGAAGACGGACTTCGCACCTGCGACCCCTGGCGTAACTGACTTCCCCGGACCTGCTACTCACGCACCGACAGACTGCGGGGATGCGGATACTCATTACGATATTGCTGTTGGCGATGATATTGTCGCCGCCCCGCTAGGAAAGGTGTACAATCTCCTCTTTGGACCAGCATCCGTCTCGTGGATGGGGAAGTGGTTGACCAACGAACAAAAATGCACCGACCTGCAAATGGAAGACAAGAAGGGTTTAACCCAAGATAACAAGAGCCGAAGCTTTACCTATATCAAGCCTTTATACGCTTCCATAGGGCCCAAGCAGACTAAATGTTTAGTGACCGAGACGCTAGAGAACCTGGATCTCGAGAAGAGTGTCAATGTGGTAGTTGTTACGCAGAACCCAGACGTGCCTAGTGGGAACGTATTCTGCGTTAAGACGAAATACTGCTTGTTCTGGGCCGAAAATAATGCGACTCATGTTACGATCAACGCTACAATAGAATGGAGTGGCAAGAGTTGGCTAAAAGGTAAGACCTAACAAACACATTCCCGTCGGTGACTAGACACTTACGTCAATAGGACCTATCGAAAAGGGCGCCAAAGACGGCCAGACACAGTACTGCAAAGATATCTTCGCTAGCTTAAAAGCAGCAGTTTCTTCTGGTTCTCGATCTGCCGGACTTAATGGGGCGGCAAAGGGAAAGAAGAAACGAACCAAAGGCAAGCTGCATCAAGCTTCTAAGGAAAGCCTGGGCGGCCCCTCTGCTTTAACGACGTCGAAATCCGAAGATTGGGGTCTGCTTGAGCCACTCCACGGTCTCTTGGGTCCGATTGTGGATATTATTAGACCCGTTCTTACCGGCAATGTTGTGTATGGACTACTTGTCGGGTTATTAGTAGCGACGTGGTTCGGGTTTGGGTTTAACGGCCAACCGAGAGTGACGCCGTACGGGCGTGAGCTAGGTTTTATAGGATATCCGGAACGGGCCGTCGCCTATGAGGAGATATGGAGACGTGAAGAGAGCGATCTCTGGGACTGGTTAGAAGAGAGGGTGGGCCTACATCGCATGAATGATGGAGTCGTGCCTATTCGTAAGCGGGTGATGGAACCGAGATCAGTTGAAGAGAAGTTGCGCGAGGAACGGATGAACGAGCGAGAAGTTGAGGAGGCTATAAGGGTAACAGAAGAAAAGCTGCAAGTTTTAAAATCCGTCATGGACCGGAAGAAGTCCCCCTCGAAATCCGCTGGACAAGGAAGACCGACCACTAAAGTACCAGTAACGAAGAGGTAGCGATGAGGGAAAGCAAAGGAATGCAAGGGGTGGAAAGGGAATAGGAAGAGTTTATACACCACACCACACATCGACATTACACATCGACATCACACATACAGCACACCAGAGCTGCGACAGCCTAACACATATCCCATTTGTCAGCAACCTTGGAATCAACGACGCCACGACGAAGCACTGGAGGTCTGTTTTTTTATCGTTGTAAAACTTATAGCCTGTACTGCATATCGAAAAGTATGTTATAGATATATTTTTCTTTCGGTTTCGTCTCAGTGCCCCCGGGATTACCGGGACACGGCCGAGCCAGTTACTGGGTAGCTACCTTTCTAGAATCTAGGTATCTTGTAATATAAGGGACAGAACAGATTTGCCTTGGCCATCTTGATTAATACAGTGGTATGGTGAAAGAATGATCTATCCATAGTGTGGGGAGCTATGTTCTAGTTTTACGTATTGGCATTACGTGATATTAACGATTAAACAACTCGCAGCTGCCTTATAGTTAAGGAGTTCTAACTCAAGCCACAGCATTGGAAGTTGCGACGACGTATAAAAGTGGGCCCAATTAACGCGTATCAGCTTCAAAAACGCGTCTCCCAATCGCGGGGTCCTGCTTCTAAAAACTGACAACTACACATTTCACCTAGGAGCAGTTATATTTTCTCACCTCAAATAACGAAGGTATTCTACCGAATATCAGTAAAGCAGCAATCATCCCATACTATTTTACCACCAAATAGTATCGGATACTAAAAAGAAGAAAAAGAGGAAAGACCAAACACACCGTCGCCAAAATGGACGAAGACGAAATACCCCACCAATACGACGACAGCAACCGCGCATTCCTGCAAGCCTTCATGGCGCGCGGGACGCTGACATTCGCGCAGGCGCGGCCGATACTCGCGGCGATCTTCACGGCGTCGGAGAAGATGGCGTACGCGCGGCGGCCGCGCGAGGACCCGGACAACCCCGAACCGGAGCCGACGCAGGCTAGCCAGGTGACGCGCGAGGACTTCGAGTCGTACGTGTCGGCGGCGTCGGAGGCGGCGTCGGCGTTCGACTACGAGATCCGCAGCGCGACGCACCAGGCGACGAAGGAGCGGGTGTACGCGCTGGTCAACGTGGCGGGCGACGGGCCGACGCAGATGGCGACGCTGCGGACGGCGGAGGAGGGCGCGTTCGTTAGGAGGGTTGTCGATGCCATGTTTGAGCGGTATAATACGCAGCGCATGGAGACGATTTGTTTAGACGGCATGCAGGCGAATAAGCTCAGGACGGCGCCGAGGGAGGTGGAGGAGTTCGATGGTAACGGAGAGGGAGAGAGGGAGAATGGGGATGGTGAGGGCGGAGCGACGCAGACCGTGGCTGCCACGAGGGGCCTGAAGAGCAGCGAGGTGGAGAACGTGATGCGGAGTATGGTGGACGAGGGGTGGTTCGAGCGCAGCGCCAACGGCTTCTACTCGCTGGCGCCGCGGGCGCTGATCGAGCTGCGGTCGTGGCTCGTGGACGCGTACAACGACGCGGAGGCGGCGGCGGACGAGTGGCAGCGCGTCAAGTTCTGCGAGGCGTGCCGCGAGATCGTGACGTGGGGCCAGCGGTGCGCGGACCGCGACTGCAACGCCCGGCTGCACGACGTCTGCGGGGACGCGTTCTGGCGCGTCAGGGGCGGCGGCGAGCGCACGTGTCCCAGGTGCGGCGTCCCGTGGACGGGGCGCAACTTCGTGGGCGAGCGGGCGATTACGGAGACGGAGGCTTGGAAGAAGGGCGCGCGGAGGAGCGGGAAGGGGAGGGCTAGTTTGGTGCAGAGGAATGGGGAGGAAGAGGAGGAATAATAAGACTGCTTCACTTGTCGCATTCTTGGCTGCCTATTCTACTCGGGAGTGGCAATGGGCTATGTTATGGGGCTGCTGATGCTGATTATTGCTGTTATACGATACGCCTACGCTGATTTTAAACCATGGCTCGTCGGAAAGGAAAAGAAGGCATGGAAACTAGAACAAATGGGAATGGGATATGGAAGGAAAATAAATTAGATACCCTCGGGGGTAATGTGAATAATTCCCCTGAAAATGAAAATAATGGTTTATGTGTTTATCTACGATATACTGGTTTCACCTCGCAGCTTTTACATGCACGGCTCTAATGTCTATCTAGGTATGTATTAGAGTGTAAAGATACTACCTTGAAGGAGAGATAGAGTTACGCTTGATCCTTTCTGTTTTAATCACCAAAGGATAAGGGGCTAGTTCCCAACGAGGCCTCCTATATCGTTAGCTACGACCGTAGAGTTGGAACTTCGTAGTGTACTGCGCCTCACTTATGCGTGTATGGAGGTACAAAATCTAGATTCATGAATCGAATCTTAAGCTTGTTGATCCTAGATCAGGAGCAAACGATGGGAGCTTTCGCCACAGTTAATTGTGGCTGTGCAATGACCTACGCCAAGAAATCGCAACTCGAGGCCCCTTGCTGACAGAGCGACCCCGATTCAACGATTCACCACTTCCATCTTGAAATATTGGCCAATCAATTATATTATTAGTAACAAAGGTAAAACAGGCTTGGGGGATATTAAGTTTGCGTTGTATAACCATTGGTTTCCCAATCCTTTTTCATCTCTTTCCCTCTTATCGCCCGATATTACATACAACCAACCCCGCGACTCCACGGAACCGCACATACGATACAAAGAGCCAAGATGCTCGAGTACTTCACTATCAAGAAGCTAAAGAAGCATCGGGAAGAGAAGGCCGAGAAGCAACGATTAGAAAAGGAGGAGAAAACGAAGGAGAAGGGAAAGGGGAAGGAAGTCGAGAGCGCAGCAAAATCCAGCCCTGCCATCTCGACTTCCGAATCCTCTAGCTCCCCCGATTTCGTCTTGGAGACGGCGGAGGGTATGCCTATTCTCGACAAGGAGGACGAGAAGTTTCTCGAGAGACTTACCTCTTCTTCATCAGATGCTAATGATGACGGCGACGACGACGACGAAACTCCGCCGCCTCTACCCCCGCGCGTCAAGACACCGGTGTTCGAGATAGAGAGCGATGCATCTAGCCTTGCTAGTAAGAATGAGAACAACGGTAATGCGAAAGAGGCCTCTGGCAAGGATAGCAACGGCAAGACCAAGGATAAGAAAGAAAAAGACAAGGACGGCGAGAAACCCGAGCACAAACCCAAGCGCTTCACCTTCGTCACCAACCTCTCCCGCAACATGAGCCTCAAGCGCAAGCCCGGCGGCGACAAGCACAAGCAGGACCAGCACCTCACAGTACCCGCCTCGACCACCACAACCGCCAACACTGCCAACGCCGACCCGGAGCAGGAAGCAGCGAAGGAAGAAGCCGACATGGCGCGCGTGCTCGAGGACCTAAACATCGCAGCATCAACAGACAACAAAGCCTTCTCGCTATCCAAAGAATCAGCCGAGACGCTGCGGCGCTTCACGCAGGTCCTCAAAGACCTCGTCAACGGGGTGCCGACGGCGTACCAGGACCTGGTCGGCCTAATCGAGGACCGCGACGGCGTGCTCGCGCGCTCGTACGAGAAGCTGCCCAAGTCCCTCAAGAAGCTCGTCGCGCAGCTCCCGGACAAGCTGACCTCGTCGCTGGCCCCCGAGCTCCTCGCCGTCGCGGCCGAGTCCCAGGGCCTGAAGATGGAGGAGGCGGCCGGCAAGGAAGGCGCGAAGAAGTTTTTGAGCCCGGGCAATCTGATGGAGCTTGTGACGAAGCCGGGCGCTGTGGTGGGGCTGCTGAAGGGTATCGTGAATGCGTTGAAGATGCGGTTTCCCGCGTTCATCGGCACGAATTTGCTCTGGAGTATGGCGGTTTTCTTGTTGTTGAGTGTCCTGTGGTATTGCTATAAGAGGGGCCGCGAAGTCAGGCTCGAGAAGGAGGCTAGTGAGGCGGCGGATAAGGCGGTGGGAGAGCCGGGGGTTGTGGTTGGGGAGGTTGAGGAGGCTGATAGTGGGAAGGAGGATGGGAATGGGGAGGCTAGGAAGAGTGTGCCGCTTATTGAGGCTGCGCCGAGCGGGTTGCCGTCGCAGCTACCAGGGCAGGGGCAGCAGCCGGTTATCGAGGTTTCTGCTCCGGTCGAGGTTAATGGGAAGAAGTGAGAGGGTTCATGGGGCACCTAAAACAGGACTACGAATGGTAGGGGTAGGAGGCTGAGGAAAACGAGAAAAGGGAAAAAAAGGAGGGCAAGGGAAGGGAAAGGGAGGGAAAGGTTAGGACTGATCCGACCTACAACCAATTTCCTACTCCCCATTCATGAGGTTACGAGGGTTTACGTATGACGGGACGGATTGTTGTAATATGCAGATACCCGGGTTGCTTTAGACGTTTACATGAGGACTTAGATTTTTTGTTATGCTGCGTTTATGTTTAACGTCGGTCATGATTTAGATTCTTTTCTGAGTGGCTTGCTAGGTGTGACAAATATCTAAGAGGATCCGAGATATTCGATATGGTCTGGGTGAAGGCTGGAATTAATAGGTGAGTGAGCGATACTAGGTAGTCAATGGAGTTCGACATGATTATTATGAAATATGAATAAAACTTTCAGAACTTGTGTTTAGTTTGAGCTTGTGGGTTCGATTATCCGAATAGGGGCTATTTGACTTGCAAACAAACCTCATACCTACGCTATCACCTAACTTATGCGAAGGAAGGGTTTAACAGAGTATTAGCTATGATAGTATTGCCTTAGGTAAGCGTGTTAATGATACTATAAGACGGATCTAAAGCTCAATCTTTTGAGCCTTAGGGGATTTATTTACCATGACTAAAGACCTCCTCGGAAGCATTGATATCAACGCAGCGAGTCAAAAGCAAAACATCACATTTCATATCAACAAGAAAATATGCAGCAATTATCTCATTGACTTCTAGACTTGCTACATAGCCAGCCTAGCTCATATTTCAACCTGATCTTCGTTCCCTAGCTCGCCTGAACTACACGCACATCTCGACCCTCAGCCCTCATATGAAGCCAAGCCAAACCAGATCAAATCAACAGCCCCCCAAACCCCATGAAGTCGCAAACTACTACCCTGGTCTACTCCTCAGGCTCCGCCGTCTCTCCTTCCCCTTCTCCATCTCCGCCTCCCTTTCCTTCTGTTTTTGCTTTGCCTTTTCCTTTGCCTTCTCTTTCTCTTTCTCCTTCTCCTTCACCTTCCTAGATCTCAGACTCTGAACCCTGCTCGGCAAGGGTTTCTCAGGCTCAGGCTCAGGCTCAGGCTCAGGCTCAGGCTCAGGCTCAGGATCGAGTTCGGGTACAGGCTCAGGCTCAGGCTTAACCTCCTTCTCCGCTTCCTTCTCACACTCGCTCTCCACGTCCACGTTTATCTGCTCTTTCATCTCCACATCTTCGTCCTTGTTCTTAGCAGTGGCGGTAGCACTAGCAGCACTAGTACCGGCCGGGCTCGCAGCTCCGCCGGAGGATAATCTCGCAGCCTCAGACCCTGACGGACCCTAGTCGTCTTGCACGAGCTCCTTGATCTCCTCCCTGGCGGGCGCGATCCCGGCCGTCGTCTCCGCCTTCGCGTCTCCTCCTCCCGTACGATCGATGATGCGCGCGCCGTCGCGCATCCAGAAGTCGATCTCGTCGACTATGTCTGCTACCACATCTTCCACGATCTGCTCGTCGTATCGTTCCGCCACCGGACGGACCTTATCCTTATTGCTGTTACCGGTATTAGTTGCGGTGGTGGCAACTTTAACCGTATCAACGTCGACCATTTCAACGTCGCCATCGCCGTCGGGGTCGGAGGACTCGACGTTTGAGTTGGCATTAAGATAGTCCGGAGGAGGGTACCAGAAATCCGGGCCAAAATTAACCTCGGCGGCGCCGCCTCGGAACACGCTGATGGCAGGGTAGTATCCTGCCATACCATCATCCATACCCTCCCTTGCGCCCACTTGTACTTGGGGTTTTGAAGCTGGTGGGAGGAAGGCGAGAAGGTCGGTAAATGGGGTGCCCATCAGTACGCCGTTCTTATAGACCTTAATACAGGACTTGGGCAGCGTGCGCAAGGCCGGCACCTGGTGGTTTGGGTTTGGACGATCGGCCGGTCTGCTGCCTATCGTGCCGGATGGGCCAGCAGGGGAGGGGTTCATAAGGTCCTCAAGCTCCTTAGTCGTGTGGTAGTCAATCTTCTCGAGGTAGATGTGCTGCTTGAAGCGGATCGGTATTCTGTCCCGAACAATGTTGGCGGCTTCCGCAGTGGGTTCTTCGTCGTCCAGTGAGTCCACGGCAGGGTTATAATGGCCCTGGACGACCTTTCTGTGCAATTGCTCCGACGGTAGTTGGATCTCGAGTCCGACCACGTCGCCTTCCTTGATCTCTTCGCCGGGTGGGAAGAAATCCTTAGGTCGTGACATGTGTACCTTCTGGCCCTGCACATCGCGAATACCGTAACTGTACGCATCATAACCAACCGGCGCGTCTAACGAGGCTTCACGTCTAGCGAATCCTAGACGTACGTGACCGTGCGATTCGACACTTCCATCTGGGTTGCTCTTAGTAGTACCTCTAGTAATCTTGCATTCCCAATACCATCGACCTTGGCGAATGGCAACATTGGCTCTTGCCGTTCTAAAACCTTTGTCTGTCGTTATGTGTCGGCCCAATTGGTCCATATACATATGCGTGGCGGCATCTTCGAAGCTGATATGGGCACCGTATGGTTCGGGCTCGGTCTGTCGATAGTAAAAGGAGGAAGGGAAGGCAGGGTCGGCTATGCAGTGTAGGTAGTGATAACTCTTCTTGTTGTAGACACTGGATAAACATTAGCAAAGGGCCGCGATTGTATCATCATAAATGCGACTCACTGTTCCGATGTTTCGTAGAACTGGATGGTAGATCCGTCCGGGGCAGGGACTTCGTGATGGGGAGTAAATATTGGACCTCGTGCTGTTTCGAAATCAGACGGCTTCGGGGGTGCTAGCTTGTAGCGCAGAGGCGAAGACTCGTTCGGAGGTAGCTGAAGCTCTTTGATCTTCGGGTCGGGCGTTGCTCTAGAGCTATCTGCACCAGCTCCACCTTTGGATTCTCGTTTTTTTATGCTCTCCTTTTTGTTCCTTGCGGGTTTCTCGCGCGCCATGACTGCTACGTCGTCATGCGACTGAGATTTACTGGGTTTTACATCTGGGTTTGGGTTGAGTGGTGAAGAGACGGGGGGCGCGTGGTCGTCTTCGAGAGGTCGTTTCTGGGGAACGGATACGGGTAGAACAGGTACTGGGACTGGGGTGATTTGTCGCTTTGGTAGATCCACATCGGTCGCCATAGTTATTGACTAGGTAATTAGGTACTAAGTAGTTTCAATGAATAAAGAGAATAAAATTTCGATGACTCAATTCGTCAGTCACCTAGGTACACTAAATTTTCGATAGTAAAGTTTTACATGCGACAACGTCGAGAAGTGGTGATGGTAAGAAAATCGGTAATTGGAGCTATTGGAGTTTGGTTTGTTTTATTTTCTTATGGAAGGTCGCTAAAGTCACTAAACAACCTTGCTGAGGCTCTGTAACCTACTAATTGACTTTAAGGTTAGGAAGATCTGATATTTCCGATCCTACCTTAGCGTTTCAATGTACCTTCCTAGTACCGACTTTTTGGACGTGGTTTCCGGCGGCTTTCTAGCCTGTGCGCCAATGTGAGGAAGGACAACGATATGAGCAAGAACGATGTTCATAGAAATATATTTACCAAGCACCTCTTAAGCTGCAGAATTATATTCACATCACTGCAGCATTGTAAAGAATATGAGACCTTTAGATGCATTAGATACGATGCGCCAATATCATGAAGAATATTGACATAATGAATGTATAGTTGGCATAAAAGGTAATAACTTCTAAAATATTAACAAGTAAAGATGATTGGTCTTGATTTAGGAAAATGCATCATCTAAATCACAGATGAGTAGTAGTAATTGGAACACCAAAAAGTATCAATTGATATAGTTGACGATAAAGGTACTGAAATCATCAAGAACAAAAAGGAGCGACCACCACGGGACTCGAACCCGCAACCTCAGTCTATCACTGCCTATTACAAGGGATAAACCCATTATAGTAGGAGGACCGCGCGCTACCATTGCGCCAAGCAGTCATGCGCCAGGCGGCTTGTTGGACAATGGGCCAGTCATCCGGCCTCGATGATGAATTTTCGCGGCGCTATTAGGTCTTATATTGAAAGAAATCACGCCTAGCGTCTTGCTACTGTGCGGGGCAGAGGGCTTGGTATGTACACATGTAAGGAATGTGGACATGCTTGGTTTAGTTGTTGAAAGACAGTAAAGAGCTCTGGGCTATCAAAGTTTGTAATTGGCCTGAGTAGCGCTACATGCCGAATTAAATGCTACTAGGTAAGCGCCTAGCGTTGGAGTAAAAGTGCGGAAAATATTAGGGAAAGGGGGAGTTGAATGATTATGATTCCGTTTTGTATGAATACGCAGAGGTGATATCTATCAAGTCTGGGGCTCAAGTGTAGTATAAGACTGGTTTCCTTGAATGTCCAGTCTTCAATTCCTATTTTTGATAGCAAATTCAGAATTTTCAAGTGAAAATAGTGAGATTTTCACTTAACTCCTGATTTCCATATCCTCCCCGGCGTGTCCGGAATGCAACTTGAAATAACTATGCAGTCTCTGGCTTACCTGCGACGGCAGAGACCACATCTTAACTGATTTCACCGAGAAATCATTTCCATCCCTCAATTGACATTAACCAAGGCTAATTTGTCCCCTCGAAAGATTGCTTCGTGTGTCGAGGAGAAACAAGCTTACGTGCCGCCGGATGTAGAGGATGGTTGGATTCCAGCTTAATCCACTTCATTTTGACTCTCATCCGACTCTTCTTGATCCTTCAAGCGCCTTGGTTCTGTCATATTTAAAACGCACGAGGCCATAGCATAGTCTCCATCATGACTTATGCTAATGCGCGCATATTCGTCCTCGTAGACACCCCCGCCTCTGATGATGGCGATCGGTGGTCCCCAGTTGGTGTACATGGGTTTGTTTCCCAGTACCAAAGATGATTGCCATTTATCGTTGCCAGGTTTGCTTTCCTCTTCCTCCTCCACATCCACATCCACATCTTCTTCCTGGCTGAGAAGCTCTGCGGCTCCTGCCTCCTCAAATATCTGCGGTTCATACTTTACTTCCACATCTTGGAAATTAATTCTCCGGACGGTGTACGCCTTCCTAACCGCTTCCTTCGCTGCCCACCTAATATAAAAAGTAAGTTGTCTCGTTCAGGCCAGCTGTTGTGGGTTATTGCACCAACCTGCCAGCCACGTACTGGGCTGCCTTTTCCATCTTTCTCATCATCGACCGAGACACCCTAACTTCTTCCCTACCTTTGTCGTATTGCCGACTATACTTCAAGGGATTCGTTAAGACACCTCGCCTGGAGGCCATGGCGCTCAGAATTGCCTTGCCCCTTTCGACATTCAATTCATCTTCGGTGAGAACGCGACGAACAAATTTAGGGCCAGCGTCACTAGTGAGGATAGTCAAGATCCTAGATATTTGACAAATATCATTGCCGACGCTAAGGGTTGGGACTCTAGGAACCGCCATGACAAAAGGAAAAGGATTTGTAACTGAATCGTGAATAAAACCCGGGGTTGGTAAATATCGGGTTTTCAGTGTTGAAATTTTTAAGTGAATTATAAATTTTAAGTGATGCTGCGTCCAGGCTCCGGTACCTGGTCTTATCGTTATCACCCCACATGACGCACCTACAGCAACTAGCTGGGTTCTTAGGTACATGAATTGTCAAGGCTTGCTAAATTTACTATTAAGACTGAACACTACAAATTGTTGATTTAACCATGATACCTTGCTCCTTTCCATGCCTATCAGCCTACCGACGCCGTCATACTGGCCAAGCTATGAAGGACATCTCCAATGACAGTGTATTGCTTGGCATCACACTTCGCCGGTACCTCTCTCACCCATTAACCCATTAGTAAGGGTTACTGGTATGTAGCCTCCGTACAACACTACTAATTCTCACCAAGGAGCGGAGCTCGCTCAGTATCACCCGCTCGAGCTCTCGCAAACTTGATATCTCTGCCTGTTGCCGCGGGCACAGCAACTACGAGAGTAGCCACGAAGAGAACGGCCATGATGACAAAGGCAAAGATCCATTGAAACGCAACGACCTGTCGCAAGAATTGGGACACGCCGATAGCCGCCGATAGAACGCTAAGGTTAAATCCCATGGTGTAATCCTGCAGACGTTAGACCTATATACAAATATAGGCATAATAGATAATGTTGCTTGCTTACCTTGTACACGACAATGAAAAACAGACCGTATACTAGGATCGACCAGATGAAGATGTTACCGAATATACGGGCGACAAGCGTGTCGGGATGAGGCACCATGATAGCCCCATTCCAGTATATCGCAATAAAAGTCCACGCCAACGGCCCAGACACGACAGGCGTATGGATGAATCGTGCGTAACCAGGATGACGGAAATACAGCGAGCTCAAGTTGAAGAAGTTGAGAATGATGAACAGCTCTGCCCAACCGAAATAGGAGCGTACGAATAGCATGACAAAAGCGAAGTGGAATAAATTGTTCACGATAAAGTGACTGCCCACCGAGCAAGCTGCGTTCACGTGTTCGACGGTTCCGGAGAATAGGTGGGCGATGTATCCTCCCTGGAGAACGAAAAGAACGATCCTAATTGGGTGAAATATAGATGTAAGTAAACATCTCGCGATGCATTGCTCGATTTATTCTTACCAGTAGATGCTAGCGATGATGGAATTCAGTCGGAACGCCGTGTGAAACTTATCGTTCTGATGCCATATCTTCCGACGAGGCCAGACACCATCGTGCGGTTTCTCGAAGGTATAGTAGATTGAGATAATGATAGACAACAGCCAGGTCACTGTTGTCAATACCTTGTCTGCAATTTATTAATATTATGTTTATAGACCTTAAGTGGAAAGTGAGAGTCGAGAGTTCGCCAAAATATAAGAGGTTAACGACATACTATCACATTGTTAGCTACTTTCGTTTAACAGGTCGAGACTCGAATTCTCGAGATTGGGAGACCATCGCATACCAAGTAATGACCGTATTCTTGCTATGTGAATCGCGCTTCGCGAATGGGTTCACTATTCGGATAATTAGCGCCAACACCGTCGTATCCAGAACTCGAACATACGATGATGAAGTCGCTCCATTGTTGCTGTAATTCCTTCGTAACTGACTTGTATCAGGCCTATTAGGGTTTTCAAGATGTATCCGAGCCCTCTGAACTAAATTCCCGAAATGATTCTGAAGGTCTAAACCACAACACAACGCAAAATCGTATAAAAGGAGAGACAAAAAAGAATTTAAACAGGGGACCCAATTGAATTTTAAACGTTCGACCGGTCGATACACAAAGTGAACACCGGCCTCTGCCCACCCAACCAAGACCTGGGCCTAGTACCTTAGGGACTTCGATGACGATGGCGGGGACCTCTTTGTAGCATGAATGTGCGGGGGAAGCTTTACATGGGGCGATTGACGGGTGACGTTTAGAGGTACTGGTACCTGAGGCGAGGAATGCTAGGAGGAAACTTATTTGGCAGCTTCGGTTCCTACATGCACACATACATCCTTACACAAACAGTGTTCTGTCTGTCCGTCTCTCATCCTCACCGAGAACATGACTGTAGCACCGAAGCAGGATTTGCCCGCACCACGAGCATGAAACGCGGAGTAAAAAGGGAGAATGGACCTATGAGAATCATTCTTGACGCACGGCACCGTTACACTACTGACGAATCACCGCTTTTGAGAGAGTCATAGCATTGGCGGCGAAGTAAGAGGATGGGCTGGTACGAGCCTGCGTTTCGGTTCGAGATTGGTTCATTACCAGTTCGTCTTAGGTAAGTACCACCGCATAGCAGGTGCCAGGTAGTAGTTTTGGCAGTTAAGTGTCAGGGATGGCGCGTAACATCCAAACTCTCAATTGCTAAGGGAGAATTGTAAAGTCTATGACGCTGCATGACTGCACGTACGGATTACGAGATATAGACGTAATGCCGCGTCTGACCGGACCCGGACGGCTGTTAGCTCTCCAGACGATCGAGATTAGGTCCGTCAGGGGGCCTGGGGGCTTTCGCAAGACCCATAATTAGCCATGCCGCGGCTGGATGGGGTAAGTTGTAAGTCCTGTAAGTCTGAAGCTAGACAAGTAGGGAGAATTCAATGCCTTCGATTTGTCTTTAAATGGTATTTTCTAATTGGTACACAATAGATGGTATAAGAAACATCACGTTGGAAAGATGCAATTTTATATCTGCTGACTTGGTAGTGGCATGGTAAAATTTCAGACAATTAAGTAGGACAACGAAAATTGAAGAGTTACGGCAAGTTCCTCGACAAAGGGGAGCTTTTAGTCCGGCTTGTATGTCTACTTCTTGTAAGTTGGAAGTTGGAGCTGCGGAAGACGTAAGATATTTGATCCTGCGTGTACGACACGAGCAGGCAACTATTTAAAAAGAACGCTTGGAGATCTCCAATTTGTAAAATTCTCTGAACTGCGGTGTGAGGCTCGTCAGATATCGCATTGAGTCAAGCTTTCGTCGTCATCAGATCCTGCCTACTAGGTAAAGGTACCTTTCTAACTACGGTAATGGTCGCTATTATAGGCCTCGTTCTATCAAGAGATCTTCTACCCTACCATAAAATTTCCGACGTATCCTCTGGCTATCTTACACATTATGGGGCATTAACGCCATGTCTCGGAAGATGGGTTGCGAAAATTGCATTTCTCTCACCAACCTTGAACCAAAGATCCCTTCACAGATCATTGGAATAGTTACACGAATCTCGACCTACCTTCTACTATCTATATATCACATCCATGTTTAATAACACTTCTTCAACCTGTCCGGTGTATCACGACCTTCGGTTTCTATAACATCATGAAGGCCCTGGGCTACTCTAGTCTTGCTCAGTAGGTAGGGAAAGACATGAGGTATGGAACTTAGATAAACATACAGTGACGTTCACAATTCGCGCGTCGTATAGTAATATACGGACAGGGTAATCAATGCTATCTCACCCCATTGTTGAGTCTATTCCTGAATACATTATGTTCGGAGTCTGATGTAATAGGATATTCAGGAACTGAAAGCCTGGGAATCATCGATGACGAGGTCACTATCACCACACCGAACGCTTCTAGCCAACTGTCTTCTATTTACACAGACTTCTCATTTTATATATGCCTCCAGACTTACCCCTATGCTGTCCGAGATAAATTAGTACGGCTCTCAGTCGAAGACCCAATGTTGTCCGGCTTCGATAGCCTCAAGTAATGACCGAAGTGAAATATTCGCACATTGAAACACCTGCTCAATAAACTTCGGTAGAGAAGTTGGAGTCTTACAATCGCTCCGAGGCCCGAGCCTATATTCATCGGCATTCGATTGATATTATAATTACTACAACTACGGCGCCGGGCGGTTTTACGTATTAGTTACCCGGCTCCGGTTTAGGTCCGGTACGCATACGGGTGATATGCCGGGTCATTTAACCGGATCTACGGTCCCAGCCATCTATGATACGACGGGAATTAACACGGGGAAGAGGATCCGGAGCGCTACCAGGATTTGTGCAGGTTGGAGATTTAAAGCATATCTACCTTTTTGCAACAAGAATCCTTGGCTATGGTTCGAATTGACTGGCGGTGTCATGGATCCGTAAAAAACCCCTTGGTAATCTGGCAATTGTCTCATTATAGATACATAATTTGGCAAGGAACGAATAAAAATTCTAGCTCGTCGAGAGCCGAATTGACGACGACGACGAGCCTGAGCGTTGGTTTTGTATCCCTACCGATCTTGCGTGTCGGCAGTCTCCGCCACGTTCTCTTCGGTGGGCGGGGGGCATCGCAATGTCCAGCTTATTCCGGTCCGGTTCCGGGGCCTGGTACCATCCCGTCATTCTCTAGATAAGCGCACGAGGTAAGCGACGTAACCCTCTACGCCGAAGATATGGTACATGATGCAAGATGGGATGAAGAAGTAAGCTTATCTCATAGCTGTGAAAAATAGAGCTTCCGAGCTAAGTTACGAAGAAACAGAGATGCGGTATACCTAGCTAGATACGTACCTAGTATTCATATATGCACAAAACTGCTTAACCTGCTCGTAGAGTGGGGATCGTTACTTTGATTGTCAACGTCTGCAGCGTCAGAGGACACATATGCATCTCGGAAATGTCATTATATCCAATGGATCGCCGATAGAAGCGCCAAGAAGACGTGATATGAACCAAGTGCCGTTTAACTCTTAGACCTGTGAAAAAGCTAGAGCGGTACCGGCTTGTCCAGGATCTGAGCAGATATTTCGAATCTGGTTTACAAATTTCAAACACCATCAAATATCCTGGTATTGTAGTTGCGCAAATTATGACGACTCTCCATATCCCAGGATTCAATGTCTCCAATGGCTAATATCCGATGACCAGCGTCGTCAGATGTCCTCTATTTTGGCGAAATAGAACGACGACCGGTGCAAGAAACGGGGTGTTAGATAAGCCTTAAACAGGGGGGTTCCAGGCGGTCCACTGGCGGGGCTGAGGCGACAGGTCATTAGGTCTTATCGGTTAAACCCGGATTTTTTAGTACCCCTTTTTTCGGTTCGGCAACCAGAAGGTACAAGTCACTATCTCATCAGTATCTCAAAAAACGGTGGGAATTGACTCAAAAAAACAGCTTTGTTATTTTGGAATTCCTTGTCAAGGACTTGTTAGACTTGTCTTTGCAATAATTCTTCTAGAAGACTTCTTCCAAACTTCGTCCGTGCGACTAGCCCACGAGGTCGCTAAAATAAAGAAGTAGAGAAACAGGCCACGATTACGTACCACTTGTCCCTCACAGTACCGGCCCTAACCAATCACAAAGGATTGTGTTAGTTACCGGCGATTCTGTCCTCCCAATTTTCCCAACGATCGTAATGATAAGGGGAAACTGCGGGTGATTCCCCTCTCCGGCACGCCCGGTAATCGGCAGCGCACTACCTGACTACCAAGGTAGGAAAGGTGGAAAAGGTAGGAACATTTGACTGAGCAGATTGAGGTGTTCGTCCAGGTGTGCAGAGAAAAAGCGGAGTTGACACAAAGCTTGCAAAACATTGCAGACCACTGCTGACACCGCCTCTCTCTTCCCATACCCTATATATTCTCCAATAGATGATAGACCTCAGACGCTCTAGGCCATCACACCATCGGCGTTCACCTTTCATATCCAATACCATTAGATATCGAATATATTAGCAAACCTCAAAGTCGTCCTTACCAATCCGTACCATAAAAAATTCCGTCAAGATGAACCGCTTCGAACAACTCGTGAAGGACATCAAGGACGTCTTGGGGCCGTCGTCGGGATTGACGTCGGATGATGTGGATGTAGAAGACCTAACGCATATCATGGAACGATATATCTCCGATAAGAAGGAGTGGTCCATGTATGCGATGGAAGACGGTAGCTTGGGGTACACCCGAAATCTCGTCGACGAGGGTAACGGCAAAGCGAACCTGGTAAGCTTCGATGTCCCGTCTTTGATCAACACCTTTATACCAAGTGCAAGCAATACTGATCAATCCCATCAATGTAGCTTGTACTCGTCTGGACTCCTGGAAAGGGTAGCGCCATCCACGACCACGGAAATGCTCATTGCCTGATGAAGATCCTCCGCGGCGACCTCACCGAGACTCGATACGCATTTCCCAATGGCGACACCGAAAAACCAATGGAAGTAAAATCGGAGCATGTCCATAAGGAGAACGCTGTCGCCTACATGGCAGACGAGCTTGGACTGCACCAGGTGTCCAACCGAGGCAGCGACTACGCTGTCTCCCTACATCGTAGGTCTCTCAAGTGCATATCGTGCCGCACCACTTGGCTAACGTCGATAGTATACACTCCTCCCAACGTAGCAAAGAATGGCTGCTACATCTTCAACCCCAAGACGGGGGAGAGAACGCACGTGAAATGTGGTCTATACTCGTCGCATGGCAACCGAGTGCAGGCCTAGTTGACTTGTAAGCTATGACGAGACCATGATGGGATTGGTATGGAGTTTTGGGTATTTCTTCTCAGCGAGACGGTATGATGACTTTGTAATATAAGACCAGAGGAAGGTGGAAGCCCCTTTCCATGTTATTAGGTAATCATGGATATGAAGTATGGCCTTAAAAGCTTGGGAGGCAGATACATGACTTCATGTAAGCGTCGATGGAGCGGGCCGTTCATAGGGAAACCAAGCAGCTCCTTTCGATAGAAATGATGAATGAGAATGAATCCAACTTGCACTGCCATATTTCCTTGAATTTGAGCGACGGGATGAGGTGAAGTTGAAAAAAGGAAGAGAGGTTGTGCTGTTGCGGCTCGTTTCTCTAATATTAGCAGTGCTCTGTCTCGTTGAATTGGCCTAGCTCGGATTGCACCATCATGGTGTTGTCCCATTCGCCGGGTCTTGATGGTGAAATCGGCCTGTAGCCGTACAGTTCTTGCACTGTGATGGCTACTGTACGAGTTACTTGTAAGACGGCGCACAAGGAACGTACTATATTGTACATTATGTGCTATTCTCGTATAACAAAAAAGTAATACAATTATCCTAAATAAAAACTAAAATGTGTCATCGTATGATTCATATAAAAAAACTTAATTGAACAATTAAGTAGTGATTTCAGGTGAAGTTCAGTACAGCTGTAATGCTCAGTACAGCATACTGGACTTATACAGTGCACAGAATTGAGGGCGGCATTGTATAAGCGGCTGAAGCGGCTAAGTCTCGATGCAAACCCCGATAGCCGATACGAGTACCGTCCGCGGACCGCTAGCTCGTTGGCTGCTCGTTGGTCAACCAAACCGAAATAGGTAGGCGAAGGATGAGGTAACAACTCCATAATACGACATAAAGTTAATGTACGTAAAGAAATTCTGCTTGGAGATGGCTTCATCTTCTGAAAACACCAAATATTGATACTCATGTTATATCGTAAAAACTGCCCATCCAACCATTTTACAGGAGCTAGGGCCAAGGTGTAACAATGGCATCACGTGATCTCGAGATGCCGGTCGTGTCAGACTTTAATAATGACAAACGCGGATCGAAATCGAAAAACGCGTCGAATCTTAAGTGTAAACTTCCATCCTTATATTTTTGACTTTTTCCTTCCTCTCTACAACTTCCACAACTTCTACAACAATTCAATCAGCTAAGATATTCGAATCGTTCGGATTAAACGTTGAAGTTGTTCTCCGCGTACTTTCATTTACCTAGTTCAAGTCAATCATTAAAAAATCGGCTTGTTTCACTCACTTGATTCAACTGATCCACTATGCCGCCAAAGCGCCCTCCTAGGGCGCAACCCGCGGGCGAATCTCAATCCAAGGTCCCACGTTCCAACGGATCAACCTTTGCTCATTCGCCGAGTCAGATCTCAAATCCCTACACTTCACAGTATGTCTTGCCTACTGTCGACCAATCCGCCCCTCCCTCTTCTCTAGGCCATGCCATTCGACACCCACCCAGATCTTCGTGGGTTGTAGATGATGATGACGGTGATGCTCCCGAACCCAGCCAGGGTGTTGATACCTCTTCGTTTGAGCTCTACGGCACTCTGGAGAACAAGATTGTAGGCGTCAGATGGTACCAAGGTGTGGTGAACCCTGGCGAGCGGGTTCTCTGTCGTCGCGAACCTGCCAACCCTTACGATCGTAATGCCATTCGCGTTGATAATGTCATGCGAACCCAAATCGGTCACATCCCCGCCAAGGTTGCATTGAAGATTGCGCCCTACATCGACAACAATGAGATCGTTCTAGAAGGCGTTCTCACGGGCGAGAAGGGCATGTTTGACTGTCCCGTTCGGCTGTACTTTTACGGCACCAACGATCCCATGGCCCGTCTGCAATTGGAGGAAAGGTTGAAAGCTGATAAGCTCGTTAAGGCCACCCAACTCAAGCAGACTCGGCGGGATGCGGAAGCTCAAAGGAATACTGCTATGCGTCTAAGAGTCAACGCTACTACCGTAGGCTTACCGGGTGACGAGGTTGGACAGGAAGGAGACGCTCTTCGTGCTCTGTTGGCAGAGAGCGAGGCCGTCAAGCTGAGGGGTGACCTTGGTGCTGTTGACGTATTCGCGATGAACGAAGATGCTTTGTCCAAACTACCCAAGGCGCACCAGCCCCAGGCTATTCGGTCTAAACTCTTGCCATATCAGCTCCAGGTAAGGCACTTCGACATTTACTTAACATCGATTTATTGACAACCGTTATAGGGCTTAGCTTGGATGACTTCAAAGGAGAATCCGAAGCCACCCGCCCCTGGATCAAAGGATATTGTCCAGTTGTGGCAGCGTACTGACCGTGGAAATTTCGTCAATCTCGTCTCCAACCACATCACAAAGGATCCGCCGCAGTTAGCCCTGGGCGGTGTTCTTGCCGACGACATGGGTCTAGGCAAGACTCTACAGGTTATCAGTTTAATTATGTCAACTGTTAGCGAGGGCCCGACTTTGATCGTTGCCCCAGTTGGTGTCATGAGCAACTGGGAACAGCAGATCCAGCAGCACGTAAAAGAGGAGCACAAGCCCAATGTCTTCAGGTACCACAAGCCTGGTAACTACTCAACTAGCGACTTACAGAAACACGACGTCGTTATCACCACCTACGACAAGGTACGAAACGACCAGGCCAAAAACGGACCATTGTTTTCGGTCAACTGGCGACGGATTGTCCTGGACGAAGCTCATGCTATTCGCAATTATTCGACTGCCAGAGCTAAAGCTGTGTTCCAGCTGAAGGCTAAGACTCGTTGGATGTTGAGCGGTACACCGATGTAAGTGATACTATAGGCTTCTTTCCCCTCGACTTTCTATGAACCAAGACTAATTTAGTACAATTTTAGCGTCAACTCACCCAAGGACCTCCTATCGGCGTTGAAGTTCCTTCAAATCACTGGAGGTATTGAAGAAGCTGGTTTCTTCCTCCGGATGATCGACAGGCCTTTGACAAATGGCTCGAGAGACTCAGACGACAAGAGCTACAAACTTGCCTCGAAGTTGTTCCAGCTGTTGACGGCGGATCTGTGCCTTCGTCGCAGAAAGGACATGAAGTTCGTCGACTTGAAGTTGCCCCCGAAGACCGAATACATCCATCGCGTCCAGTTTCGCGATGATGAGAAGGATAAGTACAAGGCTCTCTTGTGAGTATACCAAATGGGACATTTCGAGAAAGTTGCTAACGATAGTTTATCAGATCCGAGACAACGCATATTCTAGAATTGTATCGGCAGAGAGGCCAGGTTGAAGGACCTCAGATACGATTCACGAGCGTCCTGGAGAAACTTCTTCGTCTTCGACAGATGTAAGTGATATGCGCACTATCTTGGGCGTGTCGTCCGAGTTAGATTAGACCACATTGCCGTAGCTAATTAATTCATAGGTGTTGTCATTGGACTTTGTGTGGAGGTCAGGTGAAGGACGTTTTGAGACCTCTGGAAAAAGACAAAGTCGTTGCCTTCACTCCAGAGAACCTCAATATTCTCCAACAGGCTCTTCTGACCGCCAGCAACGAAGGAGAAGAGTGCCCAATTTGTACGGATGCGCTTAGTTTGCACGATCCGATCATCACGGCCTGTAAGCACCGTTTCGGCAGAACTTGCATCCTGAAGGCGTTCGAACGGGACACCCGATGCCCCATGTGCCGTCAGCAGCTAAAGCAGGACTCCATCGTTGGCCTTGAACCGGTGGAATTCGAAGAGAAATTCGACGGAGACTCGCGAAGCTCGAAGACGGAAGCTCTGGAGAAGATTCTAAGAGCGAAGCTCAAGGATCCAAAGTCCAAGGTCGTCATCTTCTCCCAGTGGACATCGTTCCTCACCATCATTGCGAAGTTGCTGGATGAGAGCGGTTACAAGTACTGCCGCCTCGAGGGCTCGATGACCGTTGCCAAGCGTGATGAGTCGGTTGATGCCCTGACTAATGACCCCGACACGCGAATCATGCTTGCCAGTTTGGCTGCGAGCGGTGTTGGTCTGAATTTGGTGGCCGCTGATACGGTTATACTTGTGGATTCTTGTAAGTCTATTTTTATATTCTCTGCCAGTAGTATTGTTTTACTAATACCAACATAGGGTGGGCACCGGCCGTGGAGGACCAAGCAATCGACCGCGTTCATCGACTTGGCCAGACACGCGAGACGACGGTCTGGAAGCTGGTGATGGACGGTAGCGTCGAAGAGCGCGTCCTCGGCATCCAAGGTAAGAAGCGGGAGCTCGTCAACCTGGCTCTGAACGACAGGGTGCGAGAGCAGACGGAGACTAGTCGTCTCGACGACGTTTTGCAATTGCTTTCCTAATTTTGAAGGTTGAGCTCCCCCGATTTGGAGGGTTGGACTGGGTTGGACCGGTTGCTCTTTGTAAGATTTGCTGGCGAATCCAAGATGAAGACGGCGTCGATAAGAAAAGGGAAATGGAAAATGGGAAGTAATATGGAAAGGATGAGATGGAGTACATGATTGCTGCAAAGCAGGTTTGCTGTTATGGCTACTGGCTACTAAAATCGGTGTCTGGCTATACAATAGTGTGTTATAAATTGCAATGATTTTGCTAAAATGTTTCTTGAATAGTATGTAATCAGCTCTTCCATGGGACCAGATGTAGACGGTATGCCCCGCGCATCCTCCGAGATACAAGACGCCAGGATTAACCCTGCATGAGGCTGAAGGGCAATTTTCAGAGTCGGCAAGGTTCGCGAAATTAACTATGCCCTACGAGTTGTCCTATTATGACGATTTTCGATTTTTCCAAGTGTCTGCGATCACAGACGATGGCAACGTAGCATAAGTGGAAACAATCACTCGGTTCCTCTGTCGTCGCGACTTACCGCCAGGACCTCTGGTGACATGAGGGAATGCGGAGGGTGAATACGAGGTCGCCCGCATATCCCGTACCACGTATTTTGCTTCTACGTCATTCCATAGATCATACACTTGGCTATAGGCTTTTGGTATGTATAGGTAATCCGCCTAACTAACTCATCTGCGTAGCTGAGTCAGACGGCGAAACTTTAGGTTCTCTCTTACACTTAGATATACTAATGTTCAATACGTATGTGTAGTGTATAGGTAGGTTTTATACGGATATGCCCAATCCGATAATCAGCGGCTGACCGACTCACGCGTCGCGGCGGTATTGGGTAGAATGATAGAAGGATTTGTTCGGCCGAGCAGCGCGCGGGGCGGGGGAAGGTAAGCCTGGAACTTGGCAGCTCTTCAGCTCTCTATCCTAAGATCGTTTCTAGCGAAGTTTGTTGAGGATAAATAGTTAAGGCGGCGGGCTGAGCGGATGAATTGTTCCTATAGGTAGTCCCATACGAGGTTGTATCCATATAGTAGGTAAATATGTATCGCAGGGAGGTATACAGACATTTACCGGAACAGGCCGGATAGTCATGGGTTAGGGTTGCATTGGCCCGGATCCGGGGACGTATCTGCTTTTTTCTACCCCAAGTCCGTGTTCCAGCTTGTCCTGTTTTTCCCCTCTTCTTCTTTTCATCTGCCCAATTAGTTGCCGCCTCTACAAAAATAGGACCTCTAAGTCTCTTTTAGGTTCTAATAAGGCTGACCCGATCGCTTCAAGCATGGAGACGAGCTTTGATTCTATTAGGTAAGTTAGGTATAGTAGTTGTCGGAGATTGCAACATCATGTTGCCATCATTCGACTTCTTCTTTCTCAGCCTTAAATCTACCTAACAGCCGGGGTATATACACGAGCATATACGAACTGGAAAAATCAGGCCCTTTCGGTTTCCTTCCCGCTTCCCCTCTCTCTCATTCTACCTATTGCCTATTTCCTATGACCTAGGTATACCCTAGGTATACGTACGGGACATCTCCTGTCATGCATGGTCCATTTGATAAGAGAAAGACTCGAGACCTCTGCTGCGCCTCGCGAACTATCTCCTCCTAGGAACTAGCTACACTCAAAAGCTGCTCGAAAGGATCGTCGCCAAGTTGTCTCTCGCAACTTGTCGCCTTAGCATTGACGGGCTTCGAGTGCCGAAGGAGCCCGAGTTTGGCGGGTAGGACAGAGCTTTCGTAGGGCCTCGTGATGGGAATCACAGGAGCGAGGCGGCTTACATAGCTCCATACCAAGAGGGGCCCCGACAATGCCTGATTGGAGGTTCCGTGTAATACGCGAGCGTAGCATGAAGTCATGATGAACGCCCCGGTCTTAGATCTAGATCAGGTAGAGTAGAGTAGCCTACCTAAAGCTTAGATCTGGAGCGAGCGCGGCCTGATCCGTCCCCAACGTCTCGTTAGATGAGGTGTTTCTTGGGGAGTATCGTAGCATCGGAGCGCATGGGGGTAGGGATGGGGAATGCTACCTAACAACCTAGCTATGAGGTGCCTGGCATATATAAGAGGCTCAAACCGTCACCTCATCGCTATATCAGAAGACATCATCACTCACTCCAACGACATTCGCTCCGAATAGTATAACCGATATACCAAGAAATAATAATCTCTAATCAGTAATCAAGATGCTCGCCATCACCACCATCATCGCTGCTTTGGCTCTTGCCGCCAACCAGGTCTTCGCCGCGCCGACTCAGACTTCTCAGTTACTCGCGCGCCAGGGCTACACCTCTGATTGTACGATGCCCTTCTATCCTTCCCTCCCTATATCGAGGTTATAGAATTGCTAATATGAGTGATGCTGAATAGGCTCCAAGACGTACTCGGTGGCTACAGGAGATACCTGCATTGGCATCGTTGACAAACTCGGCGACACCTTCACGCTCTCCCAATTGTAAGTCATCTGCTTTTAGCCAAGCGCTTTGCCGCCCTTTCTCCTCATCCCCTATTCCTCTATCCTCCCAATGCCCTCTCAGCCCTAAACCCCCTTCCCCCCTTTTCTCGCTTCCCGCTTTCCCCATTCGACCACCACATTTTCACCACCCCATCCTTCTCCAAACCCGGAACAATATCCAGGCTAACCCGCCCAGCTACACATGGAACCCCCAAGTAGCAAGCGACTGCCACAACCTGTTCCCGGGCGAGGTAGTCTGCGTCGGCGTGACCGCGACGGCGCCGACGACGTGCCCGGCGCCCACGCAGCCCGGGATCGCCGCCAACTGCGACGCCTGCTACACCGTCGTCGAGGGCGACACGTGCTACGCCGTCACCACGGCCAAGGGCATCTCGCTCGCCAATTTCCTGGCCTGGAACCCGAGCGTGAATGCTGCGTGCACGAATCTGCAGCTTGGGTATAATTACTGCGTTGGTGTTTCGTCTTAGGTAGATAGGGAAGGGTTTGGGATGGGAAGTGGCGGGGGGTTGGATGGATGGGGGTTTAAAGGGGGAGGACTTGCCTGCCTATGGTCGACTTATTAACTCCCGAGGCACCTAGTTGGGTGCCTTTAACGTAATTAAGTATAGGCGGGAAGGGAATCGAAAAGTTCAACCTTAAGCTGCAAACAAAGATTGCTTGAAAGAACTTTCAGAATTGTGATACCTATATTGAAGCCCCTTATACCAAGTAACCAAACACAAGGATTGATAGATGGCAGTAACCTACTTCGCCCTTAGCATGTGTCTTATAACTTTATTCAAAGAGATGGGATATAGTATATGGCCTGCGCTGTCGAAGCTGTTTCCTTTTGCTCGAAGGTAGGTTCATATGGATTAGAAATAGCTATCTCATAGTAGAGAGCACATGAGCATGACCTATCGGGAGTCATGAGATTGACGTTGGTAAAAGATTCTCAATATGTTAGTCACCCATGTATTTTGATATGTTGAATAAGATCACTCAACACTTCAGTGCCTAAGTAGGCAGTGTGTCTAGTTACTTACTGAAATCGTTTTACCCCTCTTAAGAAAATCCATAAGCTTCATTTCAATGAGTTACTAAGAAACGAGAACTTATGGTTCTTGATAAACCAATGCCGTAACGACTAGACTGTGTAAATTCGTATTCGTATTCATCGGTGTTAAGGGAAAGGGGTAAATCCGATATTCACCAAGTGGGTAACGCTGGCAAACGTTGCATGTGAGGGTCCAAAGGCTCTATCCTTGACTTCTATTCGTAATAGGAGATTCCACTGAGATTTTAGTAGATTGTTTTGTACCAGAGCTTGACCATCGTATTCGTATCTCAACGGCGGCGATCTCGGCGACACGACAGTAGAGCTCTGTTAACCGGACTTTGATACAGTGAGTGACACGTCGCGAACAGACTTTGGTTTCATCTACATAGCTCATTATAGCCGTTGCCGCAGATACCTCAGCGTATGTCAAAAAACGCTGCGACTCCTATTAGTACGAGCCGAGATAGTCTGGGCTCATCTCAGCGGAGGACGTAAGGGGGACAGTCAAGTCAGTCAACTCAAAATATCAACACTCTTAGACAGGAAAACTTGAATTGAGCTACTGGCAAATATTATCTGAAATCTAATTGATTTTTAATGTGAATTAAAGAGATCTTGGATATGGGCGTCACCACTCTAGGTTACTTGGTTGACTGAAACACAATAAGCGCCATTGGCGGGCTTTTAATGAACAAGAGACAGTTTCTATATATAAAGATCCTCGGACTTCGTTGACTCGGTTGAATTACCTTTTTATTGAGATATGAATACATAATCTATCTCGGTGATAGCATGGGAAACATGTTTAATGGCAATATCCTCAACCCACAAAGTGATTTCTTCATTAAGCCACCTGGTTACTCCGAGATAAAGAAGTAATGACATAATTTCTATATCCGAGATATTAAGACTTGTCTGGACAATCTTAGATTGAACAGGACCATACAGATTGTCTCTCATCATCGGCTGAATACTGCCACGGTTGAACTCTTCGACTTGAGTCAAACGGAGTTAACGCGATGGGTGTGTTCATCTTATAAGAGATATTATGACTTGTAGACCTAAGTATCCAGAGCTATCAGGGGTATGAGACCCAAGGAGCCGCAGGGGAAACACTATCAATGACGTTATAATCTAAGCTAAGAGATCCGCAACGAGATCTAGGACCAATCCCAACTACACACACCAATGAATATTCCACAGACCCGAATACGAAATCTCGAAAGCGGCTCAAGTAGCTCACCTACCGTAAGTGGCCAATATGCGAAATTGCACTTCTGAGTCATCCTCATCTGCCATCAGTAATCCCGGCTGAGGGTAAGGCGAGATTCTCCACGGTCATCGCATCCAGCTTCTGCTGAAGTGCCGCTAGCAAGTCCTAGCTAGGTACGAATACGACGTCTAAAGCTAAAGCGAACGCTTAGAAATCTGACCGGCCAACCTTGCCCAAAGCCGCCCTTTCGGGGAGTATCCAGCGAGGCTCACGACATCCATCTCCGCAAGATGTGAAAGTTGCCAAGAGTGCTATATCCGTATAACCTCATTCTTTAAACATGGCTAGCGCCATCATGCTCTTTAGCTCTTACACGTCACTCAAGTGGGCATGATGAGAGTTCATGTCGGTAGATACCGATAAGAGCGTCTATATGTCATTAGATGGGAATTATTACCCGCCTATCCCCGGGCAAGATCGTAGACGTGTCAGCCCATCGCGACGAATGGAACTAGGAACAGGATATACCCCTTGCTGAATAATAAGATTCACTTAAATCGAACGGCCTCCGAACGGCTATCAAGGCGGGAGTCCGACGACGCTGCGGAGAAAGTTGCGGAAATTGTTGCGGAGAAAGTTATGGAGAACTTTCGGCCCACGAGGCGGTGTCGTGAAGCGGCATTGAGGTATAAAGGACGAACAAAATGTCAGAGTATCGAAAGAAGTCACTATTCAGTACTAACCCACTCACATAATCAGAAGTTCCCAAAGTATCCTTCTCGTGAGACTTATTCGCCACCAACTTTACCAACCAAACTAACGATAATTTCATATCACGATGACATCCCAGCCCGGTCTCCATCTCCGTAAGCCAACCCCTTAAGCCCAGTATGAGGTGATATCGCCTCCACCTACACACCTACCTAACCTCCCTAAGCAACGAATGAATGACTAACACCACAACCAGCCGTCACGGGAGCCTTCGCGCTCCCCTTCGCAGCATACTACATCTTCCTATCGGGACGCGTCGTACGCCAACGCCTGAAGTACGGCGTCGCGATCGGGGACCGCGTTCCCCCCCCTCCCCCAACCCCTAATTCCCCTAGCCCCACCTCTCCCCAGCCCCAATACTCCAACAAAACAACCCCCTCCGGAATCCACACAACCAACGACCCGCTGCACCTCCTAACCCGCGCGCAGCAGAACTTCGCCGAATTCGTGCCCCTCGCGCTCCTGCTCGCCGTCGTCGCCGAGCTCAACGGCGCGGGACCGGCGGAAGTGCGGGCGGCGCTGGGGACGCTGCTCGCGGCGCGCGTGCTGCATGCTGAGGCGGGGATCCTGGGGCCGGATGCCATGGGGCTTGGAAGGCCGGTGGGGTTTTATTCGACTTTGGGGGTTTTGGGGTATTTGGGGTGGCTTGGGAGTGGGTTTGGGTTTGGGGGGTGGTTGTGAGGGTTAGGGTGGTTGTGAGGGTGAGAGTGAGAGTGAGAGTGAGAGTGAATGAGGATCAGGGCATCTGTAGAAGGCGAGAGGGGAGAGATGGTGGTAAGAGGTGTTGATAGAGAGTTTGGTAAGAGGAGGTGGAGGGAAGGTCGTGAGTGCGGGTGTAAGTGGGATGAGGGAGGAGAGGAAAGGGGTTGGTATGACGGGAATGGTGAGGGAAGCCGATAATGCGGAAACCGAGAATAGGGGAGTGGTGAGAAGTGAGAAGAGGCTGGATTCCTAGATAGGCAAATACCTTTCTAGGTAGGTCTATTCTTAGTGAATAACCAGGAGAGGTGAACGGGAAGAGTTTGACCGTCGGCGTGATACTTTTGGCTAGAAAGAGTTCACGAGGTGGTGTAATTAGTGGTGGTGGTGAAGAGCAAAAATGAGAAAGCATACCATGGGACTACCCGCTTACACTAAAGAAGAGGCGTTTCGCATCCCGGGCGGAGGTCTGGTGAACCTCTCCTTCGAGGGACCCGCAATCCAAACGTAACGTAGAATAGTAGGAGGCGGCGATCAAACTTCGCTTTAGATGTACCTCATGTAGCCTTCTTTTCTGAACACTCAGACATGTATGGAGAAAGATCTATTCCACTTTCCACCGTGGCATCACATCACGAGCATCTCCACGGAGCATCTTGGTTGTGTCTCGGACCTTAGCGCGGCGGGCCACCACAAATCTCCATCGAAAAAACAATTAGAGACGGAAGATGCCATAATATTTTTTCTTCTCCTTCATTTTATTCTCCACCGGCGTTACGTGTTTAATGATCGAAGACATCCCGTCAAGGTCCAGGTCCGTAAATAGCGGCATCTGATAAGATGAGAAGAAAGAAGTCCAGGTACGCGAAGCTACTTGTGAGCCGTCAAAATACGCATGTAATGTATGTATGTGGGTAATCCTGTAAGGGACGCCGCTTGGTAGTGTAAGAGTATGAGGTTGCTTTATTGCTGGGCTTAGTCAGGCTGTAAGGGCAGGCTCACGTTGCGATTCTCGATCTCGACGAGATGACCTGCTTCACATCCATCTTGGTGAGCATTATCGAATCGAAACCCTCATGTCATGTCATGCAGGGTGAGATAATTCTCGACTTTAATTTCGTGCGCCCCCGTCGACTTGCTTTAGGCGCGCTGATGTCACATGCAAGGCTAAACAACGTGCGATGATTTTTTTAGATCGTGAAGATTGTGCGTGTGTGCCCGCCTCGGTCTGCCACCAGCGACTTTACCACATGTACACTAGCAATGTAGATAGGTAGGTATTTTAGTAGGTACTTATAGAGTACCTAAGAATTGGAATCGCTGCGAGATCTGCAAAGCGGGCTGGCAAGGTCGAAGCCCATCGGCACTAACCGGTTCCATAGAATCGATTGAAGCTGGTGTCGAGCTATGCGGTGTGATTCGACGAAGGAGGCTGCATGCGCGAGGCCGGTTCAGGCGCACGACCAGCAGCCAGAACCAGAACCAGAGCCCACCACGCAGACTAGACTCGATTCTGCTTCTCGAGGGGTGCCCGAAAATGGGTTGGCGAGGCTTGCCTTTCGACCGAGGTCGCGATCGTGAGAAAATTCAGATGAATAAAGGCTAGCGCGACGAAACCACCCCCTGGATCGTAAGAGCAGGATGATGGGATGGTTATGGCACGTAGTAATGTATGTAGTACACATGTACGATGATATCGTAATACGCGGTTACAAAAATAAAAATGACCTGTAACTTAGTAACGAAAATAAACTACATAATCGGCGTCCAGATCTCGTCATCTCGGGGTTCAAGTTACACGGTGCCGGGGGGAACGGGGGGCCGCCACGGTACACGAAAATGTATGGAAAAGGACTTGAGGAGGGCAGAGGGGGGTTGCCTAAAAGGGTAGCAGGAGAGCCTTCCGGCAGTTGGATGCGAGACAGGCTGGAGAGGGTTACGTTAAATATTCTGAAAGGGGAGATGATCGTCGTCCCATGCCTCAGTCTGATGTAAGTTCGGCATTTGCTGGGCGAGGCCCGCGTTGGGTTAGGTGCCGGTACAGCTATCTGGTACAACCAGCGGGAGGCCTAGAGGTAGGTACCATACCGGCGGGACCAATGAGCTATCCGCATCCCTCTGCCACTCCCTCTGACTGCGAATATGCACTCTCCCTGCACGTCTGGGTCAGGGTGTCTCTTGTCAGCACTCTACTACCGCTGATGAATCAGCCACAACCAGGAACCAAAGTCTAAGTAGAGCGACTATTGAACTATGAAGTTATGAATGACGCGTGAGAAATGGATCACGAGTTCACTTGGCAGCAGTAGCGAAATTTTCAGAATGTTCAGAATTGTTTACAAATTTTGAAAAATTTGGTGATAGGTAAAACAAGCGCTTAGGAAAACTAATCGCTAATATCCGAAAGCTCCTATTCGCTTTGGACTTCTCATCCGTACTATGTAACAACATGTTGGAAAGATAGATACGCTCAGAGGCGGCCTTCCAACTCCCGCGAACCCCTCAAAAACCACCATTAGATATACTAAAACGCCCAAACATGGCTGGTTTTCCCTTTTGCTATATATGTATAAATGTGACATGTAAGAAAAAGTGCAAAGCTCGGATTCCCCACATCCTCATGTACGCCTAATGTCGGGAAAAGGTAGTAGTGTTAGCAACATCATCCGTCATCCGCTTTCCAGAAATTCATTACAGTAAAACCAAGACGCCCGGCTGATTAAAAGTTCCTAATAGGGGTGTATTGGTGGCCCGCGTTTGGTGACTGAGTTTTCCGAACCTCGCGGATCAATCCTAAACGAAAGACGAACAGTAATCCGGACCTCCCTCCCACCTTGCTTTCCGGGTCGATCTGCTCTCCCCTTCCCATCCCGGGGTATCAGTAGTTGTTTTTGCCAATCCAAACCCAACGCATTAGCCGTGTCATTACATTACTGAATGCAAATGCGAAAATAAAATCGACAATAAATAACGTGGAATATTGGTACACGGAACCCAGCCTTGACAGCAGGTTCCAAAGGTTTGACCTAGTTATTTCGGGATATCAACAGTAGACCCGGTATACGAGATACATTCGAGGTCCCCGGGTCTTTTCGAGATAACCAGGTGATGGACGAAGACGAGTTATTGCTTGTTGTCCGTGTGGAGGTTGTAGTCCTGCGGCGTCATGTTCTGGGTGAACTGAATCTGCTTCGACCTTGTCTGGTTTGGCGAGGATCTCGATGAGCTGACGGCTTCGTTCGTGTCCCAGTCAAATTGGGTGTTCGCCATCGTGCTTTGACCAAATGTATTCTGCTCCGGAATAGAACCCATCGGGTATAGAGGCGTCGTAGGGAGGCTTCCGTCGCTCAAATCGGCGTAGCTGGGGATGGTGTGCATTGACATGTCGGTAAATTCAGTATTGAAGAAAGGCGTGAGGATAGGCTGGTCGGGTTGAAAGTCTACTCGGGCACCGTACGGGTTGGGATAGTTAGAGTTGCCGTAGTGGTTAAGCAAGCCACCGGGCGTGCTGGGTGGCGTCTTCAAATTAGACTCCATCATATTAGTGGGAAGGTTAGCCCCAAGTAAGAATGAGGTATCCTCAGAACACGCGGATGTCACAACTGGCTCACGCATGCCTTGCTGGTCAAGAACGGCTGGCGTCATTGGTGTGGGAGGCGCCGCACCCGAGAACGCCGGCGCCATGGCATTAGCTGGAGAACGAGATTGGTATGCTAACAACGCCTCAGCATTGTAAATCATGGGTGACCGGGGACCCGAGATTGGTTTTTGAATTCTACCATGCATGCTACCCGTACTAGAAGCAATCCGTCGTATGCTTGACATAGGACTTGAAGGATCCATCCGTTTCGATCCATCTAACGCAGTCTTAGGCATACCACCGTAACCGTACGAGCGACTCCTGAGCGATGCCGTTTGAAGGGTTGCTGGTCGTGGTATGTTTCGCCGGGAAGCAATGTTCGCGGGAGGCGGGGGCGACTTGAAAGAATTAGGGGTTGGCATCAATCCCGAAGGCGTCTGCCCCTCGCTGATAGGTGTGTTTAGGCTATCGCCATGGCCCTGGGGCGATTGTATGGGGCTCCCGCTCATCCTCGGCGTGGTGAAAGTTTGCTGTGACTGAAGAAGCGGCGTTATGTGCGCGAAACTCGGGTCCAGCATAGGCGAAAACTGATTGTTATGGTGCTCGGTCGTCGCGCACTGCTCCTCGGGTGAGGGTAGACTGTTGTTTACGATGGTCGACTGCTGGTTGTGGTCAAAATGTTGGACACTTCCTTCGGGAGGTGCATAAATGCCGAAGCCAGTCACGTTCTCGGAATGGGCGTGACTTTGAGGAACATGTTGGTAGTTGTGGTATTCAGACCCTTCCGAGAAACCAAGATAACCATCCGAAACCCCTTCCGCAGCGTGAGCCTCCTGAGTAGAGTTGGATTCATCCAAGTCGGGAGATTCGTCGTCAGAGTCGTCGTTGTCGTCATAAGAGGTGTCGACTTGGGCAGACGAGTCGACATCGGGGAATCGAGCAGACGAAGGCTGCACTCGCCTCCGCGCGCTGTCGTTCGCATGCTCCGACACTCCGCTTGACAACCCGTCATCTGGTGAGACCGGCTCGCAGCTGGCCTTCTCTGCTGCTCTTCGCGCCTCATACTCTTCCTGCTTCCGCTCCTGCTTGGCCTTTGCGCGCCGATTCTGAAACCAGTTCTGTTACTCAAGATTAGTCGCATGGCTCAGACTACAAGGGGGTATACTAAATACATTGATTCGCGGTCGATCTAGGCCAAGCGAGTCCGCAAGCGATCCTTTCACCGAGCTCGAAGGCTTCGGGTTTTCTTGGAATACCTTTTCGAGCTTTTCCACCTCCTCCTTGGATAGCCGCGGTTTAGAGTCCGTCTTGGGTTCGCTTAATATGCTGCGCTCGTTTATATGGCTTCGAGGTTGCTGGTAGCCATACATATATGTCATACCCGGGAAGCTGGGGTAGTAAAGACCGTACGCCTGGCTCTCGCCATATGATATGCCGGCGGTCTGGGAAGGCTGGGTATGATAATTAGGATTCGGGAGAGTTCTGTTTTGGGGAAAGCTGTATCCCGTATTGTAGTGGGACTGAGGGTGGTAATGCATCCTGGGCAATAACCGCAAAAAACCAAAACACAAAAAACAGATCAAATGATTAACATAAATATATCGAAAATGACTCCTGAAGGTGATGATTATAGTGACTGTGACGCTTATAACACTGAGGTTTTGTTGCTGGTAAGGAGAGACTGAAGGCGATAAAATGCGGCGTGGGCTTCTTTTTGGCTTCCGGCTTCGTTGCGGCTGTATATATGCTTCAATTATAGGCCCTCTGGCTTTTTCGGCCGTTTAATTTTTCTATAAGGAATGACTGAGGGTCAGATACCCGGACAGATAAAGTCCAATAGATTGCTGAAGAACGAACGTGGTGGTGGTAGTGAACTGAACTGACTCCCCGAAGCACAACGGGACGGACTTCAAGTTGAAGGGGCTGAGCCGGTATAAGAGCAAGAGTAAAGAGGCCGAAAATCTAGTTTTGCCGTAGTCCAAGAAGTCGAAGTGAGACACAGAACTCACTTTAGAGCCCCCCTAAAATTCTTTCGAAACCAGAGACAAAGCAGGGACAGGATGGATCAAAAACAAATACAGGAGTTGCTAGAGAGCGGGAAGGGAGAGAGAGGGGGGTGGTGGGCGTGTCGTCAAGTAGATGTATGTAGTAGGCTGTGGGTCTCCTTATGGACCTTGCGCGACCAGCGAACCGGGAGGTGTAAGGTACTTCCCCGGTACGACCACGAAATTGGGTGGAGGTGAGCGAGGATTCGAGCAAAGGCTGGTGACACTGGTCGCCGACAGGGTACCTGAAAGTACTTTCTGCTAAGATACGTACATGGGTATGGATATGGGTATGGGTATCGTACATATCGTACACTCATTTGTTTATTCATCAAGATCTAGCGTCCAGTGACTACCCGAACCGTAGACGCGGAGTATTCTATTATGAGCAGGGTAGCGCTGCTGAAGCGCTGACTTGGCTTGGGCGGACTAGGCCAGCCGGGGCTGTGGCGGGCCCAGGCGATTCAGCATCTCTCTTTTCATCCAGACCCGGTCTTAACATCACATCACCGCCTCCAACCCTTGGGGCACATCTTATTTACGCCTGTAAGCTTCTTGCAGCTTCTTCGCAAGGTCCAAGGTCGAAGCCCGACAGAGGACTCTGGAGAGTTAGGTAGTTGTCAAGAGGTAGGAGAGTGGATGGGGGCTAGGCTGAAGGAGGGGGCCACCAATCCATCCGTGAAGGCTACTACATCTATGGATACATAGTGGGCTCGCTGCTGGCTGCTCTCTGCTGCGCGTCACTGGGGCCATTGGACAGAGAGGCAGCAATCTGTACCAACGACGTACATGGAAACACACATCGAAACGTACATACATACTAGAACGTGGGCAAAGACAAAGATTCCCTCACCGATCATGGCCCGCAGCCGTGTGATCCCCACCTGGCAGAAAAGTTGAGGGTTGTAGGCGTTGAGGGTTAAGGGTTAGCGGGAGGGATAAACCAGTGATCATTCTCATGGAGCACTCGAGATGTCCACAGTACAACGCGTCGCACACAACTTGCCTGCGCACGCCCTGTATGAATACGTTGGAGTCTCTGGAGATTCCGCCACGCTAAGAAAGAGGTGGAAGACCAGGCTGCCCCCCTGTCTTGCGTTCCCTGTCTCTATAGTTACCCCCGGCAAGGAAATTAGGGATCTGTAAACGTCAGGAGGAAGACGTATGAGGAGGCCTGAACATGCGCAGCGTGGAGACGTGGGAAGACTTCCACAAATTCTTGTGTCTTACTAGATATGCGGGGAGACTTCGGGGATAAACTAAAGCAAGGCACAACGTCTGAAGGAGAAACTCTATATCCTTCTTGGCCGCTCGTAATCTGAAGGGATAGAGAAGACCCGAGGGCGGTGTTGAGAGAAAGGGATGGGATGGGATGGGATGCGAGAAAATGTGCTAAGGTGCTAAAGTGCTAAAGTTCAGGGGCAGGAAAAGTGGTGGTTAGCCGGTTAGCCAGTGGTTTGCCAAGCCGAGCCAGGCAAGGTACGTAAGGCAATCGACCTTTTTCCTTTTCTCTTTTTCGCTTTTTTCAGCGGGTCGGTACAGTGCGCGGGCCACATTACTGTAATGTTTATCGGAACCCTGAAGGCTTGGCATCCCATCTAGGCTGGTACCGGCTGGGTCATATGACTCCGTGTTTTCTCAACGAATGTTTTTTAGATCCGTCGACGCCGTGCTGCTCAGGTCGAATGCGGAATTAATTCTGTCATCGTAGGTATAATAACTAAGTGATCGGCATATCTCATGGCTCCCATGGCAACTATTCTGACATTATCTAAGATAGGAGGATTCTTGTAAGGTTATTGTCAGGTTCTTGTCAGGTTTATCTCGTTTGTTAAGTAATAGTCGTGTTAGCGTATTAGTTCGCTGACTTACAACCGTCTTGTTACCCGCATCCTGTCAGATTGTGTGCTAAGGGCGACCAATCAATTGCGACAGAGAGCGATCTACTTACTTAGTATCCAGCGAACGGTACTTGGTAACAAGGGAACGAACAAGCTGTCTTTTTTAATCTGGTAATTACATAGTATACCGTAAGCAAGCGTTCGATGTTTGCTGTGGCTGCTTCGAACACTCGCTGATAATGATCTAGAGTCGCAACCTTGTAAGAGAACTGTTGAAGATTAGTAACTACCTAATGTAGAAGAAGGTAAGACGCAATAGCGAGGATAATCTCAAGCGAGCCTAGTTTGTCTGAGACTTCGATATCTGGTAATTTGAAAAGGGGAAGCCGAGAAACCGAAATGCAGAGATGCAAAGGCGCATCGTTTACCACATTACCTTTTGGGAAGATCTTAAGTCATCTCATCTTTTTACTAACAACACCAAGGGTTCCGCGGGTCATGGGCTTACTACCAGGTGTGATGTGATGCTGCAAATACCGTATCCTTGAATATCTGGATTGGCCTAGTTACCACGAGGTCGACTGGGTTAATATGATATGTCAAGGATGAGCAGACGGGGATCTAGAGTGGACACGGATGCTTAATTTTGAAGTTGATATCATAGCCAAGCATTTTCTCACAGGGCAACAAGCGCTGCAGCATGCTGCTTAGGTCTTTCCGACCTGTTCCTTAGTCGAACCGTGTTATAGCTTATGACATACTGTAAGCAGAGAAGCAGAGAAGCAGGGGAGCAGGGGAGCAGGGGATAAGACTGGTACCCCTTTATTGTGGGGCACCTTCCCGGATTCGCTCGACTCCCCTGAGACTTTGACAAGTCGTCTGTCTAAAAAGGAAATCTCTTGAGTCAAGTTGTGAACAAACCTTTCCTAAAATGGATTGATAGATCCGCGGTCCCAAAACTGTCGTCTCAAGGTACCTACACACAAAATGGGTATGTAGGCTGGGCTATCCTTGATATCCTTGATCAGTGATGAGCAGCATGGTATCCCCGGATCTTACAGAGCTGGTACACATCGGTACTCGTACTGACAGCTCACACATGCGCATGTGCAGGTAGAATGTGTGGATGTACCGAGTATCTTTTTTTTCTCTTTTCTCTTTTTTGAGCTTTGGTTAACTTCGCATTTAATGGACCCCAAAAATTCTGTAGGTTACAACCTTTGAACCTACAGGTTACCAATCAGCCCCGACATGGCCTTGAGTTTCGGGTGCTATTACTTTCATCTACCGAGCTAGACGCGGATGCACTCGGATAAAACATACATCGACTGTTAACTTTTTTAGACGGTTATATCTGACTACCGGTGAATGTTCTCCGCCCTATTTCGCTTCACTCCGACTATTAAAAATCCCTAAAAGCCAAGCGTAAATAAAATGCCGTATTAATAATCGCGGTACTTAACTATACGTCTTATAATATCTACAGGGCACTATATTAAGATTTGAGAGGCTCATGTCATGATGTCAGTGGTAATTTCATCTGGTTAGTTTGACCTCTGATATCAACGATCATGACCCGACTATCAAACGTCGAAAATTGGAAAAATCTAACTCTCCACCGCCTTCTTGCTAACCCAAGCCTCTTGGCCGTTTTCGGGGCCTCGAACCTCGTAACCTCGAAATACCGCTAGGCTGGGTCTCTCTTCGCTGCACCCTTATCATGCACGGTTCAGCATCGGCGCGGGTGGCTATCGTGTCGATACCCGTGTTTCCGGTCGACGAAAATGAAAAGAGGTCAGCGTTTTACAAGTGCCTGACTAAATATCGTACAGAGTCGATGATAGGACGCCCGATCTCACTTGGGATGCAGAGTGCTCCAACTTGGCAAAGAGCGGGTTTCGCTGATATGAGACCTTACTTCGCCTCCAAGCTTACTGGATGTTACTGGACGGTGCTCCTCAGACGCATTCGTAGCTTGGCTATTCCCGTCTAGTAAATTGAAGCCAACACCTCGCAGGCCAGAGTTGCATTGCTTCGAGCTAGACGCAGCTCTCTCTGGCGGTTCTACGATTACTACACCTTATCCGTTTTTTTGCGAGGCGGCGAGCAAAAGCCGAAGCTGGGCAGGGCATGACGATTGGTTCGTGGGAAACGAGATCTTCCTCGAGCCCTTCCCAAGAAGCGTATAACACTGCATATACATACAACATGCACACCACTTAACACAGTATGGAAGTACCCGTTTCCTCATCAGTTCAAGGCCCGGCAGCTCGGGTACCGATGGGAGATGGCAGTCTATGGCGTGATAAGCGGGAAAACCGCCTACATATCATCCTAGTGTTAGCTGTCTTTTTTTTTTCTCGTCCGCCTTTTCTTAGCTCTAGAATCTGGTGAAGCGCTTCTCACGACCCTATCATGTTCTACTAAGCACCAGCGAACCAAAGAAACCGGGCATTTCAAGTACGTATTAGGGGAATAAGAAGTACCGACGACAATCTAGCCTCTTATTTTCTTTTCGGGATAGAGTTAAATGTTAAGGAAGTTCCTCACGTCATATGACTTGGTTACGGGAGCGGCTATCAAATATCAACAATGATGTCGCAATAACATTCCCACAGGGTCACACATAAATGTCGATTTTCTTAAGATGTGCAATATAGCCTGGAGGCCGGCTGTTTGGTACCACCAAGGGAGCCAGGGGGGATAAAAGTGGACACGCTCGATACTTGGGTACATTGCAAATTTGGGGTTTAACTTTACCGGGGTCGCATTAGTTCCCATGTAAGTCCCATGTAAGCGAAAATCGCCAAGCTGAGCCAGAAAGCTGGGACCGAAAAAAGACTTTGTCTTTGTC